GGCTGTTTGGCCGCCATTGTTGTTATTGTCGCTAGATTCAGGGGTCTTTTACAAGCTCTGATTGGCTTTTACACCATTTGAGACCAAAAAGCTGATTGGTTGTAACATTTTTCGCTTATGTTGGACCAAATTAACCTGGACCAAGGAAATTGCGCTACGATTTATGGATGTTTTGTACTGTTCTGTTATGTTATAAAGTTTCAAAACTCTATCAACAGAAAAACATATTTATTACAAAAATATAGCTAAAATGAAAAACCCATTCCACAATTTTGAATTCCTAAGACCACATTTGGGATTTCCAAGACCACAAAATGTGGGAAAAACCACACTAAAATAGGCCCTGGAACGACTTGTAAATAGTTTAATCGGTTGACCTCATGTATCATCTATTGCCTTCGATGATATATCAATCTTGATATCAAAATCATTAATGGATTGTTCTTCTTGCTATCTAATTATGGCGTGGTCAGCAAAGATTTCTAAAGAGTCCCGTCCAAAAGTCACCTATTTTCATCGATCTGTGCAGTATCCTTAAAATTAGACATGATCCAAAATGTTGTCTTGTCGGAAAATCGTAGGCCTGCCCCCCCCCTAAATGAAAGCCTGAATTTCCACCACTGTGGTAGTTTATTTTCATGTTGGTTCTTTTTGCATGACTGTCTATTTGAATTATTCACTAATTTTGTTTGCTTTTCTTTATGCGCTCTATGCGCTTTTACGTATATTGTCAGTTTCACTGCTTGAAGTTGCTTAAGGTTACGGTAAACGTTTGCTGGATGAAAACATCATTTTTTCGATTTTTTCACATTCAAGTAGCCGAACTTTCAAGGCACACAATGACACCAAATTTGAAACAAACAGAAATTTTGAAAGTGGAAAAAATCCCATGTAAACGAAGGTTTCCATAATTTCTTTATCAAAACTTTTAGTTGACGCCTGAAAATCTCTTGACCTTTTAAGCCGATTATCGTTGCTTTGCGGTTGTAGTCGCATGTCTCATTTACAATATCGCATGGCACATCCATATACCCAATGTACGGCCGTGTTTATTTAAACAGGCTTATTGATCTTAAATCTTCAAGTGACTTGACCCGGATTACACTGTGGTTTACTAGTGTATCTTGCAAGTGCGATCAGTAAAATCCCGTTTTCTCCGGACTCGAAATTCCTCTACATGCAGGTACGAAAAAGCTATTATGTACCCAAGGAACCAATCGAATGGCTCGAAAATTTGCACACGGCTAGGGCAGACGTTGGGCAAACAAAGTTTGTCTCAAATTTTTTTTATTTTCTCTGGTCCGTCTTTTATACCCAAATACAGCTGCGGGAGGGTGGAACAATTATTTGCCAATTTTTGACAGGGTATAGTTTCAAGAAGAGGAGGAATTTAAAAAATCTGAGACACACTTTGGTAGCTTAGGACCTGCACTTCCTGCTGGTCTAAGTCAGATTTTGTTACCTCAAACGCAAGGGTACATAATAGCTTTTGAAGGTGGTACACTTTTTGACCAGTAAATTCGCGTGGAAAATAACATTTAACATTATTTGCCAATACTTTTTATCTGGCTAGATACGACATAATCTTGTGCATCGAATGATATATAGTTTATCCAGATTCCTTGAGCCGTTTGGCCTTTAGGAAGAAAAAACCAATTTTCGTGTTCAAAACGTTTACCGTAACCTTAAAAGCCCACAATATTGTTTCAGCCGCATTTGAAAGCTCATGTTGAAATAAAGGATACAAGCAAAAAAGGAGGCCTGTTCCGAAGGAGGTCAAACAGCAAGAAGAGCGAATAAGCTGAGTCTTTAAAAAAAGAACCAAGTCACATGTTTATCCATATTCATGTATTTTAAATACACAAAATATCTTTTGCTGTTATTTATGCAAATGGCATACAGTATTTTCTCCTCGTCATAACGCTGCATGGTAGGCTGAAGTTGATTTCCATTTTTTACTTCCACATTTTGTTAATTTGCACTTTTTCACATTACGTTTTGTTTAAGTTATTTAGTTCAGTTTATTTCAGCTGTTCAGTTATAGCGATAAAGCATTTTAGAAACTAATAAAGCCAATGTACCTTATATGACAGTGTGAATGCGAAGAAAATATATATTTGGAAACGTTTCTGTATTCGTGAAAGTTAGAAATTGCAGTTTGTGGTTGCGCTTACATATGAGGTTATGAACGTCATGGATTGCCTTGTTGATTATTTAAGAATTTTTTTTGCCACAATATATCTAAAAAGGTGGATAAACAGAACAAACATGATTTTTTGAAGTAAAGGCCTAAAGTGAACAATAATAGTTAAAAGGATACTGTTGAAACCACGTTGAAATGAAACAGAACCGAAATTTCCATTTCACAATAATTTTGGAGCTATGCCCCCACCCAGGCCCCCTCCTCTGTTGACCCTGATCTGTTATCAGTATTTCACTACAGGGTAACTAAATTTATGTACATATTGGACAGCGTTAATAGCCAGTCTATTTTGCTACAAGAAAAATCTTTTTAAATGGATTTTATTTTTCTAATTTTAAGATATTATTAAGTTTTCAATATACTTAATAAAGAAGGTATTATTTTAAATAGGGTATTGCACAGAAGACCTTGATTTCATGTTTTTGGTATCAGATTTACTTTTGGATAACTGTGTTTTGATGCATTGTGTCAAACGACATAACATTTTAATCATTTTTATATGTGAACTAACTTAGCTGATGTGTACATTTAGTTTTTATCCATTGAGTTTCTCCCATATTCCTGACAAATATTGCAGAAAGTAAAAGCCACCTTTTGAGTACTCATTACTTACCATGAACCTTCCACATACTTACCACATAACATTTTAATCATCTTTATATGTGAACTAACTTAGCTGATATGTACATTTAGTTATTATCAATTGAATTTATCCCATGTTCCTGACAAATTTTGCAGAAAGTAAAAGCCATCTTTTTAAGCACTGCTTACTCACCATGAATCTTCGATGCATATCAAATTTCATACAAATATTTCGCATGTATTCTACATCTTATTAAGTTTTAATGTCAACCCATTTGTCAAAGTACCTTAGCGCCTATCAGTTTAATTATCGATCTCTATAGATATCTAATACGGGGTCATTTCCACAGTACGTACAAAATTTTTTGAGCATTTTCAACCTCCCTTCCCCCTTGTACGAAGTCATACTTCTTTGGCCACCTCCTCCACCTTCGCATTTTTTTGCATTCTTTTAGTTGACTCCTCCCCCATTTACCAATTCGACAGCAAATTAGGCACATCAGTCTGCCAAATACACTGCAAAAACTTATCAATATGACGTATAACACGAGGCAACACGGCGAAAAGGAAAGGTCTTGTAATGAAAAATAACAAAAATTACGTAACTGTTTACATTAAGGTCCATAATAAACGACCATAATTGTTGTGATGAATTTGTACCTAATTTTTTTGCCCACATTGCGCAAACGATCTGCACAGCATCCCATCGTTTTAGCTTTAAACCGATGATAAAAACTTTTTTGAAAGAACGCTATCTAAAAACCATTTTGCGTACGTACATTAACTCCATCAGCTGCCTCTCCCCTGGTACGCAAAAGTAGGCTTTTTGATAAACCCTCCTCCCCTGTCCTGCGTACGTACTATGTGAATGGCTCCTACTGAGGTTGTTTTAAATGATTCCGTTTTGAACTTGTTTAAAATAACTTCAGGAATGCCCAAGACAGGAATATATCAGATAAATGTAGTTTATGAGACATTTTACGTAACTGTACATACCATTCGATAAGAAGATGATTCCTCAAGCACCGATCACATTCAATAGCAATTTCAAGGCCCTTTAAACTCATTGTAAGTTAAGAGACTCCCAAAACCCTCTAATTTTGAGACCCTTGAGCTATTTATTTGTTCATAAACCTTTATCATTTTATTGTAAACATTTTATTTGTGCGACATTCTGTTTGATAGGCGTTATTCATTGGGAAAACTGTGTTTGTTTTCTAGTGTTCTGCCTTTAAACTGTTTTTAAAAAGCGTTCTAAAACAAGCACATGGGAAAGAGATATTACATTAAAGGTGCAGACCAGGCCCGTGTCAGGTGTCGAGTCTATGTTTACTTCAGATTTATTTGGCTTCTATGAAGAGAGCGGTATTCATTTTGAAAAAGAAATTGAAGCGAAGAGGAAGAAGAGGCATTCTTTTCAATTTGAGTTGTTTTGATAAAGGAAGACCAGAAAACTTCTTTTTGATATGATGATTAATGAATTATCGCCCATAAAAAAGTAGCCACCTTTTAAAATTGTTTGTGCTAATAAAGAAAGTAATGTACAGATTAAGTAATGTACAATGTTTTAAAGATCAATCTTATTTTTGTTGCCATAGAAGTCAAGATTTCAATACAGTCGATATTTTAACATAGGACTTTTAATAAGATGGAAACGGAAAGTAAATTTTACACTCTTTTTTTGTAAGAACACGAGCCACAAAATTGGTCAAAATTTAAGAACAAATTAAGAAAAAGCTGCGGTTGAGCTACTGTAAAAATGTAATTTTGAACAAAGTTTCCTCGCATAATTGTGGAGTTTTTTGCCATTTAGGGGTGCTTTTTCGGTGAATTTTAAAAACTTGTCGGCAAATAAAGAATGTTTCACTTAATTTGTTTGCAAACGAGGCCTGAAAACCTCTACAGAGAGCAATAATTAGCAACTGTACTGCTTACACCCCTGATAATTTAAGAACAAACTAAGAACAGCCAGACTGAAGTTCCAATTACTGGTTCTTATATAAAAGAAGATTGTATAACCGTTCGCAAGAACTCGTCATTATTTTTCATTTTACTTTTTGGAACTAGTAGGAAAATACCGTGTTTTACTTTTTCAGCCTTTTTAAAAAATTAAATTTTCATTTTAACCTTGGTTACGTTTTTTGACAACCTCTCTCCCAGACCATAAAATATCGTACGCTCTTTTCCCTGTGATGGATGTTTGGAACCTTGACAACAACAATGCATTGTCAACTGAAGAAGTGAGAAGAAAATGGCTGAACGAAAGCAGTCTGCAGAAAAGCGCTCCCGTCCTTCTTCAAAGGGATCCAAAAGGTCTGTCACAGACGCGGTCTCAAAACTAACAATAAAAGCTCTCAAAGAATTTAAGCTTGAAGATGAAGTTGACCCAGAGCTTGCAGATGCACCAGAGAGAAACGCAGGTTAGGCCTATTCGATTTAAATTGTTTCCAGATTAATTTTTTATGAAAGAATAATGTCAAACCAACTGACTTTTGCAATTGAAGCATGCATAAGATATCATAAATTGTAAAGCTTGGCTACTACTGCCACAAAGAATCAAATTTGTCCAAAGAAAAGTAAAATTTTGTTATGATATGGCCTGCTCAAATTTGGAAAAGGTATATGATGTCACGAAAGGAAAGGTCAACTCAATCACACAATTTGATATTAAGAACACAGTCTACTGCGTTCCCTGAAAATTCTACTCATGCAGTTAATTAAGCCTCTTTACTAATTTTTTCAAATAAGTCATATCTATGTTGCGAAAAAGAGAGCAACCTATCAAGTTTAGGAGCATATGAATTATGGGAAAATTCTTGAATTTGAGTTAGCGTTGTATCGACTGTAGAGTATGGCAAGTGTACATTCGAGATATTTTTTCTAAAATTTCTGGTAAAGGGTGTGGCATGGGTGTGTTCTATTACTTAATGCAAATGAAGAATTAAGTTTCTTAAAGATGGATATAACATTACATTGATTTGTTAACAAAAAATCTATCAATCTTGTATACATTTTCTTATCTTGGTTCTTGCTTCTTAAATTTGAATTGATCGCAGACATTCTCGTGGCATGTAATTTGAGACAGACTATAGTAGTTTATTTTAACTATGTGTCTATGGCCCCGGGGTAGTCATAGTCTTTTGCTCCTCAGGGTATCGTCCGAGTAGTATTGTAAAGTAAATTTGTAAGTAGCGTAGCTTGTATTTACATATTGTAACTTTTTAATGGATATATAAAAAAAAATCTTGGTTCATTTTGGCTTCTTAATTACATTAAGTACAAACATTTTATAGGGATGAAATTTTGGACCAATAAATTTTTGGACAAATGTTGAACAGTCTTTTAGATGTTTGAAGGAATATCACATCAGGTTGTTCATTCACACATATTTTCAAAGATTTCCATTGAAATCTCAAGAAAAATTGAAGAATCTTTGGTTGAGTACTGAAAATGTGACAATGTTAAGAAACTGGCTCAAATTCTTAGTTTCCTACAAAAAATATTTGTATTTAAACCAACCACCTTAAGTGCAAATGCAAAGAGAATGAAAGAAATCTTTCATATTTTGTCCCCTGTTTAAGGGTATATGTGCTGATATTTCCTATAAGTTTAAATCTTCTAAAGGGTTATCTTGCCAAGTTCAATGCCTGGAGAAACTTTCTGGTGGGTGTAAAGCCACAGACTGTAACATAGTATGTAAAACTCAACAACAGTATTTTGTCCATCTTGGGGGCTCAAATCACCCAAGCCCCTCTGTGGCTGCTGGCCAGCTTCTGACTGATGTTATGATCAGGCATATCTTGAACGTATAGTTAGATGGAACAGAGAAATGAGAAAAAGAAAGTGATGTTGACTTCTTGATAGATGATGAGGACCATAATGCTTTTTATCTGTGCAGGTGTTCCTATTAGCTTGGAAGAGTAACTTCTACTAAAAAATTTTGCAAACCATGTTTTAAAATGAAGCCTTTTTCAGTAAATATAAACTCTGCATGCATGGCTCATACAAAAACTTTCAATGTGACAAACTTTTGAATAATTATAAGTTTCATTCAAATAAATTTTCTGATAAAGATTGATCCAAAGGTTTGTCATGATTAAAATCTGTGTTCCTAATGAAATATTATTTGGCTCTTGCATTATTTTGCACACTAATTTTACACACAATCCAAGGACAAATTGATACCAACATGCACACTTGCACTCTTGAAATTTTGCTTTTTGCTTGAGATCTTGTTGGAAACTGCTGTGCTCTGCAGTCAATCATGCTCCTATTGGCATTGTCTATGTAATCTTGTTCTTGTAAAATGTACCTTTTTAGACTGTGTATAAGAGAATTGCTAAACGAGCATCTAAGATTATAATGCAAATGATTGTTGTTGACAGTCCATGAAATTATTAAAAAAAATATTTTAAAAAGAGGCTTTTTGCATGTCTTTTTAGATCAAAACAGAGGAGGCTCGAGGCAACATGGTTCTATTTCTCAAGGTGACTTTCACGAGTTCACATCTCTTCCTGAAACTCAAGAAATTGATGAACAAGCAGATGAAGATTATCTTGGTGAAGAGGTCCAAGATAGTGGCATGGATGCAGGAATAGATAGCGGTTCTGATGATGATGATGATATTGATGATGACGACATGATTGTTCTGGACCCTGAACATGTGAGTTTATCCTTGCATACTTACTTCCTGATATGTACATCTTTGTTAAAAGGAAAATTTGGAAATTTTTTAACAAACGCTTTTAAAAGAGCTAATTGGAGTTGACAAAAGTCATCCATAAGAATTCAAAAAGGTTAGCCTATCAATTTCATCTAATTGAGAATATAGCTATTTGTTGATTGGATGTTGATTCTCTCATCTCGCGATTTCCTGGGAAGAAATCCCCTCTTATGATGTCAAAGGCAATCATTGCACCAGGCATGCTACCATTAAACAGTCTGCAAAGCCTTTCTATTGTATCTGTTTCACATGCATCATTTACATGCATGTTATTTTATAGAATAATTGCTAGGCTAGTAAAAAATTCAAACACTGTTGTGCACTGAGGTGCCAAGGACTGTTTATTGCACATTAGGATGCCACCTTCATAGAATCAATGTGAGTAGGAATAGGCCATGAAAACATTTCTTTGGGTTACTATCAGATCTAACAGTATGGTGGATCAGCAAACTAAATTCTGTCAATTCAAAGTGATATTTTACTTTTGAGTGTTGTAGTTTTGAAATAGATTTTTTATGTCAGCCAGAAAGCATTTCATTTAATAGATTTACTGTAATTAGGCCATGTAAATTTTCTCTTCTGAATGAATTTTTAAAACTATGGCTGATTTACTAAGCATTGTCTTTTAAAAACTTGTATCCTAAGAAGTAACATCCATTTATATCCTCTTATTTGACGCACTAAAAGCCGGCTGGTAATAGTAGAACTGTCTGCCGCATCTCAAATAGGAATGTATGATAAGTGCATTAGCCTAGCAAATTCTCTCTTCAAGCATTGACATAAATTCAAATGCTTAGTTACTTTATGATATGAGCTAACTATTTCTTAGAAAAAAGTCCATACTTAGAAGAAACCAACCAGGCAGTATTTCAAGTCCTAGAATTTTATCTTGGACACCCAAAGCCCCTTGAAAATGTTACTTAAAATCTTTCAATGAAATGATTTCTGTAATTGCTTTTGTTGAGGTACTTCCTCTGTATATAAATATATATGAGTCCTTTGAATTTGTGGGTCATTTTGTAGCACTCTCTTTCTTGCTATTAGCATTGATAACTTAATGGAATTCTTTATGCACCAAATTGTAATTGGTTTTTCATTTCAGCCACTTATGAAAAGGTTCCAAGCTGCTTATAAAGCCCATTTACTGAAACAGTTGGAAAAAGTTACACTAGAGCTGAGGGAACTGGTATGAATAAAATAATTCATCTTTTTTGCTTGTTTTTTTGTCTGCAGCATTGCTCAACAGAAATTCACTGTTGTTGGTGATCATTTAGGCAAGGAATTGAATACAAAAGGAAAGATTATACGCATTATGGTGAATGCTAAGATAAGACCATAGGATAAAAATAATTCAGTGACAGAGCTCTGTACTTCTTGGATATTGTTGGGGTCGATGCTGCCATAGCACCCACTTTTCAGTGTCTGATGTGTTGTCTCTTTTACTCAGAGTGAAGATCATGGACGAAAGAAGAAGGAAAGAGAGGATCTTGGTGTTGACTTGTATGGAGTGCAACAGGAGCTTGCAAAGCAACAAATGGTATTAGAAAAAGATCATGACAAACTTAATGAGATTGAGCAGTTGAGGAAAAAGACAGAAATGCTTCAAACAGAAGTGAAGTCAAAATATAACCAAATACACCAAGATTGTTCTCAGCAGCAGAAAAAAAGTAATTTGTTTTCTTCCTTTTTTGAATAGCCTTGCTCTAGCCTCCTTTTCAAGATACCAATGGTTTAGTTATTATACTGGTAGAATGTTGCAGATTTCACTAACAGAAATGCTTGGCTATGATTATTTAAGAGTTAAGTAATAGTTACCTCAGACATTTTTGTTGAAATTGTAAAGTTGTGGTCTATGAAAATAAAAAGTGAAAAGTCTCTTGTTGCAATATCATTGGTTTCACAAAGTATACAATTGCTAACAATGTTCCCTGAATGTTTTTAGAGCTGCAATTTCAATTTTTAATCATGAAAACACAATTCTCATGCTTGTTATCAACTCTTGCAATCTTTAAATAATTTTGAGTTCAATTTTGATATTAATCTATAATTTTTTCACAGCATCAGAGCTTCAACTAGAAGTGGAAAATCTGGCATTGAAACTGCGATACTTGGAGGATGCAAAGAAAGATGTTCGGTCTGATATTGCAGTAATGAAGCGAGCAACAGAAAAAGCTAGAGTTGAAATAAAAAAGGTGGAAGAAGAGAAAAAGAAGCAGGTAAAATTTTTCCTTCTTTTATTGAAATGGGTTATCTAGGAGAGAATGTTCCCAGCTTTGGGATTCAGTTTCTTTTGACTTTTATTTTTCATTGAGATTGAAAAGATTAATTATTTGGTCCCTTTGTCACATAACAAATTTTAATTCTGAAGGAAACATTTACTAGTGTTGATTTCTCAATTGCTTGTTCATAATAATGATAATACTTGTTACTAATTGGATATTTAATCAATGAAAAATGTATGCTCAAATATATCACTCAGATATCCTCTGTTTGAATTTCTGAAGAGATCCTTTTTCCTGGAATAGAAATACACAATCATTTGCCCCAGTAGTTCACTGATTGAAATTTATAAGATGGTTTTGCAACATTTTACAGTAGCTCAACCTCAGCTTGTCCTTAATTTGTTCTTAACTTTTGACCGTTGTGGAGGCTAGTGTTGTTCTTATATAGTTGTTCTTATGAAAGAGAGTGTGTATGATACATGATGCATGGCTTAAGATATAGGGAATTGAATAGGGATAGATAGAATGTAAATGTAGATTTGTGAATTGATTTCACACCTAAAATAAGTTTAGTTATACTGCTGTTTTTCTTGGAGTATTTACTTTGTTTGCATCATTGCAGGACTTGCTTGTCAATGTCTTAACACAAGCCGTTGACCATCTACGCGAGGATATTCAGCTTTATGAAGCACAGATGACCGCACAGAGGGAGGAAACAAAAGCTGCGTTACAAACCCTTACGGAGGCGACTACTGAGCTCGAGGTGCTGATAATCTCTTTTTGGATATCAGATTTGATTTTTATGAGATGATCGAAAGTCCACAATATGTTTTGCTCATAAATCTTAATTCTCGATTTATCTCCTTTATTTGAAGTTATTTTCAATAACATACTCTTTTTATTTGTTTTTAGTGAACCTCACTTTCTTTTGCACCTCACCAAAGTTTAGTGAACCTCACCAAAGTTTTATCTTATGCAGGCAATCCATTTGGAGAAAAAACAGTTACTACAACAGTGGAACAGTAGCCTTATCGGAATGCGGAGGAGAGACGAAGCTTATGCTGCTATGCAGGAGGCTGTCAGGTATGCAGTTACAGCTTTTTTGGTACCATCCTCTTTAAAGAGAATCCACGATTGGTTTCCCGTGATGCATTTAGAATGATCTTAAATATATAAACAAAATCGTCTTCTTGTTGATCTGAACGTACTTTTAAAAGATTTTGTGTATGAATTTTTGTTTAAACATGTGCAACCTTTCTTTGAGAATGGAAAATAGATTTCCACCTTCACACTCTTCAGTCTTTTGAATTGAAGTTTCATTTTGAATCCTTCTGTCCCGTAAACAACATCAACAGACGCAAAGGTCTCGCCATTCGATTTGCGCACCCACTGAAATTCATCTTCAACAAAAAAGACATCGGGATCAGCGCAAAATCAAAAGCATTTAACCCTTACGTTACATCCATATTCTTATACAACTCAAAACTCTGGACATCAACGAAATCTCTTGAAAATAAAATTGACAGTTTTCATAAAAGAATATTACGAACATCCATCTTTAACATAATTTATCAAAAAATAATGAAATATGACGACGTCTACCAACAAACCAATGAAACTCCATGGAGCAAGGTAATCGAAAAACGCCAACTTAGATGGTTAGGACATGCACTTCGTTCACCAGAGCAAACCCCTGCAAAGCTAGCCTAAGCATACGCGGATGAAGAATTTAAAAGACCAAGAGGCCGCCTAACTTGGCTCTGAAAAATAAAATCAAACCTACGGGACATTTTTAAAATTGATTGGAAAGAAGCTTGTGAACTAGCAAAAGAGAGACTTGCCTGGCAGAAGCATTTCAATTAGAAATCATGTGTTACACAAAGTAAATTTATTTACGAAAAAGATATAATAATAATGATAATGTCCTGAGGATATTTCTGACCTCCATTTCTTAGTGGCCTCTGTATCCTTCCTGCTTTTACTGGCTAAGAAGGACTTCGTGAATCCTAGTTTAAATATTTTATCATTGTTTTTGTCTGTTGCTATCCCTAACAATATCAAGTTTTTTTCTTTTCACTTAAACCAGTCTACAGAATCAGAGGATCATGGCAATTGAGACTGAAATGGAAGGGTACAAGCGGCAAATTAAGAAGGCACAGGAGCAAAACGAGCAGCTGACGTACATGCAGAACAGAATAGAGGGTGATATTGTTATGCTGAAGAAACAGATCGCAATTTGCCAAAACAAGCACGAGGCGTTGAAGATACAGTACAGCACATATAGTAGGACACTACACGAGACGGAGCAACAGCTGAACAGGGCTACGACCGTATGTGGTTTATGTCAGCCTTTTCACATTGTGTAGTGAAAGTAGCGAAAAGTCATGTATATATCATTAGTCTTGTACAAAAGCGTAAGGTAGAATCTGAAATGCAGTTTAGAAGTGACTTCGACCGCGACTTTAATCTGATTTGTTTAGTATTTTTGTCATTAATTTAGATTGTTTTATTATGAGCTGTGTTGAAAATATCACTTTGTTGATAAATCAAGAAACGTTCAGCAAAAAAAATCTTTAAATCAAAAAATAATTAGGGTCCCTTGTAAATCAATTTTGTTAAAGGCAAACTCTAAAAATGAAATATGAAAAATATATATGAAACCGCTGTTCCAAAACGTCCTATATTTTACGGGGGAGCACTAGGAATAATTTGGTAGCTGTAGATTAATTAGACACAGAATCGATATACGTTAGCAATATATTCGTTTCTGAAGGGAAACTTGCTTGTATTTATAGGGTTGTTGTATTCTCAGGTGTATTAGAAATATTTATTAAGTTGGAGGTTCTTTACAGGAAGCGACTTTGAAAGAAAACGAAGCAAGTGTTCTCCGGAAGCAAATTGAACGAGAATTCTTGGAAAAAGTGAAGCTCGAGGACATGATCATGGAGAAGATGCGAGAACAGCTAACGGCAGATAAAGCGTCCCAGTATACAAAGAAAGTGACCGACAAAGTGCGTCGAAGAGCTACAGAGCTGGTAAGTTTGTGTTAAGGTTTTCCTGGTTGCTTGCTAACCTTTAGAAAGAAGCTTCTTATACCTATGCTTTGATAGATGCATCATGGGAAACCTCCTTCGCAGCGACCTGTCTAAAAATTGTGTTAAAGGTACCAAGAGCTGATTCAAATTATCGAAGACTTGCTTTTCGTATAGTTTTCATAAGGTCTACGGATGAAATCGTGTCCATACAGGAATGGTGAAGGAGAAGAAATTTAATTTGTTTATCATATGCTTGTTTTACAGCATTAGGATATGTCTGAGGCAATGTATGCTTGAAAAAATAGAACTGTTGTTCAGCTATAACATAAGGATCTTCTATTTTGTTTAGGAAAGAGCAATGGCAGACGTTGAGAATGAGATATCGACGGATATTTTAGAAGTATCTAATGCCACTTCAAGAGTCCGAAGGCTGCAAGACACACTGTCGGGTATCAACAATGAGATTCACCAGAAAAATGACACAATATCTCGTATTGAAAACGAGATTGTAAAAAGAAATGCCGTGATTGAAAAGAAACAAGGCACTATTGATCAATATAACAAGAAGATTGACCAGATTCTCTCAAAAGAAGGGGTAAGCATGTAGCCATTTTTAATTATATATTTTCATACATAATAATTAAACAAAGCTCCAACACTGGCTATTGCCATTATTGCTATCGTATATTACAATCGTATATTACTATGATTATTAAAATATCATATTAGCTGGGTTGGTTTAATAAGAGAATACATGCTCTTCATTTATGAAGGACGAAGAATACACAGGGCCACTTGAATTCCAAATAAAGACACTGCAGAAGCAGATTGACGCAAAGGTGACCGAGTGCCTGTCACTGCAGCAGTTCTGGCTCAGGCAACAGAATGAATTGGTTCGCATGATTAAGGATGCAACCAATGAGAACAATGAAATCGATTCACTGAAAAAGCAGTCAACGATCTTATTGCAAAAGAAATTAAGAATTGAAGGTAGGTCTCGTTTTTATTTCCTCCATTTTGTATGTATTTTGCTCATGACTAATGCGAATTAAAGTTGCTATTATGGTAACATTGTTTTCTTCAAATTCCTGTCATTGCTTTTCAAGTGTTTCGAGTCTTAATAGTTGTGCTTGGAACTAGGCACATTTTTGGTATCAGAGAGTCTCAATTTGCATTCTGGTTCATGCTTGTTAAGAAGTTACATGCAATTTAGAAGTATTTCTTGTTGTGCCTAATGTTTACATCATCCTAGATAAGAACGATTCCATTCCTGCAAAATGTGTCACCATACATTCTGATTTTCCAACAGAGTAGTGTAATATAGTCTTGTGATTATGAATTCTACCACTAACTTGTATTTTGTCATCGCTGGCCTATGAAGTATGGTTGCACTTTACCTTTCATAAGTAACTAACCGAAAAGGCAAATTTTACATCTACCAAAGCTGTAAGGCGAAGGATTCAAGCCATTTGATAAGTATATGCATTGTTTCAGACTGAGCGATTTTCTGTTTAGGTGAGATTGGGTCACAGCAAACATCAATGAACGATATCGAACGAAGCATTCGATCAATGCAAAATGATATGACTAAACTCAATATTCTGATTCACAAGAATAAGGGAAAACAGCAAAATCTTTACCAAGACAACGTGCTGAAAGAAGGCGAATTTGTAGAAAAGCTAAAGGTTTGTTCCAATAATTTTGGTACCAACACAGTGAAGTTTTCAGAATCCCAGATCTACCAAATTTAGCAGGCTAGAAACCTTCGGCGAGGTTTTTAGTTGATTTTTATCAGTTTCTTGTTCGTGTTACATGTGAAATATTTTACTCACAAGATACCAAACCTTTAAAAAGTACTGATTCACAATCCCATATAGGGCATGATATGCTTGTATTGCATAATTCTCTGTAATCCTTTGGTGATAAATTTCCAATAGAGTGGCTCATACATAATGCTGGAAATATGAACTATGACGTATTCTTATATTAATAAAATTCGATAACCATTCCGGTCATGTAAGGTGCTCAAACCTAGAACCATTTGCATTCCCAACTGAGGGCGGCCCAGCTTGCTATTTAACAATTTTAGCCATTTATAAACGTTGTATGACTTTTTTTATTTGAGACAGTCAGGTTTTTATTTTTCTTGCAGAGGAAGGGTGGTGGTTAATAAAAGACTGCTAGAGTCTATTCTTTTAGGAAGGGAAAAATGCAAAAGTACCCGTCAACGTTATTCTTTTTACTGATTTCTGACTTTTTGTTTTTAGGAAGCGGAGTTGAATTCTATCCAAACACAAAATGACATAGATGGTTTGAGAGAAGAGAAAAAACGACTCCTTAATGCTCTTGTCGAGGCTGAGTAAGTTTGATTGCTTTACAATATGAACCATATATAACTCACTTAATATGAAACGCACATAACCTTCTAAAAAGAGTGTGTCATTTCAATATACGCTTTGTGATTTTTTCTGTAGAAACGAAGAGCAGCCTTTACCGTGTTCCAATGGCTAAGGGCCTTGTCTTCAGTCATTCGAAGCAGTTGACGTTCTCTTTTTCGGGCTATCGTTACCTAGGCTACTGAATAGCGTCTCAAGGGAGAACTTAATCCCTTAAAACTGACAGCTGGTGGTAAATGGCGCTATTCAGGTGATTTTGTTATGCCTCTTTTTTGCACTGCAACAACTGTTTGTTATCACCTTCAACTTTTAATTGCAGGCGACAAATAATGTTGTGGGAGAAAAAGACACAACTTGCAAGAGAGGCGCGACATGCAGTCGATTCAGATATTGGGCATGGGGAAATTCACGCAATGAAGGCTGAGATTCATCGTATGGAAGTGAGGCTGGCTCAGCTGATGAGGCAGCAAGAAAAGATGATTCAGGATATGGAGAAGTCCGTGTTCAAGCGAGAGTGCATAATCGTAAAGTAAGTGGATTTATTGCGTTTTATGAAGTTAAAACACAGTTATTGCTTTGATTCCTACCTCGTTTTTCGTTCTTCTCGGCATGATCAATTTGCGTTTGATGAGCACAGCTAAGATAAGAGTTCATTTTTTGCGTTTTCAAAATTTTTCACTGTGAAATTTGGCCGTTATAGACATCACTTGGAGCGAATTGCATATTCAGGCCACTGATCTCTGAAAAATCAACTCTCTCGTTAAATAGGCCTTGTTTGGCAGCTGAATATCTCTGACTTACCATCTGAGATTTTTTTGTATTGTCAAAACGACTGGGGAGAGATCCTAATTAAGTTTTGATTCCTTTTTATCTGATTGCAAAGGCAAATCTATCGCAAACTCCCCAACTGTTATATTCAAAGCCTTCAATTCTAGTACTTTTTATGCGGTCATGACTATAGGGCTTTTATTTTAAATTTAGCCAAATTGGTCATATGAATTATGTTCTGGTTGTGCTCGCTAAAATTATTTCGAACAGAAGAAAGGTTTATCATATCATTTCTAGGTAACTGGGTACCTTTATTGAGTTTAAAAACGACAATTAAAAAAACACATAAACGATCATTATTCATTAGAAAAAATTTTCATTTACTAAATATAATTTGTCGTATAACACATGGGATCTCATAAAATCAATGGCTCAAAATACCAGTGACCGAAAACATTTATAGCCTTGAAGCTATTTCATGAATTCATCAACAAAACGTTCTTAAGACTTTTTACAAAATTGAGTTGTTTTGCCGTACAGCAGATGAGCAGTTTAGCATTATTTGGAAAAATTTGATATCTTGCGAATTTTGTGAAGTTTTCTTCACACAGTTAGGACAAAATTTTCAATTATCATCTGGACAAACGATACAAATAGGCCATACTAACAGCAAATCCAGGAAGGAATTTTCTTGTTACAAATTTCGTCTTGCTTGTCTCATATTTCTAATTTAAAGGCAAATTGTCAAGAAAGGTATCGAACTGATGGCAAGTGCTCTCGCATTCGTCAGGGTAGTTGATCAAATTTAAATATTTCAGAGGCGATGCTCAAGCCAAGACGGGAAAAGTCAAGGACACAAAGGGAAATTTTAAAAAGAAGCTTGTCGAACTTCGCAAGAAGATAAAACAAACAACGCAAGATGCAAGTTCGTGTGACGATGGTAGGTCTTTTAAAGCTTACATCAAACCACCTGATGCATTATTGCTTCTATCAAGAAAGCTAAGGCTAATTCATTCAAGAAATGTTTGAAAAAACACCTTGAAGGGTTATTTTGCAATGAAATGGATTTGATTAAACAGCTTAAATTGAAAAATGTTTAACAGTATTAAGGTGTTTATATTTATAGGAAGGTCTTATCTAGGACTTGAGAACAAAGCTGAGTGATAAAAAAAGCAAAAAGTTCAAAGATAATACCAACATGGCGTACAAAATATAAAGGGGAACGTTAAACAATAAGTTGAATCTTTTTATGGGCTATTTTGATGGCTTTTGTGTAACAAATAACCACTGCATTGGTTAAAAACTGTCATCTCTGGAGTTAGCATATCCTTTCCCATCCCTACATGCTATCCCTGCCATTCTTGCGCCTCTCTAACTCCACTTTTCTTCCCTGCTGTCTATCAGTCCTTTCCCAGCTCGCCCCTTGTCTCTACCTATCCTTAACTTCTCACTATCTGCTATTACTCTGTCCCAGTCTAGGCTTTCCCACCTCTGCCTATTCTGGCCATTTTCCATAACCTTCTTTAGGTAGTTTGGTGATTTTGAACTCTGTGGTTTGATTTTGTAATGCCCATTATTTTCCATATGCATTTTGTGGACCCGAACCAGAGCTCAAATTTGTCGAAATTAACTTTCATTCCCAAATATTTATCTGTCTAAGATTAATAAAATTGAAGACTTGACCTATTGTACAATTTGCCAATTTTGTTTCTGTTTCAAATATGAGAATTTTTTTTGATTCCATTTTGTAGTCATGTTTTGATATGTAATAAAATAAAATCATGTTTTGATATGTATTAGATTAAAATCTGATGGGCGCCCCAAATCCCACAAGAGAATGTCAGAGTAAAAACTACGTATAGGAGTGGTGGGGGACCCTGTAAGTAATTAACCAATGAAATGACACGGTTTCCGTAACAGAATGCTACACAAAGAGAACCCATTTTCCTCTAAGTAGTTTCCCGCTTTCTATTGCTTTTGTGGCTACAAAATGATGTCGACTTAACGGCATCTGCAAGCCAATTCTGCAAATTTTTGTTTTGACCGTGCGAAAAGGGAAGTTGGCACATCTTCACCAGGACGGGTTGATGCATCAGGTTGACCCTTTGGCTGCAGCCGAACGACATGTTTTTTGCTGCTGATACTGGGGGTTATGCTGTTGCAGTTTCAGAATGCCAAGCGAGGAATTCCCACGTTCCTCTAATTAGAGTCCCGCTTGCTTTTGCTTGCGGCTACGAAATGATTTTCACTTAACTCAACGTCAGTAGCAAGACAAATGGTTGGCTGAAAGTTAATGTTGCAACTTTACATCGCTCACGTTTGCACAATACTATCATCGACCAGCTTATTGGGGCCCTTGCATACTTCCATAGCATATACTTAACAAGTGTTTCTGACCCTATTATGATTTTAGGCAACTTCGGTGCGAATTCGAAAGAAGAATAATCTGCGTGAAATCGATTTATATCGTATATGATCGAATTCGAGTGCTACACGGTACACACAGTTAATCAGTGAAAATACAACTGACTGTGATAAACTGATTGATTGATTGGTATGGTATGATTGATTGACTGATTGACTGATTGCTTGATCATCCGAATGTGCCTCATATTGTATCTTCTTATGGTGTCTTAAGAATCTTACTACACTGATCACAAGCCACGTTTTCTAACTATGAGACTTCGAATGAAACAATGAACTCTTAAAATTTTCGACATCTCTGCATAATCATGAACTATTGTGAATGAATGCAAACGGTTGTGAATCAGCATTAATCACCATGAAGCAGTGTTGATGAGTCAATGTGAATGATCGACAATCGTCATGAATCTTAAATCTGTGAAAGTCGTCGTAAATCAGCTGAAATGATCACGAATCTCTGTAAATCATCGTCATGAATGATATGCATAAATAAAAACAAATCAGCCCCAGAGATCTTGATTCACCGTCAATGACAATTCTGGCAATTGGCAATAACCAAAAAATCAGAATTATTGCGTCAGACTTATTACAAGTAAGAACTTTTCTATCCTCGCACTCGTTTTTCAGTGCTAGCAACAATTTATTTCATAACTATTCTTTATTATATGTTTTTTCCATCAATAAGTTAAAACTGGTAATTTCTAACTAATGCTTCCAATGGTCGCTTTGAACCCCTCCAAACGTTTTGTTGCTTTTACAAAGCTATCAATTTTTATTACCTCTTTTTGCATGTTACCTAAACTCCCATGGAAGGATAATTAGTAAAATCTCATGGTTACTTGCTGCCTTAGGTTTTCATCTTGTGCATATCTGAATATTTTTCAAAATACGCCTTCGACTTCGGTGCATAAACATTCACCTCCCTGTCACTAAAGGTGTGCATTTTTGAAAGCCAAATTTCAGAAATGCTGTTTTCTATCATATTTCCTATCTAAAAAGTTTGATTTTTTTCGCTTATATTGGCTCTGACACTTCCGAGACCCCATATCCTATTATTTTCTCTTTATAAACATTACAAAGAAAGCCCAATCCTTCTTGCAGCCGTCTTATTACTGAACTCATGTTACGTACCAGATATTTTCTTCGTACACCGGGCCCCTTTTTTTCAGGTAATCAGTAACCTTACTTAGCATTTGTGAAAAGAAGGTACCCGCAAAGCTGCAGTTAATTATTAGTGGTCCTGAATTTCCACCAAATATTTTCATTGGTCTGGAGAATGTTTTATCATATTCATTGAATACAGTCAAATGACACTAGGTTTGTCAGTAAAACTGACGCTTCAGTTTGAATTTAAGCATTCTTTTCAAGCTCATTGTTAAACACAGTAAAGGTCTTAGATCAGTGATGTGTACAGTCAGTGGTGTAACGGAGCAGTGTGGGGACCTTATTGAAAGTAGTGTTTTGGGGCCCTTATACCTAACTGAATTTGAGTCAGGTTTTAGAGCCTAAGTACTCACTCTATGGGGTATTCCTGTAGAACCCAAAGGAACAACATACAGCAAAATATGAAAAGAAATTCTGCTGCTTGAGATATTTTCTTTGATCTTCATCTAAGCTTTTCCCGGATTTCCATGCAGTATAAACAGATGCGGCTTGAACCTATCTAGATCGATTAATATTTTCAAACTGCTTCATTGAGGAAATAATATTTATTATATTCTCGTAAATTAAATGCAAACATTTTATAACGATATGGATGTTCATTCGAAGGAACCCTAATTGACATGCTATATCTTGCATTTTTATTTTATTGTTGCTCACAAACCATATCCAGTCTTTCGCCCATCTCGATGATGCTGTGAATGCTATTAAGAAACATATGCTTTCACCGAAAAACCAATTTTTCCAGAAACCACTTGGGGACGCCTTCGCGGCCCAAATGCTTGGGGGCCCTTTGTTTTGTTAAAGGTGCACACCGTACGTTACGCCACTGTATACAGTTCGCAAAAAGTATGTCCTCCAAAGCTCCATTGGTAGCTCCATTATGAGTTCGTTTTTTAAGGGGTTCATTTTCATCATGAACTCTATCGAAGTAGCATTTTGACCTCAGAAAATGATCCAGGTTTTTTAAGATATAGTTACCAAGCATTGGAAACCTTTTAAAGATCTTGGTAGGCGTATTTTGTACTTTAATCGATTATTGAGGAGATGCCCTCATGCATTTCACGTATTGCTGTGATTGACCATTGGTACCACCTCATGGACGCTTTTCTGCCACTGCAAATACAGGATTATCTTGAGTTTTCCTGATTTGCACTGCACTGGTTGTTTTGATTATTGCCTATCGGCTGTTAGATTTTGTAATGTTCTAAATCAACATCGGATTAATTATCTTTAAGCTTAACAAACGATCAATCGATTATATCTACAAACTAATCTACAAATACGCTTAAGCCACAATGTGTCCCGTCCTGCCTCGCCTTATGTCAACGAGGCTCTCTTTGAGCGTAGATTACCAGTTTTCATGTTGGCACATGCAGGCAGAATCAATTATATCTTTCTGAATGTATTTGTGACAGCAATGCACGTGAAAAATGTTTTGTTGAAGAAGCTTTTTTTGTTATAAAGTGCTGTTACCTTTTTATGAAGATGCGGCAGACTTCAAAAGATCAGTCAAAGGAAATGATAGATCTGATTAAAAATGTGTCTTAAAGGCTGAACATTTCCTCCCTTTAAATGGTACAATAATAGCCCTCTATTTTTCCTCGTATTTTTGCATCCAATTCTCTAGATCTGTTATATAAGTTTAATTGTTTAATAGTTTGTAATATTGTAATATCATATAGTGTAATGCTGTTTAATATCATATGATATTATATTGTATGAACTGTCTAAATATTATCATTAGCAGTGCCATGTATTTTTTCAAAAACTGTTTTGGATGTTTTATAATTTGGTGGCTTTCTTGTCATTTCTAGACATACGTCAGCTGAGAGAGCATCAACATTTGCTGAGTCAGCAACTTGAAGAGAAACAGATAACAGAGAAAACTTTGTCATCAGCCATTGACGAGCAAGAAGCTGAAGTTGAGAATTTGTCCGAGACACGGCACAGGGTAAGCAAGACTCGAGTTGCCGTTTAAGTCATTCAAATGTGTTGTGTCGTAGTAGATAGAAAACGCATTGCATTTCTTTTTATGTATCTACAAAAAGTGGGCTTCACTACCTACAAAATGTCATGATTGGACAACAGGACATTTCCAGTTTGAGCAACATAGCACGTGCTGATGAGGCGTAGAACAAACGAGGGCTAGGTTCTAGCTATGTGATGTTGCAACCTTTGAAATGTAGAGCAGATAGACCCTGGTGCAACTGATATTGTGAATGTTTTGCTGAACAGTGCTAAGATGTTAATGACCCTGAAAAAAGGTGTCTTGTCTAGGAATGAATTTGTTTTTATAGATAATTTGTTTCTTTTTTAGAATCTTGCAGACATAGTTTCCAAACAACAACGGGCAAAGTATTACATGTCGCTCAAAGACAAGAAATACTCGCTGCTTTGCAAAACTGAGGATAAATTAGAAGCAGAAATGCAAAAACAACGCGATCGATTTCAGTCGTTGCTTACAATCGTTGATCGCCTCAATGTGGAATATCCAAGCCTGCAAACGGGTCTGCGGAGGATCACCTTGTCTCTTGGTTACAGGGGTGTCGCAGCGGAGTAATTTTGCACAGATGAAGAATTAGGAAGCACTGTTTGTTATCTGGTACTGCAGGAAAACTTATTGTAATGTACATATACACAAATCATTTCACATCATATTTTAGATGGCAAAAGTGTTTGTGAATTTTTAGTCCTTAGTCTCGCACTGTGTGTGAATTCGGGTCTACGTTCATTTCATAGCAAATTTAGGCGAAAAATGCTCTTGTGACCACCGTACAAGAACGATCTTGTCCATGATTTCCTCGATAGCTTCTTTGGAGAATTGCCTATTTCTTGTAAAAGGTTCGGTCTTATTTGATAAGCACAAGCATTAACTATGAAGATTCTCCAAAGGTTTTCAAAAGTGCTTTTTATGTGTGCAAATTTAACATTACTGTCTGATTATCTCTTGAAAATGTAGATACTATAGTGCTTGAGTGAAAATGACCTGACGTAAACTCTCAGTATGATTTTGTAGTAACTGGAGATATCCTAATAGGAAAGAAAATCAACCATTTTAATTAAAATATTGGCAAATATAAAAAAGATCAAAGATATGACTCTTTTCATTTTAATGATATCACGTGCTTCGAAAAAAACAAAGAAGTAGAAACACAATCACATCCAATGCTCCGTCGGTGGTATATTGCTGATGTTTGGTTCTGTTTTACAGTGTTGATCCAGAAAATCGTTTAAATGTTCAAGTTATTAATAATTTAGATTGTTTAACATTAGCATAATCTCTACAAGGGTCAGACTTATTACCTGGATCCTAAAAAGCCAATGTTTTAATTCTATCTTTAATTCCAATTTAGACAGTCTTACTAAGTTTTAGTTTTTGTCAAAGTGCAACAAGCAAGCCTATACAACCAATTTAGATTGCCACACCCCCCTTCGGATAAATGACCACACTAATGTAAATCACACATTTTGGATTGTCAATCTTCAGAATTTCTGAAAAGAGTAGTTACCATTCGTTGGCTACAAAGATTCAAATAATATTTTGGAGATGTAACGGTCAATGGTATCCTATGAAATGCGTCTCTCTATCTTTGCATTCATCCAGACTGTTTACTAGATATTATGTGATGTAGCGTACATACGTACATACAGAGTTTTCTAAAGAAATTTTAACATAATAATGGTGCGCAATTGGAATCAAAATAGAAAGATCTAGCAAGCCAGATTGATCCATGTGGATTCTTCCTTTTCCAAACCTCTGTAGAATGCATTTCTATATTTTGCTTGTGTTAATAGCATGAAAATATTGAGTTTTACATGCTAATCCCAACGTTTAAAATAAATGTTGTTTCAGCATTACCATGTTCAGCATATCTCATAATCTGTGGTATTGTCAATGGTCTACCTATGCATGCAAAGAGCAACTTGCTTAGTCCTTCTTGCAACAAAATATCCATTTTCTACCTTCAGTGATTTTTGATCGGCTAAATGCCACGAAAGTAGTTTATTTTCTTCTTTCTAGTGGTTTTATGGTTTGTGGATTGTTGAACATCAATCGTTAATAATAGGTAAATAGTTTAGGCGAGGAGGAAATGTTCGAAGAATATAACAAGGTAGGTGAATCTGTTAGAAGAAGAATTCAATCTACAAAGGCAGGTTATGAATGCATGCCAATTGAGCGACTTGAGTGTTCAGTCTGGCTTCTAGGAAACAATGTTTCTAACAATGGCAATCTTAGAACCGTCTCTGCAGCCAAATGAAGTAAACAATTCGTATTATTAATTTCAAGGAGAAGGTATTGGGAATTTCGATTGTAGTTTTTACATGAATTTGCATGTGACAACTAGACTCAAGCAAAACAAAGTTTCCCCGTCAATTTTCTGAATCTCAACGTGTTTAGAATTATAATCCTTTGAAAAAGATTTTCCATTGCAGCTGGCTTCCAACTTAAATTCGAGCTTAGCCAATCCAGATGTTTTTGTGCCTGGTAAGAGACTGCAGGCCTTAAAACTCTAAGGTCACCTAAGTCTCGTAAATTTGTGCTGTAAATATTTCTTCTACAAAGCATTTAAATGACATTGGCCAACATTTCAGGTAGAGTGTCGGTTTTTTGCTTCCTTTACTGTGCATTTGTTTGAAAGTCACAAGAAAGTAGAAAATGTTGCGTTTGGGGTAATGGGGGATTGCGAGTAATCTTAAACTTCTTTGTTTACTGGTTCAAAGTTACTGGTTTCGAAGTTTGTTTGACGCCAAGTCTTTCGCATTGGCTAAGAAAGCCGAGCAAATTACCACTGTTCCTAGAGAAATGGTAATTATCCACAAATCTTTAAATGTGTTGCAACATGGACTTGACATCAACAAGTAGCAGTTTTATTGCAAGAATAAACCTTTTCTTGTCCACCAGAAAGTAAGTAGAAATACGAAGTACAGTCGACAATTTTAACATGTATTCTGATTCGTTTTGCGATGTTCAGCACGAGTTACTCCAGTAGTAGCTAAATCACATTTACAGTGTTTTAAAGACATATTACACAGTAGACTATGCATTTTGCCAAAGTAAATTTGTTCATAGACTGATCATTATTTGGATAAAAATTATAACTAAACTTTGTAATCTTTTTAAAGGTTAAAATAATTTACGGTGTTATTTTCAATAATATGCTCTGGTTTAGACAGCATAAATATTGGTCATGTTGCCAATTTTGAATGTAGATCCCTGCGTACTGTATCAAATTTGTCAATCAAATGTAGTGGCGTCACAGGCTTTATTTTCTCTTCACTTCAGTTCAAGAAAACCATGTATTCATGATTCTCAGATTAAAATTGCTAATGAAAATAAATCCTTGTCAACTAATTTTTATTCCGAACTATTTCTGTAAAAATGCTTAAATTGGAGTTTTGCTAACACGCCATTGTCGCTTTGTTTGATTGTAAAATCAAAGTCGCTTGAATCAAATTGTTAATTCCAAAAATCCCCTTCATAGCCAGAGGTGATCGCCCTTCACAAGGATTCTGCTCTATCTAACCATCCCAAAAGCACTGGATGTAGTCAAAGGCACTCACGGAATACAGAGCTGGCGACGCTGCAGGATCGTGGAACATGATGAGTTGGAAGGCGTTTTGAACAGTCCTTGTTAGAAATAAAAGTACGATTGTACCCAATCAGGTAGGCTAAAAGAGAAACGTTCACGGTCCCTTTTCAAGTGATGATTGCTGTCATTAGGTCTGACATGAAAAGGCATAGAAACTATTGGTGGGCTAATTTTACATAGGACTTTCTTTCCAAATCCCAAAAGATGTTTCAACGCATTAACAAGATCCTGAACGCGTTAAACAGCACCTTGTTTCATTATTTGAACCGATATTTGCAATTAGACAAAGCAATCATTTTACACTACATCAAACAGACGGAAGCAGAATTATGGTAGTAATTGAACCATGGGGATTATAAGGTGACGAATAAAACTAATATTGAAATAGGCATCTAGTTATTTTGCTTGGTTGCGCGAACGCGTTGTTACGCGGTTCTCAAATACTCACTGTCACACCAATGGTTCGCCGGGCACTGTTAGGGCACAAGACAGGGTGAACCTATTGAGGACAAGGTAAAAGAGACATTTTCCTTTGAAACATTGACAATCACTGGTAGATGGCTGCCTACAAATGTATGTTTTGTGTGCATATATGTTTATCATTATAAGGGACATCATTTGAGAATTCGTTTGCCTTTACCATATTTTGTCAATAAAAACCAGCTTCGTGTTGTTTCAGAGCAAATGTCATTGACAAATGACAAATGTGTGTACATATTCCTCGTGTCCTTGTGGTAACTTCAAAGATCTGCGAGAATAACAGCGAAATGCGAAAAGACAATGTAATTTGGATGCAAAAGTAAGGATCATTGATGGTTGGGAGAAGGTGAGTTTCATGGTTCCTTATCAAGCAAACCTCAGTAATTAGCACTTGCTGTAGTTAACATGTTCGGAATACCCGCAACCAATCAAAATAGCCTTGAATTAAAGGACATCTTGTTTAGTTTTGGCCAGTTTTGTACTGGAAGAACAAGCCTGCAAACTGGATTATCCTCTCGCCTGGAAGAACCTTAATGCCCAATTGTTATCAATAAATTATGATTCGCTTGACATTAGCACCTGTATCGTCTAGCAATGTAATGCCATACAAAGGGTTTATCGCATCAAATAGAACGGATTTCAAAGGATTTATCGCCGTTACTTCACATACTGTAGCAACATTTTTGTCATTAAAAACGTCCTGTGGTATCTAAGGCTTTCCAAGATTGTGGTTGTGCATTGTACATACTTTTGTACATATTATATATACGAAATGTCATGAAAACTACATGATGTACATGGTTCTATGTTTAAGAATTAAATCAGTGTAAAATTCCTTAAAACAGATGTACCGAAAGTAACCTGTTCTCTAGACAGAGAGTAAGATATGGTTTGCGTTGAGCAATCATTAAGACTTTAGTGATCTGTGATCCGAAGAGAAGAATCTTTCTGTACTTATAAAATTTCAAAATTTTTCTGAAAATTTAATCATTGTTATCAGAGGATAAATAAATCTTAGCACAACAATAATTGATTTTAGAGAAAAAATTCTATAAAAGTTTTATTGATAAGTTTTCTCTCGCTAAATATTGGTTTCCTATGCGTGTTGTCACCTAAAATAATCGAATAAAAAGACCAGTCGTTATCAAGTTTGCACACAAAAACGATAAAAAGAAGTATTACCCTACAGTTCAAGTTGTGCGCCGTCTCTTATTGGGCGCCTTATTGTGCACCCCTCCTTCTTCCGGTATTATGCGTCGGAGATCCAAAAATCCAAGAATAAGAACCTGGCAGCAAGAGCATCTCGTATCTGTCCAAATCCTGGAATGCCATTTCAGCCAGACGATCGAGAGAAACTGAGAGTTATTGCTTCAGAACGGGATTTCAACGAGTGACTCTGCTACCAACACTTTACCCGGTCCACCTGTTGATTTTCATATTTTAGTGATAATAGCTCGTTGCTGAACTTACTAATCTAAGAAAAGACAGATAAAATATGAAAGAAAATCAACCACAATTGTAGATATCATCGGATCTGAAGTATAATTTTCTAAGATTGAATCCTCCATCTAAATTTCTCAACCCCCGACGACAGATTTTCAACCATGTTGAAATTTGTGCCATGCCATATAATCATATATAACGAAGCTTTTTATGCTCAGCTTTGAAGATTTTACGATTTTCGGATTTCGGCTGTTGATCTTTCGGGGAGCTCAGCCTTTATAAGGAATTCCATCCACTTGCGTTAGCTGCTTACATTAAATCTGGTGAAATTTGATGCAACAAAAACTCAAGGCAGCAATGAATGACCCAACGGACTGTGCTTTTAACCACAGCTGTCACCGAAAGGAAACAATGTACTAACACAAAGAATTGAAACTTGGGCGAACAAGATGGGCTTATGCCCCTCTCCCAATATTAAACATGCTAAAAATGCTGAATTTCCCAGAATTGCCGTAAGTCTACAAATCTCAAATAGTTTGGGCATATTTTTCTATATACAGTCTCCTGTGACGACGACCGTTTCTGCGAGGTTTCTACAAAGCAAAGGGTAGAGACTAAAAAAGTGTTGCAAAACGAACTTTGAAACTTGTTGAAAAATCTTAATGACACCGGCGTGAAAATTGAAAATCCATCGCAAGGGAGAGCTGCTAAATTTTTCGTAAGGTTGTTTTTTTTCTCAGAAGCATTCAAGCCAAAAACAGACTACAGCAAGCCCCCTCAGATAAGAAACATCTTTCAAGAAATCTTATACCGCTTAAATATCTTCTGAAAGACCCTGATTTGTAAAAGATTTTAGGCTTAGAAGTAGCATAAAGTTTCCTTTATGTTGGCCAATATGATTTATTCTTAACAAGGGATTTATAAACACAATTACTTTCAGATAACATGATTTCTCGGTAGCAGAAAAACTATTAAGTAAGCTTTAAGTATATAACAGTACTTATTTTCAAATTAAATACATGTGAATGGGCATTAAATATATACAATTTATATGGTAAATCACATAGTGATGTATCTATTTTTAGCAAAACATGGTTCCCGGCCATGGAAAAGTTTAGAAACTGTTAAGAAACTTTTAGCCTAAAAATCTCATGATATAAGAAACTTCTTAGGCCAGTTAGAAAGAAAGTTTCTTATTTGCTAGGACTAACTATACTAGGACCCAACTCTATCGCTGATAGACCATGTGCGAAATCAGAGGGTGGAGTCAAACATGTCATTTATTGTTATAGAGAAAAGTTTTGTATCCAGTTCTTTTCATTAGAGTCTGTTAAAAGTTCAAAAAGCCGTTTTCATTTTTCTCAGTTCTCTAGGCAACGCGTCTTGTCAAAAATGTGATGTGATGTAAAACGTTAAAAACAATTCCTGCCATTGCAAAATATCACCTTGTAAATGCAAGTATTTTTTGTCAGATTACATTGAATTAGAATTAGAGAGCATATTCTTGAGCCAAATTTGCACTCGATGTTGTTCGAGAAAAAATTTGTGTAGGCTCAATTACCCAGGGTACCAGATTCTCCATTATTTAGTCTCAGAAGCATAGTTTGAAACTAGTCACAGAAAAAATTTTTGAGCGAGGATTGGGAATATAAAACATTGATTGAACTGGATCCTTCCCCTCCTCTGCATCCATTCATTCCTTGCCACCGCAGCTTTTTACAATACTTTATCCCTGGATTCACGAGACTCGGATATTCAGGGTAAGGCCTATTTTGTTGTAAAGCTCAATAAAAAAATTGATTCTTCATCTATACCAGGGGTTCTTAATTGTTTTATGTGCCGGGCCAGAAAAACATGTGGATTTTCTTCGGGGGCCACTGAGTTTTCGACTTTTACATAGCTTGTGTCAAAAAAGTTGCAGAAATTGAAGTTCGGATCTCATACTTACCAGGCTAATTTAGAGATAAGATAGGCGGGCCTATTATTTCTTGTTATATTCTATATTCATATAATCTATGTCGTGCGCTTATTTTCATGAAATAAGTTTTTGAATGGTAGACGAGAGGAGAGAAAAAGGGAGGGCGATGATAACATTTAGGAACATTTTGTTGCCTTGATGTTAGAGGAATTGGCTCAATGTGCAATACCCGACAGATTTACACGCTCAAGGCCAGGGATAATTTTCTGGGGAAGGGGGACTTCTGGGAAAGCTTCAAACTGTAACAAAGTATACAAAGCCGAAAAATTGATTTACACGAAAGTTTGCAGCATGCGTTTCTTTTGCCAAGTTGAACCAGAAGACGGTTGTGCTATTTTTCGGTTACGAAGTTAATATTCGTTAGGTCGATTTAATGCACTTGAAGTCGGATCCAAGGACGGCCAAACGTATTTTAAAGTGGGGCCAAAATTTAATGATTGTGTTTGCATTAAAAAAGGCCGCCACCATGGTTTGCGCCAAGAAAAATTTTAGATTATAATAATCTAGGGATGGCCAGAAACTGCATCTAAAATAGAATTTGACGGGAGAATAGCTAACGGTTCCGTAGTTTTATCTATTTTAATGTTGACGTGAAAAAGGGTCTTCCAAACTTTGAGAGCATAACAGCGAATAATAAACTTTTTCACAAATGAATGAAACCGAAATAAGATGGAGAGAAAAGATAAATAAAACACAGTTTGGCAATAAAGCATTTGACAGTGCCCTAGTCCACACCATACGCTAATGAGCATGAACTTCGTGAACTAAAGATTAAGTCTGGCCTTGAGCCTGGCATCTCAGAAAGTGGAGAAAGGGGTGAGGTCATGGTGAGTTTATCAACGACCTAGTGAATTCAATGAAAGCAGTAAAATATTTTGATATAAAAACGTTTAAATGATTAAATAAAGCATTTCCTATTTTCGGACCTCCCTTTCGGACCAATTACTGGTCAACGGGAGGCACATTATCATTTACTGCAGAGAAATAGAAAATATCAGAGCCCGCGGGCCGGAGTTTAAGAATGGCTGAACTGTTCACTCAAGTTACTGAAAAGTTTGAAATCAGGAAAGAGTTACTATGTTTGATTGAAAACGTCATTCAAGTAATCTTGCAATAACGCAAAATAATTCGTTATTTTTCAGGGGATCAGGATTCTATTGTTCAATTAATCAGTGTTGAAAGACGCAAATCATCAGCATGAACACAGCGAATATGCGAAATTTTCAACGTAAGCGATTTGTCAGCACCCCAAATGATTTCGGGAGTGGTGGTGGCCTACATCACGCCAAACAGTTTTCTCCGGCTGTTGCGGTGGATAGCACGTTCACAACATCATCTCCAACATTTTCGAGAAGGGGCAGTGAAGCTGTTGAGAGTAGCTTCGGGAACGGCAAAGAGTCGACGCTAGCTGCATTGACAGTCGTATCGAAAGCAAATCAGCGGCGAAGGAGAAGAATGTCTGCAACAGCCGAACAACTTCAGGTCGAGAAAGCAATGATGACTTCGAAGGAGCATAAGAAATATTTTCACAAAGTAGGTCTTATAAAAACTATCAGTTGGATATTCATTTTTCAGGTTGGGGAGGGGTTGGGGTTTTTTTGCAAAGCCTAAAAAAGAAGCAAATTTTCTAACAAATGACAGAGTTTACCGACAAAAAGGTGTTTTAACCAACAATTTAGCAAAGTCTGGAAGGGGTGCTATTCCGCCACTGGAAACTATGAGAAATGAAGTAGTCATTTAAAAAGCATAAAAATTTTGGTCTCCTATAAACATTTTTATAAGATCATCGAGTATCATTTTGCCAAAAAACAACGATGAAAGATCATGCCCAGCCTCAAGCAGTGCGTTAGAACAAATTTACCCACCTGTCAACACAACAGAGTAGATTGAATCAGTTGATCACCCGTGCCTACTACAGAATGGCTCGAACAAAACTGCCATTAACTGGTCTTAGAAAAAATTCACGGTTTGCATAGCTTTAGTTTAAAGCTGTAGGAGAATCACTGTTGAAAAATTTACAACATTAGGAACAAGTCAGCCTCGAACATTCCAAAAAAATGAGAACAAAAATTGTCTGGTTCTTATAAAAATTAGTGCAGTAATAACTAAAAACGCTAACAATGTTTCTTGTAATCGAAAAAATGAAGGAAAATTAGCTTGGATTAGTTCTTTGATGATTTTCATTTTTTGGCACTCTTTAATAACAAGAACGTCATTACAAATTTTGGAGCTTTGTTCTGCAAACGTTTCTTATCATGTAAAAATATATTTGTTCTTAAAAATGCTCTTTTCTCTTAAAAAGGACTATCCACCGATGGAGAACTTCAAGAAGGCAGTGAAACTGGTGCAGATTCTGATAGCAATCTGCGAATTCGGATACAAAAAGTAAGAACATATAACGGCATTCACATAAGCCAATAGGGAACCATAAAAGTGAGAAACCAAGACCTTGCTCTGCAATTGAACATAAGCTTCCCTCTTCATTAAACTTCCTTGCTTCCTCTACATGACGTTGTTAACCTACAGAAATATTTTGATGCACTTATTACTTTGAGCGACAATTTACTTCGGGTTTGCTAAAATCCAAAGCAGGTCTAAACATCATGTCATGGCTTATCGCTGATATTCACGTTAAAACTAACAAATCAAATTATGAATTCCAGGAAAGAAGGTGACGAGCTCAATCTGGCAAAATACTTCACATTTACGGAATATGCCGCTAAAGAGGAGGCAGAGCAAAGCCGCGGTGGCCTCAGTTTTGACGCCAAGGAGTTCAAGGCTAACAAAGAGGTACAATCATTCTTGTAACTTTGAGTAAGATTTTCCAAAAACAAAATTTTAAGACTGCACAAAAAATCGAATCATGTCACTTGTAGCTATACCATGTTATTCTCCCATAAACGCACCAATTCGCCAATTTTTTCAAACCTCGCCCAGGGTGCATTTCATGTCAACTATACGCTAAAGGTCCACAATGGCATTTGTTTAGGTACGCCGAAAATATGAGCAGTCAGTAAAACTGTTAATATTGTACGCCAGACGAAAAAAACTGATTAACAGAGAAAACTGTGGTGTATGAGTGTTTATTTCATTCTTTTCATGTTAACTATGTACGTGACTTCTTGTTTTCACATCAAGTTTTCCATACGCCAAACACTTTTTATTGGTTTGCACACCGAACGCTGAAAAAAACCTGAGTGTACGCCAAAGATCTTCGGGCCTATGTACATGGAATCCACCCTGGGACCTGGATCCTCGCCTGGATGTGTGTTTTTAGGCAGCTTTTGGCTTATTATCCGAGGTGTTTACTTCTGAAGAGGTTCGAATGAAAGTTAAGCTTCAGTTGCATGTTTCATAGTTGCAGTATTTCAATGCACTCTGAAAAAGAATTTTTCTTAATTTCCAAAAATTTTTAGATGAAATCAATGGGTTTAAAAGCATTGTAATTGCTGTGAAATTTCTATTTTAATGCAACTCTCTTCGTAGTTCAGCCGTAACTAGAAAAACCTAATTCGTAGGATTTCTTGAACAAGGACACAAACGAAAACGAAAAATTTCCAAATAGGTTGATTTTTATTTTGATGCTAACGAAGGAACTCTGTTTGTTTTATAGTCTATTGCTTGTTCATTAATTTGAATGAAAGCAACATTCAATTCAGGAGATAGTTTCCAAGGGGTTAAACATGTTATTATGTGATAAACACGAATCTTCTGCCACATGATGAGCTAATTTTGTGATCATAAAAAGAACACGTGGTGTTTATACAGTACCTTTTACTGAGATAATATTTACGCTTCCATTAATTACGTAAATTCACGCAAATGTTGTCCAGAGAAAACTGTAAGTAAATACCATTTACCAGAGAAACCTAATACTTAAATATTATCACATTCTTGTTACGTGTGTGGAGCCGTTTATGATAAAAAAGGGTCTTAAAGGAATGTACCAAATTTGAAAAACAGATGAAATTACGCTGTCATTGAAACACAGGATTTCTCTGATTTGAGGATAACGTCTGCATCCTTTACGAGGATCCATTGCGGTTAAGATAAGTTCAATAAACCATTGCTCGATATATAGTATAACGATAGGGGTATTGTGTAAACAGTACCCTTCTAAGTTGGATATTGTAGAATCTCTCTTCGTTTCGCAAAATTCCCTTCCTAGCAATCTGTCGAATTCCCTACCTAGCAAAGTGTCTAAATGACCAAAGCAAAGTTTAAGAGATCTGACCATAAAGATGATTATTCTAAACATTTAGACTACACTCATTTTTTTACAAGAAACTGGCTATAAGAAACGAGTACTGGCTGTATAAAAAAGATTAAGAAACTTGAGTACTTGAAGCAAAAAAATTTAAGAAACTATTAAATTGTGATTAAACTGAGAACAACGAAGCTTTGTAAAATCTAAGAATATGATTGCCCTGTTGGCCTGGAACTTGAGACACAAGGGATAAAAATATACTTCCCACATCTAAGTAAAGCATCAGAACGGAAGCGAATCTCTTGACGTGATAAAAAGGTCACGTTAACTTAAGAAACATAATTAAGAAACTCTTAAGAAACAATGAGTATTGAAATTTCAAGAACACTAAAAAACTGGAGTACTCAACATCGACCTTTGTTTCTTATACAAAAAATGAGTGTACATAAGATACTAATGAGCCGCCTGCTTTCTATTCAAGCGCAAAATATGCTGTAGTTTGAAATGCTACATTGTCATGCAACATAAGTTTATTGCCTGATACAGTGTCATTTGCTATGCATACCCTGTAGAAGACGACTTCGGTTTATGATGTATCTTATCACATTTTTGCATTTCAGATGCGTTTAACTGCAGAAATCAAGGCAATCCTCACCAAACCACCAAAAGAAAGGACCAACCAGCAGCTGGCAAAAGTAAGAAATCCTTGAGAAGAAATGTATTGTTAGTGAAAGCTATCAGCTTATATACATATGATCTTTGAGAAAAAAACGTCACACAAATTCCGTTGAACATCCACAAACATATGTTGCTTGATGTAAAAGAACTATCGTACATTACTACACCAAACAACGCAATGAGAATGTTTGATGATGTTTCACAAGGTATGCACGCAATAGTACTGTCATTGGCCCCAAAGATCAAGCCCTCCCAAAACATCCACAGGGATCCTACAAGACCCGTTTCAACATATAATGGATGCTGCAGTGGACGAGCGTTGAAGTTAGTCATGGGGGTGGTGTCACGCCCACCTGGAGAATTACCAGCTCGATAATTTGAAAAGTAGCAGCAAAATTGCATCTCTTAATTTTTATTTTAGAATCTTAGTGTTGTACTTTAACCATGGATAATTTTCATAAGCTTCTTTGAATTCTACAGTCAAACCTTCCAGATCTGCAAAAGAACATATGCAGACAAAAATTGAATCATTGAGTTAAAAGTCCAGTCGGAACATTCTAAATCTGCTTATCAACATGCGATTTTTCTTGAATTAGGTCCAATTTTCACTTCGGAGTATCCAGTCATTTGCGGAATATCCTGTACGAATGCAGAAAAAGCTTGTTAAAGTTGGCTGGTATGAACAGTAAGCATCCCGTCACATGTCATAATTCTACCATTTTGATTTTGAATTCAATTGTACCTTTAAGACGTTTTTCTATATTATAAAGCCTTTGTCTACTCACCTGTTCTAGAGAGATATCTCAGAAATTTTTGATAAATTTTGCAAACTTTGTGCAATCAAAAGACCAACATAAACTGTTTGTTGGTCTAATCTGCGTGTGAATTTTGTTGCATTAAATGATCATAGATTGTAGTAATCCACCTTGCATGTGTGGAGGCATTGAGGATAATAAACATATAATTCTGCACTGCTACCAGTTAAACTTGGTCCGCAGAGATCTCTTTAGTCAGCTTAAAGTCCTTGGAAGATCATAAACAAAGTGAATTATGATGCATTTAGCAATTTGATTCTATTTGGAAGCTAACATTTAAACGTAGTTGTAAATAGAACGATCACAGAAGCAAAAGCGACCTCCGTTTTTTCTTGGAGTCACTAAGGAACAAAACCAATTAAACCACTGTGATTAATTTATTGAATTTAAGAAATTAGAGACCTCGACTATTTGATATTCAATAAGTAATAAGCTTCGCTAATTCTTTTAGGTGTTTTTGCAATTGTTTTTCAAAGTGACATCGCTGTAAGTGCTATTTCAAGAAGGGGCCAAATGACCGTTATCTGCATTAAATAGCATAGTAAAATGTAATTGCTCAATGATATGCTTAAAAAAATCAGTTGCAATATATTAAAGCATTAAAATGTGGAATTAAGAGTTTAAAGATATTTCAAAATAAAGAAAAAGAATAAAAAACAATTGCAATTCAACAGTTCAATCAACAATTCAAAAAACAAGTAGAAACTTGTTACTTTTTGATATTAACAAGAGAGGCTCAGCCCCATTGAACCCCCCCCCCCTAAGTACTACGCTCCTGTTATCATGTCAATAGTAGTGTGACAAATTTTTATGTAAGAATGTTCTTTCAACCACATAATTGGACGTTTATCATACAACCAACAAAGAAAATAAACTAAGAACAAAAAGACATAAAATTATAAATGAAAAGTTTCAATACGTGATGTTTTTAAAAAGCACCTTTATGTGCAGCAATGACCCATCCGAATAGCAGAAGGTGTTTATCCTTCTTCTATCAATAGGCAAAACGTAGCTCCTAGTAGCAACAACAATATAAATGACAAATATAAGTATCTATAAAGATATGTCGTAAATTTAATCATTTTTTTACAATATGATTCATATCATCATATTGTAAGTTTGATATAGTTATGGTGGTAATGTTTATGTGTTTTTAAACAGACATCCAGCGAAAAGGGTTATTCTGCGTCAAGGACATCCACCACAAGCTTTCTACTTTGTTCTCTCAGGCTCAGGTACAAGCAATCCATTTTTATCAAACTGAGTTTGTTTACACAGCTTTGATTAATTACATCTTTTTTAGTACTTATTCAAGGGACATTTTCTACGATTCTGCAAAATGTTGTTATTATTATGTTGGGGGTATTTTGGTCAAGATATTGGTCGAGAGTCCGAGCAATGCAAGATTGTACTGACTGGGTGCCATCATAATACTGATATTTTGCCACATCGGCGCAGACCCACGCAAGAATTGGTTTCTAAAATATAATTGATTTCTTTGAAATCTAAGCTGATCGTGAATTGTTTTGTCTTTCGTACAGCTGTTGTCAAAATTATTGATCGCCAGCAGAAAATTGCAAGGACAATTTGTTTCCTGAAACGAGGAGATAGTTTTGGGGTAAGCGTTCGTATCTTTATTTTTTGCGTTGTTTGTGGTCCTCGTGGCAAAAGCCTGTAAAAGATCTTTTAGGGCCTTGTATCAAACAAGAAGCTTATACATTTAGAGAATAGTATATTTTTAAAAAGGCTGTTCATTAAACATGTCAATAGGCCCTAAAATAGAGTATTCACTAATTGCTTGAAACTCTAAATGCCTAGCCTGAGATCAGGATTCGAACTCGGAGCCAGGCCTTTAGCCTTATGCCCGTTTTTGCCTTTAACCTTTGACTTATGGCTTTTCTTTAGCTTTTAGTCTTTAGATTTTAGCCTTTAGTCTTTAGTCTTTAGTCTTTAGTCTTTAGTCTTTAGTCTTTAGTCTTTAGTCTTTAGTCTTTAGTCTTCAATCTTTAGCCTTTAGCCTTTACTCTTTAGCCTTTAGCCTTTAATCTTTAGCCTTTAGCCTTTACTCCTTAGCCTTTATTGGTGAGGGAATGCCTTTTTGCAATGGAATAAAGAAGATCATTCTCTTTTGTAAGTTAGTAACAGCAGTGGTTAGAACAGCAGTTATTTATATCTAGCATAGTCTTTGGCAATAAAAGTTTAGTTATATTGTCTAATTTAACTTGTTGTTGTATTTACATTTGCTTGCAGTGTTGTGATGTTGAAAAAGTGGAGTTGCCATCGTTTTAGACATTGGTCCACAATAGCCAAAAAAATATTTATGAAAACTTATTTTTCTGCTTTCATGTTAAGGTCACATATCTTGATGTGAGGTTTTCTATACTAAAAATAAAGAAAATATTAAAACAAATTTCGGTACTGTGCAATGTTTCGTTTTATTTCTATTCAATGTCTCTCTTCCATTTAGCCAACTATGTATCACTATCAAATACACACGTTTTTATAAGAATACTTAATTTTTTGCTGAGTCTCAAGATTCATTAAAAATTGTGATTCTGTGCTTAAAATCATCCCTAAATCATATTTAAGAAAAAAGGTCAAATCTTTGCTACTTACTTTCGTCGTTACAAAAACAATGTAGGAGGTAAAACATGCAGCACAATACAAGCTTTTCAATTTTATCAATTTTCGAGCCTCAATATTCGTACAAAATTAACTCTTAAAAACAGTGTGTATAAGGAGTGAAGTATTTGAAATGAAAAACAACTATATTCAGCTGCTTGAAAATCAACCTTAAGTGAAATATCACCCTGATATATTAAGTTGGTCAAAAGCCTAGCTAGCAAAGAATGCGATTCTGAAAAGTTTTCAAAGTAGAAGTGAGGGCATTCAGCATCAACTTCTGTTTTTAAAAAAAGGCAAGAGGGACCGAGAGGGACTACTAAATACGAATAAATATCCAAAAACTGTTATAACTGATAACAACAATAAAAGAAATTATAAGCAAAGCATTTCTCTCAAAAGATACCAGAGGAATAAAAAAGCTATATAAATTTGCAATCATAACTACATTTAACTTCATGATGAGCAAACTGACTAAACAGGGTGTAGCTTTGTGGCTACATAAGGTATTCTGGAAACAAGGGCATGGTCCTCCCTATGGCAGGAAAAACTTGTTTCACTTTAGTATATACAGCAGAAACATATTATTTCATAAAGGAGAGATGTTTTGAAAGCAATAAAAGAAGCAAAGTGTCTTCTCAAAAAAAGAGTTTTAAAGATGATAAACGGAGTTTTATCAAGCTTTCGAATCCAGAATAAGTCTAGAAGCTAAGTTAATAGTGCCTCTGTAGATTACTCAAAATAATGATTTTGTAGAAGTTAGCCCCTGCCAATGCATGTCTACGATACATGACATTATTTCCTTTTGCCAGAGGTATCATTAGGTTATTTCTGCACTTCATTTAAAGGCTGAAAGGAAGTCATACTTAGACAGAAAATGGAGCAACTCTTTCTTCTCTCGATCTTATTACTTCTATTTTAACTTGTCTGCAGTCACAAAATTGTATTGAAAAGGAATACTGATATATGCTCAGAATATTAGAAACGTGGCATTCTAATGCTGTTAAAACTCAAGCCTCTTGCTAGATTGGTAATAAGTGTTATCAAGGCTTCTCTCATTTAATTTTCTAATTGATTACAACGTTGTTCATCCCTTTCGTAGAATAGGTAAGATTATCCCCAATTCTCGGATTCGAGCAATTTGTATCTTCATATTTGGCAAAAATGGATAACAGAATTGGAACCTTCATGTTGGTAGTCTGTGCCAAAAAAATCAAATTGTTTGGGCCGTCAGGCTGCGAATTACCCCATTTTCAAATTTAGGTTTCTCTATACATTTCAATGGAATTTGTTGCTGGAATTAAAATTTTTTACTATAATCATTTATATATAAATTTATTTTGTACCGCACGCATTTTGGTATATTGATTAAAAACAGGTCTGCAAACATAACAAGCTTTTGATGATCCCTTTGAGCAAGTACGTCCAGATCCCTCCGCCAGGCACTGCACTGCCACTGCCTTCCAAGTAATCCTAATCTGCAGGTGCTGAGCCATGCCTTTCGTCATGAACTTGCGACATTCCTGTGCCACTTACAAACAACGGCAAGCGAATAAATGCGGCCTAGACATTGCTTAATGCTGACTCAAAGTAGATAAAGTAAATATTTTTCCAAAGATGTTTACGATAGGGATTAGAGTGCATGTTCATTGCAAAAGAGGTCGAACTGAAAGAAAATAAAGCGGAAATTTGGCTGCCTGTCCACTGAAAAGCGATCGTAAATGAAGTACTTTTCGTTGTAACAGTGTCAGATTTCATCGTTCTTAAACTCAATGGAAAAGTAAGGAGGCATTTGTTGACTGCAGTATAACTTGAGGTATGAAAAACGCAGTGTGTAGTAGTTTTATTGCTCTGTTTGGTAAAGTTGAAGACCGATGTTCTCTTTTCACGACTGATAGTCCAGTTTGGGCCTAGTGTACGCAAATCGTTCGATGATGAATATTTCGTTGTTCTCTACTTTGAAAAACAATGATGGTTTTGAATCTAAAAAATTGTTTAGACTAAAAGAAATCGAATTTTCACTTTAGGTTTGTCTGTCAGTATCATTATTATTCAATGGATATTTCATTTTCATTCAGTTCGATGAATCTGTTTAAAGTATGCACCTATATTGTACGGCAAGCATATGCGTAGGACACAAAGAGACTTGAGGGGGAGGGGGAGGGGGGAGGGGAGCTGCATTATATGTCAGGCTTCAGTGGGGCAGCTCTTTCTCACTTTAGCAATATTCGGGCAAGATCCACAAGAAGCTCCTCTGAAAGGACAAAAAATATTATATATGACTAGTGTGGCAAATGCCCAACCAGGCCAACTTGATCAGGGTTGCCAGATGCTTGGAATGGTTGGCGGCCAAATTCGGCCAGCCAAACAAAATACACAAAAAGCTATATTTTTGCTAATTTTCTGCTATCTTTTACTTTGTTTCTTGATTCGTTATTTGCAACTTTGAGATTATTTTAACAATACCTTGAATATTTTCTATGCTAAAGTTGTCGTTTTCTTTGCATTTTTATGGCTTTCAACATGCGGCCAAAATTCAGCCAACTTTCGCTTTTTCGGCCAAATCAATTTTCGTCGGTCAACAACATTAAAAAACGGCCAGAATGGAACAATTTGGCCGTCAAAATGGCCAAATGGCAACCCTGAACTTGCTACCCCATCACTTAAAATCAATGTATTGTTTTGTCACTTCCCTGATGGGTCCCTTTTGCCTAGCATCGATTGTTTTCTAGGAATCTATCGTTTTCTATTTTCATGGGATGTCCGACTTTTCCCCTCCAATAAATAACCTCAAAAGATGGCAAAAAAGAAGAGATTTTCTGCTCCTCCACCTGCCGAGGACAAACCCTTTTGCCTGTAGGCTCTTCAAAACTTACTATTATTTAAATAATCTTGGCTTAAATCAGAGAGCATTGCTTCCAAAGATCAAACTTGTTTTAAAATCATTTTTGCACAAGGTACTGATGGGATAACTTTATTGGTCACGTGCTTACGGTTTTCTGATAGGCCTTTTTCTCCTTCCAGGAACTCGCCATACTCCATGATACAAAGAGACAGTCAACTGTAATAAGCAGAGAGCTGATTGAGCTTCTTTGCATCTCAAAGGAGGTAATGTTTGCACATTTGTTTCCCGGTAACCAATTTTATTTATGATCCAGTTTATAACACCTCACCCAACATTTTTTTACTTTCTTTGAGCCAATATCTCTTAAAGTTTAATAAATAACGAATCTATGTTTGGTCGAATTGCTTTTTGTTGCTGTTGTTGTTTTGTGGAATGGTGTTACTGTCTATCGTTGTTCATGTTTTCGTGGAATAGCTGGATGTCTTCTGACCTCGAGCAACTTTCATGCAGCAACAGATATACGAAAGTTGGGCAATTTCATTGTTGGACGATGTTGGGTGATATAAACTGGTGTTCCAACAACATGCAAAAACTGGGCAATTTCATAAAATATAGTGTACATGACTAGCAAAGCGTTGAATCTATTCAACAGAGCTTGAAAATCTTGTAGCAGCCTTGTCAGCAGAAGGAAATTCACGACTGTCTAGATTTTTTTCTCTGTGGTTACAACAGATATTCACCCTAATACCATTAACATGTGACAGGCATAACGACAAAATCCATTAATCTATCGATTGCAATATGACCGAGAACCATAAGACGGGCTATATAAAAACCCACTCTGTAATGCATTTAAAGGACCACTTAATCCAACTTGAAAATTTTGAATACTTTCTTCTATTAAATTCATTTTGGAATCAAGATGTCAATGCTGCTCTTTCAAATAGTTAGACTGGGAGGCTCATTAAGGAATTCAGGAACCATCTTATTACATACAGCTAATTCGAGATCTATCTGCGATCATTCGGTGCTTCCAAACATCTGCTGTTGTTTTGACTAGCTTGACATTGCTACTTTCCTAATGCATAGGTCAAATTATTAGCCAATGTCTGATAAATTTCTACTCAAACCACCCGTATCTTGTATCTTGGATATGTACCAAAATTTGATTATTTTGCTAACTCGGGAAACAACAAAACCACATGAGGTTTCGTTGTAAAAGAATGTTGATGCATATCTCCATAAGGCTTTGATTTTGAACCTCTTCTCATTTTCCACTTCTGCAAGCCTTTTGCTTACTGTTCATTCAATAGCGGCGCCAAAGGGTGGCATGACCCCCCCCCCCACTTTTGTCAAAGCTTGATTCACATAATTCTTTCTAGAAATTGACAAAGAAACACTGAATACCTTTTCAAGATTGGAAATAGGTCATACTTTTTTAAGGTTTGCCTTAAAAATCAGAAATAGAAAAGGAACTAGAGTTAGGCAAAAAGGCGTTGTCTCACGGGTCACGCTCATTGCCCTCCCTCTCTACACGGTGTCATTCAATAATCTTACGTTATAAACTTGAATCTCTAAATTCCTTGCAAGGACAACTTCGAATTACGACTATAATGCCCTATGCTGTTCATACCCAGGCCCTTAGATCTCATTAATCGCTATGTGTTAGCTTCCATAGTCGGATGTTATGACCCCCGTGAAGAAAGAGAGATACTGTGACGCAATGTCTTAGTCTACTTAGTAGATACGATCCTGGTTTCAATAATTTATTCATTTCTATTTGTTGAATCACTACAGCCTCGATTTATTCTCCCAGGACTTCATGGACATTTTCATGGCATCAGGAGGTGTTAAAAACATCAACGACCCAGATCATGCAGAATTTATCTCGTAAGTAACGTTTTCCTTGGAAATATTTTGTCACGTCTCGCTTCTTTGTTGCAGTTTGTAAATTAAACATCTTGTGATCAGTAAAACAAATTGCTGTTATTCCTTGCTATTAGTTTGTTGAAGTTTATCGTTAGATTTTGCATATTACCGAAGTAGGTTTACTATCGTTTTGAAGACTGGATATCGTATAAATTACACATTTCGCATACACGTTTTTTATAAGAAACTAAGGTCCGGTGCTGTTAGTCAGTTTCTTAAATTTTCTGGCCATTTTGCTATCAAACGTTTCTTACATGTTTTTTAAATTTCTTAGATAATGAATTTTTAAACGCGCTTTCAAGGTAAAATAAAGAGTTCACTCACATTCAGAGATGAACTAACAAAATGATCAAGGAATTTTGTTTCCTAGAGTGATTAACTCTGTTGAGATCTGTAAACAGTTCAGCTCATTGAACTTCGTCAATGTCAAGTTGATGTCAAAACAAATTTTTAAATGGAAACTTCTTGAGTGTGCAATGTACTGAGAATGAATGCAAACTGCATCTCAAGTGCAGTGTTGCAATATACAGTGATGTTCAATGTCAAGACTGTTTCGAGCGGCAACTCGGAAAAGGCAAAATATAAAAATTTCTTAGCTTTTTTTCAATTTGGGTAGGGTTGTTTCTCAACATTCGAAAAATTGAGTCTACCGTTTCTTATAACCTGCTTCATATTAAAAAATGAGTGTATGCATGATCTGTTTCATTCTTTGCAAAATAGGTTCCAATTTGACTTTACTTTCAATCAGCGAAAAAAAGATACCTTGCTTGTTTTATAAGCTCTTTAATCTCTGCGAAAACAGATTTTTTAATCTCCTATCATACACCTAGCCTGATAACCAGCCCATTATTCTAAAGGCTATCATACACCCAGTAACTAATGCTTCTTTCCAAAACATAAAGGCTATTTTGAAATCATTCACCAGTAACGAAGGATTGAGTAGCATATATATCGGTTCATTGGTTGGAAGTCTCTGGGATTGAGATTAATTAAGATGTTTTATCATGCTTTTTGCATGCATATTCTGCTACATTAAAGTGTATTGGAATGAAACTTACAGATTTAGAGAGCCAAGAAATATTTATGACATTACAAACAGTCAACTATGGTTTTAAAAACAACTTAGCAATAATTTAAAACACATTTGCTATAAGTTATTGTAGAAAAACAGCAGTTTTCATAGGATGCCTAATGCCTTTGAACTAGTAAGTTGAAACGTTAACGGATACCTTTGGAGCCCAAACAACTGTCCTTTGTAGAGGGACTGCATCTGAAAGTCTTCGACAGTAAATAAATTTTTGTACGAGAGTTGTTGGTTATCACAAATTTGTTGTCTGTTGCGAAGATGGACTTTTTAACAAGGTGTCTGTTACTTGTGGTACCCTTTAACAATAAGGTTTTACTGTGAACAAGGGCGTCCTTTTAACAAAGGTGATTCCGATCTTACCAAAGGTTATGCCCATCCTTGAGTGCCATTGAGCAAAGTCTAGGCTCACTGGCAAACCACAGGCGCCACTGATCATCTTCTTCTCTTGCTTAATCTGGGCATGAACAAGCACAAGTTCTGATATTATAGCCACAACCATGCTATTCACTTGAAAGGTTTCTCATTTTTGCTTAGCGTGCCAAAGTTTACCGTATTTTTCAAACTGTTTTTGTTTGTAAAACTTCTAGCTTACACTTTTTCATTTCCCATTTCATAACTGGAACTGCCTTTAAACCTGTCAATCGCACAATGCAAATACAATTTGAACTGAAAGGGTTACACGCCTTTCATTAAAACATTTCTGGATAAGTTTTTAATTGCTTTTCTTTCATTTTAACTCAATGCTTTTCTTAATATCTCTAGAAGCCTCGAATTTCTTAAAGGATGGCCAACCGAAGAGCTACCGAAAAATCCAAAGAAATGTTTGTTTAACTTTTTCAGGTATGTATTCCGGTTATCATGTATTTAAATAAACGTGCTGAATCAATTTATTCATAGAAACCATGAGATTCCAGCTAGCTTAAATACCTGCAGTGATGTTAGACAGGGGCGAAAATACCGGGGGGGTGTGGAGGGGTGTGACACCCCCCCAATCTAAAAAATAGTCGATTTCGCAGGGCAATCGAAGATTTCGCAGGGCGCCAAGAAGAGCTTTGTTGCCACGCAGAAATGTCACCTCTGAAGTTCGTAAAGGGCCGTTTAGGAATTTTGAAATGGAAATATCATATTTGTTATGAACCTACCTTCCTGATATTGCATTTTAGAGAACGGAACAGGTATGTAAGGAAAAGCTCCGTTATTTGCAAAGCGAAAGCATGTCTTACCGAAAGTCATAGCCAATGGATGCAATGATTGATGCATATGTTTATGAGGGCAAGGTTGAGTCCATATAAATTAATTTAAGTTGTAAATTATTTTCATGACAGGCACGGCGTCACTGGGGGGAATAGGGGGCTGAAGGCCTTCACTTTGGTCAAGATAAGAACTTTTTTATCATTTTTTCTATTAATTTTTAACAGTGCATGAAATAAAAAGAGAGTAAACTGTTAAGATGCCGATTTGTTTGATCTAATTACTAACTTTTTCACGTATATTTTTCTTTTTTTTCTTTTATTTGCATTAATTCAGTAAATCACTTTCTGTATCATTGCAATGTTTTAATTTTGGATGGCCTTCTCGATACAAGAAACTGCACATTTTTGTTCAGGAAATAAAATTCCCCCAATCAAAACAACATCTTCCTCTGTCATTCACAACTATGTGCAGTCTGAAACGAAAGGTTACCGTTTCTTTCTTTTCACAACGTCTATCACTAGAGTTTTAGCATGACATGCCCCTCCCTATTTTTCCCAATAAACAATAATCAGTTTCTTAGCACAACAGTATTTTGCTAAATTTCAGTCTGAAAGATGCTTTTTAGCCCTATTACAAGGTATAATTTCAAAAATTTTCTTCACGTCGGACCCAACCATGGTGGGTCCTCCTATATCACTAAACGTGATTCTTAGTACCCCGGGCTCAATTTCGTTGCTCCGCCCATATAATGCACCAAAAAATCATATGCTACGAGATAGAAGCTTTATTATCAAAGAAAACCAAATTTGACATATAATTTACGCTGACGTAGAGAAATAGATATTTCATAGGCAATGAAGTTTTAAGTTTGTTTTTATTGCTTAGAAGTTTTTCCTTGGTAAAGACCAGTGTACACTGGTGAAGCTTTAACTAGTAACCTATAGAGTATAGAAAAACCTTTGCTACGAGGTCTGCAGGGCATCACTCAGCTTTGCAGGGCAGAAACCCTTTTCACCCCCCCAAACCTACTGGCCAAGTTACGCCCCTGATGTTAGAAGTACTCTGTCGCAGAGGTGACTTTCTTTGAAGTGCCTTTTAGATAACAAAAGATATCATGTGCTGTTGTTTAATGTCACTTCAACCTCAATTTTTGTGTTGAAAGAAGGAACATAAGTGCCATATGAGTAGGGGCTTAGGGAGTCAAGCAAGTATTTTTATTTGCTGCACCTCAAACCTGGAACTCTTTGCCTGTCCATACCAGACAGCCAAAGGACATCGCTATTCACAAGAAGGAAGCAAAAACCCACTCTTTTCTTAAACAAGCATTACTTCTTATGTCTCTATTTCCATTTCAAAATTCTGAAGGACCTTTATTGTAATTTTTACAGTTGCTTAGCTTGATACCGCTTATCGATTGGCTAATAGTTGATTGATAGATGTCTTTAGCCACTTAAATATCTGTGGATTACTTTAAAGAAGGTGCTCTTAAATCGATATGCATTTTACCTTTTCTAGGAGAGGTGCCGTGTTAGTCCGTGACAGCAATTACTCAGACTGGATATATGTTGTGAAATCAGTAAGTGCTTCATTGCTTTAAAAAGTGCCCATGCCAAAATTGCCAAATGTTTCACTGGAAAGTTTAACTTCTGTTGAAAATTCCCTTGGTTTGGCCGCCTTGCTCGATGATAACGTAGCTGCTTGTCTGGTGGCCTTCAAAAGCATCATTGAACTCCTTCATTGTTCTAAATGTTGGCTGCGATTTTCGATGCGTTTACCCCAATGGCGGCGCCAGCCACTAAGCTCTGGGGGGGACAAACCAAAAAATTTAGGCCACGCCCTTTTAACCACCAGAAAACGCCTTTTTATCAACAGGGAACGCCAATTTTATCCGAAGGGAACACGAGTTTGTTTGAAAATTGGCAGTTTGAAAATCATAGGATTACATCACAAAAGGTACGGTGTCAAAATATTACCCCTCCCCCAACATTTTCTCATCGAATTTAGACGAAATACAAAATCGATTTTGCTGAGAACTGGGGGGGACGTGTCCCCCCCAGTCCCCCCGTGGCGCCGCTACTGGTTTACCCATTTGCCAAACAATTTTGCTTCAAAATTATTACATTTATGCAACTTATGTTAGGATTCTTCTGTCCGCAAAAATCTATTCTATTCTTCGTTGTTTATGTTTGGAAAAAGCCAAGTCAATAAATTGAAGGACAGAAAATTGAGAATCCCAGTGTGTCGATGAAGACTTTTTGAAATTGGAGGCGAGTTATTAGAAAAATTAAGGAGCTAAACTAGCAATGGAAAATAAGTCCAATGAGATGAATCTGAAAGTGAAGATGCCATTAAGCTGCTTTTCTTTTCAGAAATACTTTCATCCAGTCTGCCATGTCTAAAATAAGGTTCTAGTGCGTGCACTTTGCATTTTTCATTCCTTCCAAGCTTCGAATGATTCATTCCTACCAAGTATAAAATTTGAATCAGTGAAGATTTCGCCATGTTTGATCATGGCTTTGGATTAATTCCCAACACATGGTCAAATTGAACGCATGCCCGAGCCGGGGTATTTGAGCTAAACAGACTAGAAGACTCTACAAATTTCATTGGAGTATTCAGATAGAATTTCTGTCAACTGTTCTGTATCTTTACAAAGATTCGCATGATACGCATGCATGATAAAAAAATTCATCACTTCTTAAAATTGCATAAACAACACACGGGAGGATCACAGAAAGTACTCTCCCTGTTGCCATGTGAATTCCGTGAAAGTTGACTTGAAGTATTGTAAGCTGTGAAATTTCTGGAGAAAGGGAATGTTTTTAAGTCAGCATTTTCTTTGTTCTCAGGGAAGCTGCCAAGTCTTGAAAAAGCTGAAAAAAGTGAAATCCCAAATAGACCAGAATACAAAGTTTACAGGTACGAGGAGGAGCTATAATTTGTTCAAAGATTTTGCAAAAACTTGTTTTCTTTAAAACCTACTAGTTTCCACAACATTGGCGGAGAGACTCGTTATTACGTATTACTGGCTACAATTGTCCTATTCTTTACTACTTGATATGTACTTCACGATTTTGGTGTATAGAACAGGACGGTTCTAAGTTCAAAGTTGCTACTCGTTTCACACTTAATGCGATCACCAGGCAATGGCATCGAGCACTTTATGACAGAACGATAAATAATAATTTTCATTAATATCTACTTTAGGTCGATAATGTGAGTGTAACAATTATAACAATAATAGCAGAGTAAAGAAAACAATAATCGTCGCTGTTTACTATCTTTGTTAAGGGGGGAGTTATGGGAGGAAGGTAGAGAATAAGCCAAAATACCCCTTTGAAATGCCATGTGAATTTTACTTTGACCATTATCGCTTGCCATCAGATGACTAAGAAGACCCCCTAAAAGCAAATATTGCCTTCGTTAGTAACTATTTTCTCTTTATTTTGTTTAAAAGACATAGGGAGCAGTTCTGAATTATCACTCGAGAGGCTACATGACCTTGCTGTTGACATGGCTCGCAAGAAACGGCATAATATTCTGGACCGTCATGCAACAGCTATTCAGGCAGTGGCCTCCGCTCAAAGCAACAGTTTTCTATTGGAAACAGAGAACTTGACCACCAACAAACCTCGCAACATAACCAACTCAGCTAGCTACAGTAAAAAATCAAATCTCAAATTTGCGGACGAAGACACTGACTCGAATGATGTTAATCGAAGATTCACTTCAATCGACAGTTTCAGATTGTCCGGACCTCTACGGAGGAGACCAAGTGATCAAAAATTAGTTCAACTGAAAAATAATAAAGACGATATAGAAATTAATGATAGATTTAGTAATGATATTGGGAGAAGAAAGAAAACTGCATCTGTAGACATTCCTGACGGAGAGGTTTCTCTTCCTGTACGTAATGTTTATCCTTTTTCTCATTTGCTTCTATTTTCTCTCTATACGATGATCATCTATATAAAGCGAGAGAGCTCCAAGGCTACAGACCTATTTTTTTGCGATCATAATGAATCTTCTCTTTTCAGGCTATTTAGAAAAGTCCCAGGCTATAACATAAACCGATACTTTACATATCGAAAAAGGTTTTCCACTTAAAAACAAGACTTAAACCTGCCTTTTACTTCTTTTGTAAACTCAGTTTCCAAGATTTTTCTAACTATCTACGTATGCTATATTAGTAAACAATTCTCATTTTCATTCATGGAATCGTCAAAATGAATCCACCGCTAAAACATAACATTCTTGTATTCTTTTAAGTTTCTTTCTTTTTCTAGGCAGCAAATGGTGCACTTTCCATAAGCTCAAAACGACACAAAGGCAGTAATTTTTATATGCAGACACCATCGCCTTCGAAAAGTAATTTCAATTTCCTTTTTTGAATTGCGACTCATCATGTTGCATTCATTAAAACTTCTAAAGAAGATTAGTTTGATACCTTGTTGCTTTTTAATGCACTTTTTTAATAAGAACCAGTAAATCTAAGTTCAGGCTGGCTGTTCCTAATTTTTTAGAAAATCTGAGGCTGGGTTGTTTTTAATTTGTTCTTAATTTGATAGGGTGTAAGCAGTGCGATTGCTAGCTTTTTCGCTATAGGGAGGTAGTCAGGCCTCATTTGCCAACAAAATGAGTGAGACAACCTTCATTTGCCGACAGGTTTGAATATTCAGCGAAAAAGCACCCACACATGGCTAAAAATCCTGAGAAAAAACGTTGTTCAAAATTGCATTTTGCAGAAGCTCAGCCTCAGCTTGTTCTTAATTTGTTCTTAACTTTTGACCAATTTTGAGGCTCGTATTCTTATGAAACTGTTCTTATAAAAATAAAAGAGTGTAAATGACTTCTTCGCAATTGAAGTAGGCTTCAAAAGCCTTTTAAGGGATGATAGATTATGTTTCTCCTTTGTTTTGTAATGAGCATTTTAAGCCAGCACAAGCATAAAGTAACCACGATGTTAAGCTCTCTTGATGGAAAATCTACATTAGAATTTTAATTGTGTTACCAATTTTTAAGGTCAAATAAATTATCATTCAAGGATATTGATTTTTGGGGCCAAACAGTTCATTATCATCTATTTAATAAGCCCTAAACCCATCAAAAGGATTTTCAAGATTAAGTTCATTTTGTGAAAGCCTTTGCTTGGATTTTCTAACAATTGGAAGCTGTACGGGGTGGGAGTTGTTACAAGAACTAAAATTTATTCAGTGATCTGTTTGAACTGTTTTAGACAAAAGGAATCTGGAATCACCCCAGCAGAAACTTGCTATTATCGACGAAGCGGCAAAGAAACACGAGGAGGTAACTAAAATTCAAAAGCTGCCAAAGATTTTTTTAAGTAGAAACTATCAAGGATGTATCTACCGTGGTTTTGCAAACGCGTTGAAGTATCATCAATGGCGTAAAGGAAGCAATAAATAGCTATTTGTCTATCTGGTGAAAAAGTTTCTGCTTTTCTTAGCAATTTTAAGATATCATTAGAAAGAAGTATTTTCAAGAAATTAGAAATAAGTATTGTCATAAAAATCATCGATTACATGCAAAATTTGTTTTTCTAAAACGCACTCTATTTTTGATAATCATTCGATTTCTAAGAGAAAATTTGAGTGAGGGCTCGACCAGGGCAGGACACCCTTGACTAGCACAACTGTATGCAGGTTCGAAACCAGCCTTGTTTGTGAAACTCACTCAAATTTTCTCTTGGCATAGTTTTGCAATCCCGCACAGTATCATATGTTTACTTCTATTTTTGACGAATCTCTATTAATGAGAATTAATGTTTGTCCCCTGTAGACCGCCCAACTGACCGAAGCAGACATGGACCCATGCTTCGTGCAAGTTGCCGTCCTACAAAAAGGAGATGTCTTCGTAAGTGACATACAATCCACCTGAAAGAAATTTATGTACACACACTGAACATACAATTCACAAATTTCTTGATTCACTGGCCTTGTTCAACTCCCCTGCTCAAATTTGGTGCTGCATTTTAGAGTAGTATTGAATTATGTTAAATTGGGGAATTATGTTGGATGCTTACAAACCCTTTCACAAATGTTCCTACCACTTATTTGACATTGAGCCAGGTACTTGAGAGCATTGCTTAAGGGTTTTGTGCATTTTAGGTATTTTAGTACATAGGTTTTCACATGGTAGAACCTTTCAACGGGTCCATGTAACTAAGCTGCATAAGGTTGAATGATTGAGTTTTTATAGAATCATTTATTTATTTTGAATCCATTCCATTCTGCGCAAACCAGTTTTAATATTAACACTAAATATAAGGTCTAATTTACAAATCAATATTTTTAAACTACAGCTCGAAAAACAGAGTTAGATCTGCCTTTATTTTAGGCCCTATTTGTGACGGCCATCTTTGGCCGTTGAGACTAATTTTCATGTAGAGCAGCATGAGCTTATTTCTATGAATTTTTACTCTGAATGCCATTTCTTGTAGGGCTTGCATTCGATATTCTGCGACAGCCAACCAAGTCTCAGTTTGGTATGCAGCTAAAATATCTAAGAAATTCAAGCTACCTGATTGATGAGTTGGAAAAATTCTAAGAAACCAAATATGATATAATATATCACTATTTCTTTAAACTGTCTTTCCTTAGTACATTTTATCTATTTGTTATCTATTTTATCCATTTTATCTATTTTGGTGTTTGCAAATCATGTTATTATTTGTAAAATACAATGCTTTTTGTGTCATTTTCCATTCAAGAAGTCTAAAGTCGTCACTAACGACATTACCTCCCAATGCATAGAAATGATGTATAGAGTTTTAAATTTTGACCATTTGTAGAAAGAAAATCGCCATGAAGTCCTTCAGCCCATTGATATGCACTATTCGTTCAGCCAATGCATATTTTAAGAATTTTTCAATAGTGGGCCAAAGTCACATAGGGGCCCATTAAGGGCGTGGCCAAACAATTTTTGCCCCACAATTTCTACTTAAACCCCAAAGCCACACTCAGGTGTGTTTTGAATCTCTGCTTGCATCGATAATTTGCTTTGGAGATGTTGCAGCAAGAATTGTTTTAATTTTTGTTACTGTTCCGTCATCTTCAACTTGAAGTCTTTGACCAAGAAAATTGATTGCAGAAAGTATGACTTCAGATCTTATTGCAGGGAAGCTCCTGGATCTTGCATCCACGTACAAATAGTTTGTTCTTGACTTACGAACTTCAGTTCTCTCTTCCTAATTTATGGCAAATTTCTCTTCATTGCCCTCAGCAATAGGACCTTCCTTCATCAATTGTAGTTCCCGCAAAGCAGTTTCACGAGCATGACATCCAAGATCATAATGTTCGACTTTTGTAGCTGTTGTTCAAAATCTTTATCCATGGATGAGAATCTGACATATTTGCCCAGCTTTCTTTTAGCTCTTCCAACTTTACAGCTTCTCTATGAATTGCAGAGTCCAAATGATCAATGATATTTATTAAACGATCTTTTCCATCCGTGCGTACACCCTTTGCTAAAGGCACTCGGCCATTGCTAGACAATCTCTTAATATCACTTTCATGTGCTGCACAAATCAAACATTTCAAAAATGTTCTTGTGTGGTTTTTATATTTCTCCCTTGAAGTCGACAGGCATTCGTAAGTTTGTAGAAACCATTCTAGATTAACTTTCTTGCCTTTATACCACTGCGAATTTGTTTTGGCTTGCATTATTTCTGTTGGTGTGCTGACACTTCCAGTAGTGGCTGTACAAGTAGCTGTTGTAGTACCACTGGCAAGAAAAATCATATAATCTACGTGGGTTTCTTCCCCAGCAAAGGTAAGGGGTTCGTGCTCCAGCTGTTCATATCTACCTTCAGCTTCACCACATTGACTATTTATGCCCTCGCAAACAGGTTCAATAGGCATGTCAGAACTAGACCGGATGATTGGCCTAGTTGCTTTTCTTTCAAAGAAATTGGACACAAGAGTTTGGCCTTGAGCATTACCACTCTCTAGTAATTCTCGCTGTTTCTTTTCTCTTCGCTTCTCGTTACCACTCTTTTCCTTTCTCTTTCTACTACTGTTGCAGTTCTTGACAAACTGAATTTTAATCGGCCCAGACTCCAACATCCATCATTTGAAAACAACAGCCAAACATAATTACGATCAAATCAAGCCACGCTGAAATTATGATGATGATTATATTTCCGCTGCAATTATTCTCCTAATTTATAATTATTCCCCGCGGATGCTTTGTCAGCAAGTCAAAAAGTGAGAAAATAAATGATTTTACACAATCGTGTTGTTGTGCTATTTTTGTTCTGGTCACTTGATTTGATAAAAAGGGCCCACTTAGTGGTGGGCCAAATATGAATAATTTTGGTTCAGTAGTGGGTTATTGGTGGGGCCTGGTGGGCCTGTCGGCCCACCAGTACATATGTTAAAATATGCCTTGCGTTCGGCAGCAAATACACTGCAGAGCTTGCTTTCGTTAGCATACCATTTGAAAGCTAATTTGCTACGTGCAAAATGTCGCCACGTAGAATCCAAGCAAAGTCCTAAATGCCATAGCACTAAAGTAACACTTAAATAGTTACCTAGTAGAAAATTCTTGAAAATGATTGCTTATAACTGAAGATGGAATTTATTGTAGGTAAGCAACGGTGCAGAGTGCATAATGGTTTCGAAGAAATTCTACCTGGAACATTGCACAGAATCTTTGAAAGGAAAGCTGCGGAAATGGGTAAGCGAGGACCCCATAACCTTTCGCTTCTTGTCAAAATATAACGATAGATTCAGTACAGTAGGAAGGATATAGCTATTGCAGAAGAATCAATGATTGAGAAAAATCAGAATAAAATTGATTGTTCGTTGAAATCGAAGGATTTTTATATTCTTTGGTGTAGCACAAGCCCTCCTAAGAGCAATAGTAGGTATGTCCCTAATGGGATTATTTGATACTAAACATGGCTTTTTTAGTCGTTACTGTACAAAGTTTTGTGTCTCCAGTTTTAAAAATAGTTAGAGATAAAGAGGACAACACAACTTTGGGTGCAGTCATTTTACAATATCTCCAGATCTTTTCGTTTTACCATTACTTTATATATTTCATTAAGTGGACTGGTAACGAGCCACTGTTGAGTTGTACTGTGACCTAGGTCAACAAACAAGCATCTGATCAGTGAGAAAGAAGCACTGATTACGAGGCCAAAGTTTTGTTGACAGTAACACAGACCACGTATTACTGAATTTGAATTTTTTTTCAAGGTATCACCTTACCCTGATGACACCGAGCTCCAGAGCAGTTTGCAAGAAAAAGTCAACTGGGACCAGTATAGAGCCGCTACATTTAATGACGCTCTGCGAAACACTAGAACTCTTCGCCGTATACGTGATGCGACGGTTCTATAGTGCAATTTTATGATGTTATGTTAGGGTAGGGGGGTTGGAGGGGGGACTAGTTTTGTATTTTCAAGAAAGAGATGCACGTGCAGGTATACAGATGCATACTTAGGTATGCCGATACATACGCAGGTATGCAGATGCACATGCATTTATACATAATGATATGATGATGCATGCTGCTCATACATCAAAGGTACATTCATATTTCATACCATGAAACTGGAATAAAATATTCTTCTTATATTTGCCAAAATAATTGCTTTAGCTGAGACTCAAAAATTTTCAATTGCTCGGATCTGGGATGGTATTTACGAAAATATTGAGGCCTATTTGAGACCTCGGTTTGGCGATATTTCTTTAAGTCGTTTAAGTACCTCACTAGCAGGGTTTGTTTTTTGCCCCTTTTCTAATTTGGTAGCAAGTTGCGTGGGCACTTACCTTACGTTTCTTGCAATAAGCTAAAAGTTGCGTCCAAAAAGCAATTTCAAATCATAATTGCAAGTTTAAAACAATGATAAAGATTCACGTAAATTTTCTTTAATATATAGAGAGAATATATTATCCGATTGATGTCTTTATAGATTCCATAGCAAACTGCTTGTGAATATTTGTTATATAAAAAAGATTGATGAAATGAATCGTATATAAGAAAATTTGTCATTTTCTAACAATCAATTCAATAAAGTCACTGTCTTCTTCTCGTAACTCTTGGTAGCTTTGCATTGCCTAATGTCGTCTGAGAGTCATTAATTGAAGGGTCAACTCTCGTCTGATTGTTTTTAAGACATTTGTTGGGTTGTGCCCCTCCATAGTTTGCTTAAGTCAGCTTGGAATGCTAATTGATGTCGCGATATGCAGTTCTCTATGTTTGTGTTCCACCCTTTGCACGCCTTAACATGTTTCTGTAGTCTACGTCTACGACCCTGGTGAAAACTGGAGGGGGTCGACCCATCTTCATGCAACGAAAAAGGTTGGCTAGCAATGAATTTTGTGTTTCTTTTTCTTGCTTTTGAAGGTTTTTCTTTTTAATCTTTGCAGTATGCTATCTGCTGACTTCACGTTTTGCTGACTTTATGCACCTACATCCCATAGCTTTCCCCCCTTCTCCAATTCAATGTTGATTTTGATTTTCAATGCATGATTTCGAAGCAAAAATGATAGAACTACAAATCCAGCATTGCTTCGAGGGAACAGGGGGGGGGGGGATTCCGATTTACAGGGGCAAGGTAAAGTAGAAAATTACAAAAATTGCATTATGTCTCAACATTATTGTCCGGGATTGTAGACTCTTTCATTTTTTTCCTCTCTTCAAATTTTGAAATATTGTCTATAAAAATTGAAAAGGGTAGGAATTTTTTTGAAATGACTTGCATTTTCAAGAGATGCTTAACCGCCATTTTGCTTATAATTATTTTGAACGAAAATCGCAATAGAAGGTACATTGAAATAAAGAAGAATTCGTTAAAAAAAGTTGCATTATTCCTTCGCATAGCTCAAAATAGTTTGCTTCTTTGATTATAGAATTATTTAAGCCTTGATTTCCAAATGTTTTAAATAAGTGAGTAGACATGCTAAACAAACGAAGTTTATTTTCTGCAATTTTTCTTATTCAAAATGTTTTGTACATAGTGACATTTTACGAATCACTCGCTCCTACATTTTGATAATCTAGATGCAAAAATACCACCAATACACGTTTTTTTTAAAAGAAAGTTTTTTTCAGGGCAGCCCTCAGATTTTCTTAGCTATTTCCAGGGGCGGACTGGCTCCAAATTTAGGGCCCGGGCAATTCGTCGAGAAAGGGCCCCGAAATTCAAAGTGAGTTTACGGGTATCATCGAAGTCTTTTGTGGCAACATTTTTAAGGCTTGCTTAAGAGGCTATTGGAATATTGCTATTAGTTCTCATTAGTTACCACTATATAAGTTAAGAAACTCCAGATTCAACACAGCGGAGCCACATTAATAATTATATGGATTTAATACCGTATCATACAGACGTAGCCAAATACGAAAGTCAGTTCTAAACGAAATAAAATACTCAACAACTTTTCATTGTTCAATTGTACTTGTGGTATTTGCAAGGAATACATTTGCAACATCGGTTATACTTGATTTATTCTTAGCGTTGGTAATTTAAATTGGGGGCTCTATAACCCTTTAATTGGGTGCGCGTCATTTTCACTGTATTGCCCAGGGTTTTTTATGACATAGGATGAGAGGAAAGATAAAATCATGCCATTGTGGGAAAAAATTATTGTTTTCTAGCTAAATGACTTTTAAGTGGGAGAAAAATGAAGCAAAAAGATTTAAAGGCAGGTTGTGATCGAGAATTTATTCTTTCTATAGTGTATGATTCTTTAGGGTTAAATATGGCTGCATTAAGCGTTGCTGTGGTGTTTCTACCACTAAACTTTTGATTGATGGATGGTTAAACCCCTCAAACATAAAAGTCCGCAATGAAATAGTATCAACCCACAGAGCAAATCATGTGCCTAATGGAATGTCACAGTTATTCAAGTAAATCTTGATACGTAATTTTTCATTCAAAGCATAATGGTTGATATTTTTCCCGATCATTGTTTGAGCAGCAGGCAATATGGGAACATCAGTAGCATAAGCAGGGCTGGCGAAACGTTATTGGAAGGTGGCAAGGGGGGGGGAACAAAGAGCTTAGATTGCTCCGGGGTTTAGTAAAGGCCACCGCCGAATTCAAGAAAAAGTTTGAAAATATGACATTATAGGGTTGGCCAGAAAATGCATCAAAAATATTTACAACATCAAATTTTACCAAAGGAGGATCCTAGGCAATGCCTGTTAGTTTTCTTTTACAATAATTCCCATGGTTCAAAGAAGCTTAATTTGGACATAACAATGGGAAAGAAGTGGGAGTTGGTTTTAAAATAAACCTTCAAGCGTCAGAATAGGAACAAAGCTTAACAACGAGGAATGACTTGAGAAAGGTGCAAGCGATGCGAATGTGGAGAGTCAGAATTATAGGAGCTGCCTCTACGATAATCTGGACTGAAACAAAACAAAGCTGGGTAAAAATAGGAGGAAATGGAAAAAGGCTTGAAGTACAACAAAAATAAACATTTCCTTCTCGAATGAGCATATAGAAAAGACTAAGGCTTCAGCTTTCGCTTCCTTGCACAGTTATTTATGGCTAAAGACGACAGTTTTTGACCGGTGAAATGTGTTCGAGAAAAGCCAATCTCCTCAAACTTTCTCAGTAATTCCAAGAAATGACGTCCCTGGTGATACTTTGTTCACAATTACCGACAACCAAGATCATAATCTCAACTTTTAGCGACAAGCGCAACATTTCTGACACACATAACTTTGAACAAATTTCTAAATGCAACAATAAAAATCCCTGTATAGCCTGTCAAAGACAGTAACTAATTGTTATCAGTACGAAATCTTCAAAAGTAGTGTGTTAAACTGTCTACATTTCCATGAGTATAAAGCTTGTAATGCATCTTAGTCGTCCAGTTGCATCTTGTCTCCTTTTCTTGTTCAGTTTACAATGGCAGACATGTGCTGGAGCAAAAATTTTGTTCCAGCTTCCTATGCGTTACACGATTCTTGTCTGATTGAAGCACAAACAAGGAGGGGTGCTGAGCCCTTACCCTGGGTACCAGACTCACTATATATGAAATATAATAGAGTCTGGTACCCAGGGTACTGAGCCCTCCGCTGTTTTGATTTATATTCTCAAATCTATCTGGTTAGCATTAAGGTGGATGTATACATTGATGAAACAATTTTGGAAAATGTCCAAAAAGATTATAACAACAAGGGATACTAGCTTGAAACTTTATACAAGCAATGAATAATAGTTTACACATAAAAATATTAATTGAAAATTGGGTGTGGTCTTTTAGTTTCTATGGAAACCCTTTAAACATGGCGACGACTAGAGTTCTTTTGGCAAATAGTTTGGAAAAAGTAATTGACCAATCATTCCAGTTTTTGCACAGAGTATATAACAAAGATAGTTCTCTGCAATGAGTGATTAAACTTTTCATTTTGCACAATTGAAAATAAAAATTGCCAAAAAACATTCATTCTGATCAAAAAAAAATTTTTTTGCCTCAAATGCAAATTTTCAATCACTCATTGCATAGAGCATTTAAAACTGTACAGGACCTCAAAATTTGGTCAGTATATGTTAATCTAGGGAGAAATTACAGTAGCCACAACTCAACAACACTCCGTAAATTTAAAATTTGAGAAAATCGCAGTTAAAGTTTGTTTTAAATGTTACAGGTATTTAGAAATGAGATTCTAGAGAAAATCTAGATATTACAAGTTCCTGCCTCCCTGAGACCATGCTCATGTGAATTCCTCTAAAGGTAAAGCAAAAATAATGTCTGGTTCTTTTTCAAAATGACATGTATCAGTTAATAGATCAGTTTTTTCAGCAGTTATGTGTTTTCCATCAACGGCATTATCTTTTCTAGGCTTCTTCTTAGAGACCAATTTTCTGAATTTCCTTTCCTTATCTTAGTCTTTGAAAACTCTGGTGTTGAGGTCAAACCATATCCACCTGAAACATAACTCCTTTTATCATCAGTTTTTTTTAACCTCTTTGCACGAAGCAGTCGACGGCGGTTCTTATATTTTGCTGAAACTTTTGTAGCTGTATCTGTGAGTCTTTTTGCGTCAAACTTTCTCAATGCAAATAAGGTTTTCTGTCCTGGTAACATGTTGCATGACTCCATTATATCAGCAATACTAGACTGCCCAACATTAAACTTTGAAATTGCCAAACAAAGACATATGGTTAGTCTTCTTTTTCCACAAAACGTTGTTTTTGGGCAAATGTGCCAAAGAACCCCATGAAGGGCTTCATTCTGATTTTGGGTAATACCCAAAAGACATCTCTTCAGCAATGTATCTGCTGACAGTCTTTCAAAGATTGGTTTCAGCTCTGTAAGAAAAGCATTTGGAAGCCTCTTGCTATCATCATATGTGGCAGTACTATTTTGTTTGTCCTTAACATACTTGCACCAAGTTGTGGTATCTTGAGGGCAAAAGCTATGCTGATCCTCAAGTGATGCATTATTGTCTCTTACCATGTGCTTCAAAATAGCCATAATTGCTGATTTCATGGGCAGGAGATTTCCACTGTTTTGTCTGATTGCCTGACCATAATAGTTCTGAATGCTATCAATCTTTTTATCAGTCAACCTTCCTATTCCCCCTATTCCTTTACCATCTGAAATCTTCTTTCCCCTTGATTTTCTCTTCAACTCTCTCAAACATGTGCCCATTCTTTTTTGAACATGACCAACACATTTATCTTTAGAAACAATGTAACTTGTGTCATATGCTCTTTTAGGTGCTTCACAAACATGACTGTAGCAACCAGTATCACCGTCACCAACCATTGTGGTGTATTTCAACCTACGTTTTTCAATTGATCTAAGAAACATTCTGATTGCTCCTTTTGATTCCATCTCCCCACTTGCCCCTGTGTGATTAATTGGACATAGATCCTTATGTTTCTGCCACCAGGACATGTACCTGTCTGTGTCTTTTTCCTCAGCTTCATGAGCACGACATTCAAAACAAACAACTGACAAAACTTCATAGTCAAGAACTTTACCTGTCCTTACAGATATAACACAAACAATGCCATTCTTGGATGTATATCCTCGTTTCTGCCATGTTCCATCTATTGTAATTGCAACTTTTGCAATTTTCCTGTGGTCTTTATCTTGCTCTATCTGATCCTTGTTTTCCTCTTCAGTTATTCTTCTCAATTCATTTGCTGCATTACTCATGTGAGATTCTGTTACACCAATGCACCCTCTTTCAATGGTTTTCATGCTATTATTATAGGCCCTTTTAGCTATTGGTTCTGGTAGATTCATCAAAGCGCAGAAATTCTCCAATCCAGTCAGTCCATAACCAATTGTGGCCAAAACAGATCTGCAATTTACCTCGTATGCAGTACGTCCTCCCTTCTTATCAACTCTGTCGGAAGAATGACACTTTCCACTAGATTCTAGCTCTGTTTCTGCTTGGCAGTTGCTGCAAACAAGGATTAAATGCTCTGCAAGGCCATCACTGCCAGCCCTTTTTAAACTGAATGAAGTTTTCATACTCTTACAGTGTCTACAAATTGTTGCTTTATTAATGCAGTTAATTAACAACTCCTTGTCCATTATACCGTTTCCTGATGTTGAACTGTTTCTTTTCTCCCTCTTAAGTCCAACTTTCTCAGCATATGACCTTGTTATAGCTCTTTTACTAATGCAGTAGAGTGAACCATCAGTTAGTTTTGTTTGTGAGACATTCAGCGTGTCATGAGAATCAGCTGATGTGTTTGGGCCTATGTTCCCAATGTCGTCCGTTCCTGTTTGTTCTATTTCTGAGGCCAAATTTCCAGGTTCAAATATATCTTTGGTCTTTTCTTGTCTTTCTAAGACTTCTTTTTTAGTTTTCCCCATAAAACCTTTCCTCTTTTTTCTTCTTTTTGAACGAAATTTTCGGCGATCTCCAGTTTGAGGGTTACTTTCAACACATTCGGACTCCATTTTGAAAAAAGATGCAGGTTTTGAAAAAGAGGCTCAAACTTGCTCCTTCACATCCTTAATGAAAGGAGGTGACAAATCACCCCAAAAACTGCAGAAAGCAAGTTGTCCGGGGCAAAGGGCCCCATAGCAACCAACCGATTTTGTGTTGCTATGCGTCAAAAAATTGGTACTTTCTAGAAAAATCTAAATAATCAAAAATGGAGAAGATGGATGGGAGAATTATCATCAAAAGTGAATTCTACAATAAATTTTGAGTAAGAAAGATACAAGAAAGAAAAATTGGATATTTGATCAAAATTCCAAAATTTTCAATGTATTCATCTACCTTAAAGTAATCTACCTTTCCACAAATTGATTCAAAAATCTGTCATGTCTTTGCAAACATTGAAACTGAGGGCACGATGAGAAATTTTTTCCGATTTTGGAACTTTCATTAAGTATCGTATTATTGCATTAGGAACAGTGAGCCCTAGGCCCAGAATACTGCGTGCTTACATGGGGCCCCAAATCTTAGAAAATGCTTTTCAGTACTAAGATACAGCAATGTGATATATTTATTTATTCTTTATCCACTTATCTCATTTGAGTCTAGGTGTAATGCAAATGAAGAGGGCCCCTACTAAATAATCCAAGTTGCCATTTCATGGTAAAATGAAGAAAAATTGCAACAAATTTGGAAGGCCCACCGGGCGATCGCCCAGTAGCCCGACCGGACAGTCCGCCCCTGGCTATTTCCTAATTTCAGCACTAAAACTTTCTTAACACTTTCTAGCTAAAATGGGAAAGTTTACGTTACTAAGCATGCGCAGTTATGGAGAAGATGGAATGCTAAAAAATATGCTATATTTCTCAAAAACCCTAAACGTCGTTTCCTGCTCAGCACATTACTGTATTGTTGAAATATTTCACTCTTACACCACAATTTCCTTTGAAACTTGTCCTAAACCTGTTCGAATTTGGATTGTTTTCTTATTCGTTACCCAAGGCCATTGTTTGCCATTGTGCTCAAGAGGGGTTTAAATTAACGTAAAACCACCTGCTAGAGCTTATGTTATTGTTCTTTTGGTGTAGAGCATGGCTATTTATTGTTAACCGAAATATGATGGCCGGTTTCCATGATACACAACGACTCCACGCGAAGAATCTCAATTTGTTAACAATAAAAGTTGTTGACGCAGCAGTGCAGTAATGACTCGGGCCGCATCCAAACCAGAGGAGGTGCGAAGCTAGGCGGCGCATGCGCATTTCGATGTTTTTCCTGAAGAAGCTCATGGCCGACATTTGCGAAATTTGCGGTACAATTTCAAACGGTAAGTGCTCATCCAAGTTTTTCTACAAAGTTTTCAGAGTTTGTAGAAACCTCTAGTTTTAACTCTCAGTATTACCTAATTTCATATTTACGGCTTTGAAATTACTTAAAATGCCCAAAATTGAGTTGTAATCCCCATATGGTTTAGGCCCATCTTACGAATTTGGCCAAATGCATGTTTTCTTGGGCCGTGTATTTCCTTTCTTTTGTGGGGACAGATTCATTTTATGTGTAGATTAGGTCAATACAAGTCTGATGATGTTAAAATTTCTATTAGTCCCAATTGGTCCCCACAGCTTATGGGTGAAATGACCTTTTAAAAATTGTAAATTTTGGCGGGGTTTAACGAACCCGCCATTTAAAATTCCGAATGTTTACATATGTTGCATGTAGGAATGTTAAGTTAAAGTTGTCTTTCAATATTGGTATTACACTTATTTGCCTAAAACGTGTTTTATTTTCTATGGAGACATAATACTGAGTGCTAGTGTTAAGTAAATCTAGAATTTAGGCTAAAACTCTCCTACCAGTTTGTAAACTTGCACACATAAAGTTAAATGCAAGTTTAGGGGTCATCCAAAAATATTTTCTGTCCCAGTTAAAGCAATTTTGCAGTTAAAGGAGGGGGGAGGTATGAGTTCAGCTGGAACTTTTAAGAATTCTGCATTTTGCACAAGGATGGTTTTTGCCTGCAATGACCATAGCTAGTTTCTAGCTGTTTGCGAATTTTCACCACACAAATATTTTTCTTTGAAGGCCTGGGGCACAAATGAATATATATCCTAATGGTGTAAAATGAATCAAGACATGTGAAAAACACAGACACTCTAAAAAAGGGGAGAGAATTTCCTTTGCTACGTTTAAAACCCATTTCAGAAGCACTCATCACAGCAGATAAAGCATGTCCAGCAAGCAAGACCCTCCACACCAGGCAGACTTAACAAAAAATACTTAGAGAAAACAACTTATATAATTAGAAAAAGCTGGTTGAACTCCTATTATACCTATGCCTTGCAGTGATACACTGTTTGATGTAATTGCTCACTGGCCTCAGACAGCAGAGAAGAAACATGGATGTTGTTGTCATTGTGCTAATGGATATTCCAAGATATATTGCAGCAAGTGTCAAGTTTGCCTATGTCTGAGATGTTGGAGAATTGCTTTGCTAACTATTATGCAAATAAAACTTTTATCATGAAGCATATATATACTTCTTTTCAAATAATATGTAAAGCACTTTATTATAAACAGAACAAAATGCAACTAATAAAATATGAAAGTTTTCAATTTATGTTAATGTCACAAGTGTAGATACATGTATTCCTACTGTTGATTTTTGATTGATGGAATGTCTTCCAGTGTTAATGTGTATGTATCACAGTTATCTTCCTATAAAGATTAGAATCAATAGATTCAAAGTTTACTTATATTAAACCATCGTTTTTTCACAGTATGGAATTGCTTTTGCTAGGACTGTGAAAATTTTTTTGTGGACTTATTTTGACATACTTGATATGAAGAAATTGCAAAAATTTCATATGATCACATTTAGTTGAAAATGTGAAATATTATGAAAAGATATTTTTCATTAATTGAAAAGGCTGGATCACATCAAGAATCTCAATATTGCAAAAGAAAAATATCACCTTTATTCAGAAAACATCAATTTCAGGAAAGAAGTACTAGGTACTTCTGATAATCATATACCTTTTGGTGCCATTAAGACCCAATTTAGCATATTTTCAATAAACCAAACCATAAAAAATAACAAGGAAAACAACAATTGTCTGTAAACCTCTATGTTTCTGAATTGTTTTATGGAATTGTCAACGATTTTCTACCATATTACACAAATTTTGGTGTGCTTATCTTGCATCAAGGGATTAAACTAAAGGTTAGTAAAATGTCCCATGTATAATGGTTTTGTATCATCGAGGAAGGGGATTTAACAAAGTAACATTGGTCAATAAAGACTCTCACTTGGGGAACTTCCTTTAAAATCTCTTTCTCAATCCAGGTCCTTTAACTATTTAAGTGATCTTAACAGGTTTTGAGACAGAGTGAAAAGAATTTTAAATCTGATCTTTTTATGTTTGAAAAAACCTTAGTCATATGCAAAAAAACATAGACAAACATGAGGAAGAAAAAGTTCAATAGATAGGAATTATAATTATAATAAAATTGATTTTGGCTTCTTGGTTAGTTTAGTTGTTTATTTCTTTCACTGTAACTCTTTCTAAAAGAACAATTTTATAAACATGAGCCTCAAAGCCAGTTAAAAGTTTTCAAAATAAGAAAAGCCAGCCTTAACCTCAATTTCCTGGCTCCTATAAAACAGAATGTAAGGCCTAAATCAATCAAGGTACAGGGGGTTAAATCTTCAAGAATAACATATGAATTTGATATTTGTTGCTCATTGAGCAATTTTTGTATCTTCTGTCAAATTTGGGCTTCTGTGCTCTGCTGTACATGTATACATATATACAGTTTGGCAATGAGATCTAAAAGCTATATATAATCAGTTCAGAGGTAAATGATATATTGTTTTTTAAGTTCTCTGTTTGTCAAACTCATTAGTTTAGCGTTCTCTTCTATCCGCGAGGTCCCAAGAATTTGAATTTGAATTGGTGTAAATGCCCTACGCTTGCAATAATCTTTGCTTCGAAGTTGATCGCAATGATAAGCAGCATCCATACAGATGTTATAGCGACGGATCCAGGGAACCTCTATCCTTAAACCATTGTTCTGACGCCTTTTTGGATGTTAGGTTTTTCAAATGATCGGTATTTCTTGAGATAACAAGTATCTTCTCTGCATGATTTCGTTTGTCGCTAAGCAGAGACAAGTTAACCAGTGCTCTGAAGAATATTCCTCGTTGCTACTACCAAATATTGTTGACAACCATCCTAGTACAGAACCCTGTTTTTGGTGTTTGAACAATTCATGTTTTTGATGCCTAGGCCAGAGAGGTCCGCACGCCAGCTGAGCAACAACGATACTGCAATGAACGGCTTTCTGATGGCTACGATGGAATGCGCATGCGCTACCTAGCTTCATACCCCCCCTGCATCCAAACAAAGGCGCAGTGGTCATGAAGCTTTCAAGATGGAGGCCCTATGTTAGGCTAAGAAAATATCATGTCAATCTCTTCCTCGTTGGATGTTTGTTGGTTACGATTATTTACATTGAATTGCGTAGTTATAAAGACGTCAGCAATGTTCAACACAACATTGCATCAATCGAAACTTTAGATAATTACATCAACGGCATCGAAGAAGTTCGAGACCATGCAACTTGGCCTAACCAAGCAGAGGTTACGCAACGGGAGAGTGATCCGAGAAATCCACAAAATATTCAAAGAATAGAGAAGTCTTATGACAAAGCGCTCCCCGTACTCGGAGGAAGTTTTAACAAAAACAAAGCCGCCATTCACCGCCCTACGCATTCTGTTTGCAAGGACGTGACAAAAGACAGGCCGAATTGGACAATCGTATTCAAGAAGGGTACTCCTGATTATTGCTCAAAACAAAAGTATTTTAAATGGGTGAAACGAATAGTTTTTGCGAACAAAACTGCTCTCTACCGAGGCTGTACATCCTCAACACATAAATGTGGTTATCTTCCATATTTTGATAACAAATTGAAAGCGAGGATAAACGCGCCCCCCTGTTGTCGAAGACACGTGATTGAAATTTTCCGGAATTTTGCGAAACGAATGGAAGAGTATAGTGGAAGATACTTTTTATTCGGAGGGGGGCTGATTGGCTGGTACAGAAACAGATCTGTTGTGCCTTACGACCATGATCTCGACATACTTGTTGACCTAAATTTCTGGCGTTCAAGCCGATTTGAAAGCATGCTGCGAAAGTTAAAAAGAGAACATGGGTATTTCATAAAGAAAAAGAGCTGGAACAAAGTTAAAATTTATTACAGTAAGCTAAACCATAATTTTATTGACTTATGGCCGTTCAGAAGAAAGGGGAAGGACAAAATAAGAATTAACTCATCACAATGGAAAATCCATAATTTTACACATGTACTTCCTCTTAAAAAATCCTCTTTTGAGGGTATAAAAATCTGGATACCGCACGATCCCGAGGCAATGTTAACAGCAGAATATGGAAAAGGTTGGAGAAATGAGCTAACTTGTAAGAAGCTTGGTAAATTCGGAAACTGCCTAGAATGAGTGGAAAACAAAATCGTATTGTTATTGTTTCTGTGCAGTGGCGATTTCTGACTTTGTAAAACACGAACACGAGGTACACGAAATGTTTCTCTTGTAATTAGGGGGAAACCCCATTTAATGACTTATAAAGTCATGTCCCTGTTTCGTTTAGAATACATTCAACCTTGCAATGTATATTTTTTCAGAAACCAGTAAATTAGTAAAACTAAAGTGAAATATAGAAAATAGCAACATTCATGAAACGTGTGTATATGTCATTGCTGAGCTAGATCCACTTGTGGTAGGCGAAGCAGAAATTCCAATTGAAATAGTTGGCCAGGCTAAACTGTTTCTAAAAAAGAGCACTTAAAAACGCATTGAGGGATGCGTCTTGAACAGCTTTAATAAGGAAACTAAGATGGCACCTTCCCCCAGTACCTTCAAACTGCCGTTAATAAAGTTTTCCAGTTTTCAGCTGCTCTTTCTTTTCTACTTCACTATGGGTGATATATATTTTATGAAATGCCACGTGCTAAATATTTCTTGGTACAAACACTTGGATTTGAAAAAGTATTAGTTATCGATTATCGATACTTTTAAACGTTTATAAATATTATATTGAGCAGTTGACTGATGATCACATTAAAAGTGACACTAAGAGTTAGGGTTTCCTTTATCGACACCAAAGCGTTAATATTGTATGATTTTTTGTAAAATGCGACGACCCTACGAGTAAATCTGCAATCAAACAAGTCCCCTTCTCTACACTTGAAAAATCAAATAAAGTTGGTTATACAGACTTTCTTTAACATAGTAGCTGATGGAAAAATTGCCCCTCCTGCTCCTGGAACCATTCTTGTTTAAGAAAATATGCTATTAACACCCCTCCCCCCTCACCGCAACTAACTCGTTTTGTTACTCGAGGTACCGCGGTACAATGCATAGGGGAAAATTGTAAAAAATATTACATTCATGAATTTCACATTCTACTGTAGAACAGTCCATCTAGACTCTATTTCAAACCCGTGATTCTTACACGTACGATAAAATCCACTCGTTTAAAGCTCGCTCATACAATTCTCTGGAAAATTCAGTTTGCACGTTATTTGTAATGATTTTTTAAGAGTAAATTTACATACTTTTTGGCCTTGACGTTTTTCAAACATCTGTCAAAATAGTATGTTTACGCATCTGCTCCTTCTTCTTCGTGATCTTCATAAGAGCCATTAAACCGGCTGATTGCACTATTGATGAGGGGGGGGGGGGGGGGTCGTTAACAGGGGGTAAGGAGATAGGGAACAAATGACCCAAGTATTATTATTTTAACTTCCTTCGATAACTCCTTTCATTTTGAAGAAATCATATTTACAATTCTGTTTCCTTTAAATCTCAGCAAGCATTGCTAGATCTTGCTTAAATAGACATTAATTTTTTCAAAGACTTGATAAGCCACGAAACAGACCTCCCCATCGGAATTTCAAGTAAGTCGGCCACCCCCTTGCAATGAAACATCCCTCCGGCCCTTCCATGACGCCTGTGGTTGATTGGCTGACAGGCTGACCAGGGCTAGGGAATAAACATGAGGAGCACTCAAATAAGGTGTTAGAGGTCCATCTGAGGTCAATTGTTTTCACTTATTTTCTCTGAGCATATTATTTATTAGCACCATACCAATGTCATTTAAAAAGAGCTTCCACATCCCAGAGGACGTTCTGGAATTTTCTGTCCAATAGTACAGTATAAAACTTTCAAGTACCGCTTCTGACAACTTAAGAAATAGAATCTATAAGCAAGGAAATCAATAATCACATTTGGCAGTGCTCCACCGATATCACTTTGGTAAGATTAATTAGAAGGATTCAGAGGTGCAGGTTACTTATCCTGGGTACCAGAGCCTCAGTGGGATAGCTGTTTGGACAACAAGTGGATTCGACCAGCTCTCTCAGGTTCTGATCTGGTACCCAGGGTACCAGGGTACCAGTCCTCATAGTCCAAAAAGGACTATATGACGCTGAAGTTCAAAGGATACGGACAATCAACATGGAGAAAGACTCGTTTTCACGTTCCATTTCATTTGTATTGGCACGTTTCTAGCTATGCTGAGGCGTAGAAGGTGAAGCGAAAAGTTGGGATTTGTTCAGCTTCTGAAATCTTTTATTAAAAATGTATTAAGAAATTGTCCTACGCCTTTATAAATTTGCTTAAATATGCGTGAGAAAAATTAAACCGTAGAAGATTAGAGAACAGACAGCTTGGCGCCAGTCAATAATCGTATGAAAACAGTTTGTACCATGCTTTGAGCTGCGTAAACTTTTGCTTAAGCAAAACGATTAGGCGTGCAGCTGTTTCCTTAAAGCACTTACACATTCATCACAATGAAATTCCGCGCCAGTTGTAGTTGCGAAATTACCAAGAAAGGAAATTCCAACCCAGCTCTGTGTCATAACAAATTGGAAATCAATCAGGAGTTAGTTGGAGCTTCCTTTCATTTCTTACTCGACAGCGAGTCAGTCACACTGAAATACGAGCTTTCATTTTGGAAGTTCATAAGCAATACTATGGACCTTTTTGAAGCAAAACTTATTGAAGAGGTCCAAAAACACCCCCATTTGTACGATTCGTCTTCGAAAGAATATAGAGATGCAGTCAAAATTCAGAATTCATGGGAGAAAATATCGCGAAATTTGAACGTCACAGTTGAAATAGTAAGAAAGAAGTGGAAGTATCTTCGTGAATGCTACGTGAAGTCAAGAAAAATTTCCATGGGTAATTGGGAAGACGGAAGGCTATCAAAAGCAAACAAATATGTTGCGATGCTGACCTGGCTAGCACCATTTGTCAAGCACAGGCCAATAGAAATCACCATGTGGGTAGAAACTCTTTTTTTCTCTTTATTTAGGATATATGCAAATCTCTATTGCAACTTCTGCCCTTATAGCCAGGCACCGCGCAGCCATTGGGCTAGAAGGGGCTATAGCCCACCCACTTTTTGGCAATAATAGAGTAGAAAATTTTTTGAAGGTTTACTCTAACGCAACTTTGGATAGTTTACTCCTATGTAGTAGCAGTTCTCATTGACTAGGCACCATTTTTGTTCTTTTTCTAGGTGTTTCATCTTGTTTATTGATATGATGTATTTTCTAACTTTGTCAGCTTGGGTTTTTATTAACCTTGAGCTAATTCTATCTATTTTTATAGTTATTGATATCTTCTCTGAACCAGACTGTTCATAAAAATTCAATAGAAATAAGCAAGTATTTTCTAAAAGGGGCATTTTCCGGCGTTCAAGAGGGCGTGGCCTCAAAAAAATTTCGGTCACACCCATCGAGCCCCTCCACTTTTAGAGTGGTGCGCGGTCTCTGCTTACAGCACTCTAGCCGTTAGAGCTATTTATTACCTCCTCCCTCCTTGGGAGAATTCTTTATTTTTCGCTGTCCAGAGAGAAGCATTGAAAGAAGTGTGGGGGGGGGGGGGGTTAATAAAAAGTGTAAGAAATGGTACCCTGGGTTTCTCCCGCAACCCCCTATTTCTTCGACACTGACGCTCTCTATTTCCTCGACGCCCTATTTCCTCGACACTGACGCTCTGGAACCCAGGGTAAAGAAAGTGTATCAAGATGCTTCTCTGTGTTTTTCTGCTAAACATTAAATAACTAATACTAGCATCTTTTAACTAGAATAAGGTGATTATATACTGGGTTTAAATGCAGTGTAGGTCAATGAAAATGTCCTCATCTTTACCAGGATCATCAAGGTAAGAGGATAAGTCAGATAAATCGCCGAAAGGCTTTTATAGAGAGGGGGCTTGTTTAACAGTTTCACATCGAGGGGGGGGGAGGCTAACAAGAGAGGGGCTTAATTGCGCGGTTACCGCAATGCAGTGCTTTAAAGTACACTTGGAAGGATGGGACATGCGACCAATGACATTAGAACCTTTGAAACAATATGAAAATTTGCAAAACTGAAAAATACTTTATTGCTCTTTAAGGCCTTCGAATATGGATACAGTGTCGCTTGAAAGCCACGATGATGAAATGGCAATAAGGCACTCTCCGGCGCCAATTGGAATTTCTGCTTCGCCTACCACAAGTGGATCTAGCTCAGTAATGACATATACACAGGTTTCATGAATGTTGTTATTTTCTATATTTTACTTTAGTTTTACTAATTTACTGGTTTCTAGAAAAAATTTACATTACAAGGTTGAATGTTATTATATTTAAAATAAATGCAATGATGAAAAGTAGACGGTAGAATAAATGGAAACACCAATGCAGCAGGTAGTTGCTTGTAGAATTTACTCGACTGTTTCTATTCTGTGACTACTCTAAGATAAGCTTTTATTTTACTTACCGACAGCTTCTCTTATTGTTCAACTTTCTTTCGGAACGTCTGTTCATTTTTTGTTTTTACTGTGAATTCTGACGACCACGAAAGTTATACTCTATTAATTTGTCGTAGAATATTCCAAGAAAACGGTCACAAAACCAAACAGAAAGAGAGTCGCATACAGCGATGGCAGCCATGTTTGGTGAGGACGAATTTTCAAACTTCGGTAAAACTGTTGCAGATACATTGAGGACGTTGCCAAAAATATCCCAGGTTCTCGCCAAAAAACGAATCAATGATATCTTGTTCGAAGCAGAGATGGAGGCAATCAGAGCCAGCTCGGGCGATGGAGTGATTATACTTCAGAGCGAAGATAACAGTTAGGACGTAGATTGAATCTTAGTCACTTTTATTCTTGATTTGCAACTTATAAACAACTAAAGATTCGAGACTCAGGATGCAATAGTTTGAATTTAACCAACATTTCCTCTTCAGTTAGTCTGCCCAACTAAAACTTTCTTAACCTCAGAAAGATACTTTCACTTTCAAAGTTAGAAAATCACTGTTTCTAGAAACTCTTTTGCTATTATTCAAAGGCTGAGTTATCAAGTAGACCACCATCGCGATAATGTCCACCAAAATGCTCCTATATCAATCATAGAAAATTTACTTCTAGCATCAACCAAGTCCCGAAAAGTGCCTATCAAACCACTCTCCGAAAACAATGAATAACAAGGCAGGGTTTTGAGGACGCACTTCAACCTCTCAAGCAACTTCTGGAAGAAATTACGAGGTGCCATTTGCATCAGGAATAATTGAAGACCGACCCTTAGTGCCTTGATTGCAACGAGCTTGTCACCTTAGTAGGGATCCCACTAGTGCCCCTTATAGTGTAGGTATGTCCTGTGGCAAGATCTTACGAAATGGATGCTCACTTTCACTTGTATTTCCAAACTTACAGTGTCGCTTTTCCCAAATGAGAGCCAATATGAATGGTTTGCTGCGATCGTTCTTTGGGGGAAAAAAATATTACAATGCTATGTAATTGAAGTTTGATGAGCGGGACACTCAAAAAAACGGGTAGACCTAATTATATCGACAATATCATTTTCGCAATTTTTGCCAGGCTTTTTCTTACGTGTGTTATCAGTATTAAGCCGGGTCCTCACTTGATTTTCCATACTGGCTCGCCTATTCGCTGGGTCGCCCATTCAACTTCGACGTCTGGCAAGAAGACGATGTTTCTTTTTCTCGAAGACACGATAAAATTTTAAAATTCGGTTCACATCTAAATTCAAAAGCAAGCACGGCTGACACTACGTCTCGGGAAAACTGCCTGCGATGACCAAGAGTTTTTTGCCATGTGATAAAATCTATCCAATCCCAGCTCTCCAAAGCTAACGTGGTGCTAAAGCATGAATGGAAGTATAGATAGTGTACATGAATAGTAAACAAACAAAACGACGATCGATCAGCAGTCAAATGCTTGAAGAATAAGAAACTATGCATTGAGCAAGTATGTGTGGTACCAGAATCTCAGTGGCTTTCCAATATTCGACTGCAATCCTTTTTTAGGTTGTGGTATCCAGAGAATTGAGCAAGATTCTTTGAATTATTGTCGCCATTAGCTTCCAGAAACTATGCCAATACATTCCAAACAGATGAAAAGCATATCGAGTAGGAAAAATAGCAACGAGGAAATAGTATAAGCAGTAGTAGAAATAGTATAGAGTTTTAATACTATAAGCATACTGACAAGAGAGATCATACAAAACACAATTTTGTTTATAAAATTCTCATTGTGGAAGTAAAAACTTTATTTTTCGAAATCTGCTTAGATAAAACGTGCGCCCTTGGGTATTTAACTTGAACATTTTCTGTTAACTGGCGGTATTGGGCTTAAATTTGGAGAGAATAATACCCAATATTAAAACATGTAACATAGCGAGGGTAGGATCGAATCCATGAATTGTTGACCTTAGTTGAATGAGAACATCGTAGAGAAAACCACTTGGAGTCTCTGGCCAAACACCATCCTGTGACAAAAACCATTTAATTAAAACACTGTTAAAACCGGTTCATACTTCGCTAATTTTTTGCCTAAACAACAAAATAAAGGCATTGGCGAAAGAGAGAATTTTCGTCTGGAAATCCCTTTATAAGGATAACGAGTTGCAATCAGGGTTGACATTTATGGAAAGAAATATCCCAAGACATAAATTTAACCGTTTAGATTGTGAAAATAAAGTGGAAATTAATTCTTGAATGTCATTTGAAATACAGAAAAACTGCTGCCAGATAAGAATGAGATTGGCAGGTCCTCAAAGCCAAATTGAATTGTCGAGATACTGGTGCGGCTAGCTAAATTTGTGATCGACAGACAAACAGAGAGTAACAAGGAGGTCTGACAGAAATTTGCAAGTTGGGCGCCAAATGCAAGTTACGAGCACAGTACAAGAGATTTGTTCTTTTGCTGTGGCAGAGTGGAAAATAGTCTTTTTGGAAGGCATATCCACAACTCTCTTACTATATGTTATTTCATTTATTAACAAACATTAATTATTATGTTGATTCATTTATTAGTATGATTGATTCATTAAATGTTGCAACAATACCTTCAGTAGGCCGTGGTGAAGTAGGAAGCTCTTCACATCTTTATTGTCTTTCCCCAAAGGTGGTGTGTATTCGGTAGGTTTCGTTCGTCTCCACCAATTCTTTATTTTTCTATTCAATTTCGAACACAAAATTGTTTACAGCAATATATCACAATCATGTTTTAATGTTGTGTTATTATCAAAACCTTGCTTTTGTGTTATGCTGTTATTTTAATATTTTAATCATCTTTTGTGTCATATTGCTTATTGTCATTATTATTATCATTTGGTCTTTCAACAAAGAAGCACAAAAATTATTTTTCCGGTCAAGCATCTTGATATTTCGTTTCATAAAAACTTCAGGAAAATTAAAAAAAAGATGGTCACTACTCTATCAGCAGGCCCCAAACAATGGTCAGCTTGAACTCATAGAACTACAGCAGAAACTGGCACAAGAATGGCACCCTTCTACATTTGCCTGAACAGGTCACATGAATAACTGAACAGAAAACTAAATTTCTTCCCCCAGTCTTAATTTTTCTTTGACCAGCGTCTGTCTGTCATGAAATCCCACAGTAGATTCAGAATACAATGATTTAAATTACAATACAATTGACACAATCAGAGTAAATTGTTTTGCTCGAAAAGATGTCTTTAGTCACTAACCTTGACTTTTGAATGCCATCAGAGACACTGGTTGTATTCTTTGGTAATTTTGTGAAATGGTATAAATAGAGGGTACTTTTGATGAAGCGAGGCGCATCGTCTGGAAAGGGATCTTGTCCTAAAAGCGCCTTTACGTCTTTCTTGTTCTCTAAAAGCTTGTCAATCAAGCTTATAAACCAAGGATTGTATTGGTAGCTTCCAAGTGCAGCGAACCACATCTGCCAATCAAGTCTTGGTTGATGAGGAACTAACATAAAAAATCCCTGATAATAAAATCTCATAATTTTACGATTTTGATTACAGAGAAGAATTAAATATATGATTTCATTTCCTTAGCCATGAATTCTTCTTTAAACGAAGCAAACTAATGTGGTAGCCTCTAGCTGGCACAGAAAAACATTCACCGTGTTTGCTGCAATAAAGTGTTTAGGGAATCACGAAGATAAGTTTGATGATTGTTCGTATCGACAGTAACACAACATTAGCAAAGACAGCTTATAATCAATGTTAGACAAGATTTGAATGACATGAAAAATAAACATTATTACGACCAGCTTTCTAGATATCCAGGGCCTCGACCCCAAGCTGAGACATTTAAGCAATCACTCCATACTTAGAAAAGAAGGCGCCCCATCCAACTTTCCAGGTTTGTAGAGAAAATGGTACTCCTGAAAAATAAGAAGATAGACATGACGGCATATTTCATTAACAATAAACTTGATTGATTGAGGCTCATATCAAAGTAAAATTAATTAAAAAGCTCAATTTGAAATAAAGAGGAGACTCTGAAGAGTGGTACATAATTCCATCGTTGATATTCAATATTCAGGCCCAACTGTACTTGGTTTTCTCCATTTATTGCATGATAGCAAATGATAATGTTATTTGCTCAATTCAAATTTTTCGTCACATCCACCTGTGGCATAAACAAAATCCCCAAAATAATAAAACAGTTGGTCATATTTTGTACCATGCTTCACTCGACACTGCCGAGGTTTACATCTAGCACCGAAAAACAATTACCTACTCAATTCTTAAGCCTTTTTGAATTTTTTTGCGATTTAATTAGAATTCAATAACAATCTTGATCAGACTGGTTCACTTTATTTTACGTTTTAATAGTTGCTATAAAGAACAGAAATATCATTTATACAGGACCCTTATTGATAGCATACTTCATTGTGCTGAAAAGGCCTATCCTGTATAAATATGAATTATCATTATTATTATTATTATTATTATTATTACTGTTTTTATCAAGCTCACCTTCCAAGGACCATCCAGGCTATCACTTCCTTCAATCACTAATTCAGGTCGGCCCCCAACACCGGTCATGCTAAAACCAAAAGAAAGATATAGCATCAAACAGGCACAATTCAATGAACTGGGCACTAATGTAGAGAGATACAAAATTAATTGAGTATGATGAGCGAGTTATCTTATGTTGGGAACCGGATCCCACTAGGGCAAGTAAAACCTTGCTTCTTTTGAATCCCTAATGGTGACAGTGAACATAACAAATGGAGCAAAGAAAGAGTGAAGTTTAGATAAAACAGACAACTCAGCATGGGGGAGCATATCTGTCCAACCTTCATCAGCTGATGCGTCTCACCACCTCTTTTTCCCATCGACGGTATAGACTTATCAACAAACAGAATTCTGACAACAAACCCTAGCTAAAATTAGGGCCCATTTTGACAGTTTCAGCTTGTCTTGCCAGACTGTTTACAAAAACGTTACACTGCAGCGGGGCTGATCTAAATAAACCTCAATGATCCTGACATTGATTTGTGCACTTGTGTAGAGCGATAGAAGAAACGGCTTCAAAGATCTCAGGTATATTGGATCTAATAGTAAATAGGGAGCACGAATGATCTATGCCGACGCGAGCTTGGATATAATCACCGAGAAGTCACCGAGAAGTCAATTAGGAATGAAATGTTCAAGAAAATGTGTAGCTTGAAAGTTCAGACAAAAACTGTATTAGTAAAATGTAAGGTAGAAAACGCATTAAAATCCTGTAAAAATGGTAAGTCAAAAATGAAAGTCTAGAGGCAATAAGTCGAAACTCAGGGGTCAAAGTTCAGAGCTGAGAAGCCAGATGGCAAAGCATTTCGAAGCTACTTGCAGTGCCTGGAACAATAAATCTTGAACATTCAGGGAGAATCAAGGTATCTTTGTGAAGAAAAATAAGCACTTTTGTGTGTTGATAACATGAAACGAGGAAATTTCAAATTTTAATGTTTAGAAAGATTGCTTAATTAACATTGAAACCTGTCTGTTTCCGTTACTCTGAAACCTTTACATTCAAGAACTCACACAAGATTGGTACACAATGTTCGTTTTATACTAAGTTTAATGTACCTTCGAAACAAGCCGTAGGCATTGGCCACTTGATATTGATCTACATTGCGATACCAGCGATGGATGACAGGCCAAATCTTTGACTGGCTTTTATGCTCTATGTCTGTGTAGGGTACCTAGAAATTGGCAGACAATAAATTTCAACACGAGACAGAATGATAAATTTGAATATTAATAAACGGGAACATAATTGCAAAGGAAATATGATTCTCCTAACGTTCCAGCATTTACATAAATCAAATGCTCTCTGCAGGATTCAATGGATCTTGCTATTATAATAAAAATCATTTAGTAGTAGACAAGGGCAAACAACGAGAAACAAACGATGAAAATGAAAAATTTCAAATCAGAGGTCTATTTATCACGAAGGCCTATTTTTTAATCTACTAGGTTGAAGTAGAAATTACAAGTAAAGCAGACCTAACGCTAGGTTTTGACTTTTTCAAAATATAACATTTGGACACCAATAACATAGATTAACAAAGATACAAAGAAAGACTCACAAGACTAATGGAGAGCAGCCACGTCGCTGCAGCAGCAAATAGCAGTGTTTGCAAACTGGATAAGGCTTTGGATTTTGTATCTTTCACCTTGAAACTCCTAAAAATCAAGAAGAAACCAAAGCTTCTAAAGAGGCTTACGGCAGATGAGACGATTTTAGCTTCCCACTGGGTCATGTACTTATGTATTCAAAATTATTCACAGTAGATATGCCAAGGTTGTTATGGTTACTTGCATAAAATGGGAAATCAAACAACAACAACAACTGAAGCTTGCTTTAAACAAAGGTAACACCACTGCCACATAACAATTGGTGGCAGGAGTTGTGAAGTGAAAAACTAGCCTGAAGAAAACTTCAGTGACCCATTAACATGCTGGCTTGTAAATATCTCACTACAATGGTGTGTAGCTTAAATGGATACTTACTTATAAAAGGCAACAATGACCTCAAAAATGAAGGAAACAATGGCAATGCCTATGGATGCTGGAACAGCGATGGTCAAAAAATTTGAAAACTGGGCCTTTGTGAATGCTACAAAAAATAGGGAAAATCATATGGCAGAGAACAAGACCAAGCACAACTTAGTACTTTGGCACAACTGTTCCAAAAACACTTTAGTTCTATAGCCATTGTTATAGTCAAAATGCCTATAAAACTATAAGGAATTTAAAGGCATTTATAAAAATTATCGATGACATATAAGTCTTCGTAAAAATCATTTTATTTTTCAAATCTAATATCAATAAAGATTGAACTTGTATTTACTTCAAATTATTATATTTGAGTAGGAAAACAGAAAACCAACATTGTACAGATACTTTTAAAAAGAAAGTAGAAAAAATGAAATGTTTACAAAAAGAAGTATCGCAAGTTAAAAAAAAAACAAAAATGCTCTTTTGACTAGTTAATATTTCTTAAAAAGGAACTCTAAGCGATCTAGCATGCTGTAACTGATAAAGTTAACATCAAATACGTTTAATGAATTCAAATGAAAAAATTTAAACTCGCCAAATAAGAATTGTCTATTCTTGCCTTTTTTAGCCCCTCCAGCAATAAAAAACGATGGGTGCATTAGTCGATAACATAAATTCAAAGTAGATTCTCTTATCTTAGAACTTGAAACTAATTACAGCAGTCTTAAAGAGAATTTTGAAGAGCACTTCTATATTCGGAAAACTTGACAGCTTCAAATACTAAATATTTCTATTTAATAATTAATGAGACGTAAAAACACTCACCAGTGCTTGAGAGAATGTTCATCTCTGAATCGAGTTTCATGTTAAACATTTTTGCACTATAATGCAAAACTGAGAGCCCAAGAAACGCATTAACCAGCATTGAAAGTATTTTCACAAACATGCTTGCTTGTTTTTTTTTCTGGCTTTCTTTGGCCAGATTAGAATCGAGCCCTGGATAAAGAGATGAGAAGAAAAACTTCCTATCAAGTACATACATTTTTTACCCTAAGAAATTCGAATTCAAAAACTGGACATTAAAACGTTAATTAATAACTTAAAGAAATGTTCGTTCTGAAAAGTTTTTGAAGCAAAATCTTAGTTATTATAAGACAAAAACGTTGTTTTACCTCTAATGACAAATGATGGCAGATTGTCGAGGAAAAACTGGTCATCCAGAAGGGAAAGGCACAAAGTTATTGTTAACAGGTTGAAAAAGTTGTAGTTTCCTGTGAGAATGATGAGGATTTGAAGAAGCACCTGATGAAAGATAATATCCATTAAAAAAAGTAATGACAAATTGAAATAAACAAAAATTATATAGGCAAATGATAACCAAAATTATTGTTTACCGGTCTGTCATAAAGTGCTTCATGCCATTTAGGGAGAGCTGTACACGCTATTTGGCGAATAGAACAGTGAGTTCTAAGTTGCGACTTTGAATTTCATGCTTAATGCGATCATCAGGCAACTAGGCAAAGGCCAAAGGGTCATAGAGGACACATGATATTATTTGACAAGAATGAAAACTAGTATCTTCGAAGATTTATATTTCATTTAAATGCAAAAGAAGTAATTTGAGGGGATTTCAGTTCTATATTTACCTGGACATAGATAAAATTTCTATAGACGCAGTATAAAATTTGTATGTTGAATTAAATATAAATTTTTAAAAAAGAACACATAGGTATATGATGACATTAATTGATAACCACAATTACAGTTGAGACATGACATTTTATGTTGTTGAAGCAACGAAATGCGCACACCTGAGCAAAGAACGAGAAAATTCTTGCTGATCTCCATGGCAAGAAAAAGAGAAATGGAATTCCAATTTCGATGATAAATCTGAGAGGAAAAAAACATTCAACAACATCACAATTATTTTGAAAGATAGAGACTTCAAGTGGAAATGAGGAGAGTTTCTAGAAATAATGCGCTAACTATTTGAACCTGATTGTCCTTTAGTAAATATCAACAGTAAAAGTGAACGGGGAAATAGTTCATGCTATGATAAATAAACAGTGCATATTCGATGGGTATTTTTACAGTTAATTGGTTTTGCTGGTTAATGCTTTGAGCCATACTAAGATTATTCTATAGGGGATGTATCAACAGATGGAATTCACAGACTGAACAACTGCAGCAATACTTAACCAACTTTATCAAGAACTCTATAATTGCACTATCTCAAACCAATATAATGATCCACCTACAGAGAAACTAATGAGAATAAAGTTAAAGACGCGGACAGAGCTACGTGCAAGACAATGACGAATTCTGGGTAAAGATGATACGAAATTGAGACAAACATACGTCATAGCAACGCTAAATTTCTGGAACCACTCTGGAAGTTGATGAGCATACCAAGCCAGTTGGGTTGGGATGCACTGCGGAGGAGAAAGCCGTTGAACTTTAAAGCGAACTCCATAGCTTAATTCTAAGATCTTTAGAAATTATGAGAAAATCAGATGGAGATTCAGACTGATTTCAAGATCTGCTTGACAATGTTGATGGCCATGACGAAGACACTAGACAAAAAAATTTGACATGGCACGGCTTAATTACGTATGTCAGACTTGTGACAAGTTTCGAAGCTAAGAATAAGGAGAGCTTTATTCATAGCTTTGGGAAAGACAGTATTCAAAAATAAATTTACTCAACACGTTCATTATTAGAAGCCACCTCTGTCATAGAGTAGTTAAGACAGTTTACTCATTGCGTCGGGGAAGGGAGGGGCACTCCCATACTAAACCTAACAGGATATGCAGCGGGACAGGCTATCCTTTTCCAATAAAAAATTATGGAGCAGGGTATTATATATTGTACCTAATTTAAGGACAGGGCATAAAAATTAAGGAAATCCACAAAGAAGAAATATGTGAGAACAGCTTACTCTGTTTTTAGAGTTTTCCCAGCATGAACATGTTTCAGTTACATTTGCTAGTGGTAAATATCATGAGATCTTGTATATTTTGGCAAACCTTTTAAGGGACAGGGTATGCTTTTGGCCATTTTATTTATGGGACAGGTTCAGGGTGCAAAGAGGTTTCTTCACACCCTGTCGCTTTCCTAGTCAAGTGCCCCCCCCCCCGGGACTCACCGCAACAGAATTTACAGAAAAAAGGCTCACTTTGCCAAAATTGAAGCTCTGTAACATCGAGTTCAAAGCAGTAGGGTAAACATAAAATGCTATCCGCAGGTCCTTGCTTACGATACCAAGTCGTTTGTATATAATAATCAAAAGCAACCGGAATCTGACAGGGGTCATAACATCCACTTAATAGCGACACAAAACCACGGCTTCCTTTGGCATCTCTGTCAACTCTTTGCTATATGCACAGAAGGAATCCCTTGTCTTTGATCGGAATTTCCATTTAGCAAAAGCTCATTTTTGTGTTGTTCATAGCAACCTACCTGGGATTCATAATGATAATTTAATGCAGTCAGTCCCCACCAAGTTGGACATTCACTGGTTAATTTGACGACACCAGACTGGAACATCAACCGAAATATCAGCCATTTGATAAGCCAAAAGCACAGACCATCTCGAGGCCTAAAACGAGATAGTATGCAACCTTATGTTACATGTATATAAACTACGCAAATAAAGAGGGATTTCGACTAACAAATGTCTTTGTACAGACAGAGTAGCAAGTAGCTATTCTCTTGACCCAAATTTCCAGTGGAAAAAAGTCCTCTCAGATACAAAAACAACCAGTTGATGGTATTTAAAGGTATCCTAAAACTGAAGCATACTTGCATTCATGCGACGATCTCCATGACCAAGAGGCAACAAATATAGTTAGAAAACCTGTTTCCAGGAGCAGAATATCCCTGTAGAAGAAAAATGAAAATACACTAAATTAGCGATTATACTTTAAGCAAATCTAAAAAAACTGGTAATACAGTTGTTATTGAAACATTAAACAAACAAAATATTTACTTCTCATAAACCATAAAGAGCCAAAACCAATAATGAATGAAAAATGGGATGTCTTTCATTTTATATCTAAGGAAATTTAATCAAGTTCAAAGGAAAATTTAACAATGCTCTGAAAGATGATAATAAACATTTGATATTGAAAGATACTAACAGGACCACTAGTCAAATATCATGATTAACAAAAAGAAGAGAAAAAAAGGAATGACAACAAACCATTGAAACCATAAAAAGGTCTGACCAGCCTAGCAGTAAGAAAATAAAAATTAAAATCAAATATCTCAAAGTGCAACGTTTTCTCACTTCTTATTTTGCACATTGTATTAATAAAAATGAGCGTTATTCTTCTACAATTTGGACAAACATGGAATAAGAGATTTTGAATAAGAGAAGATAAAATGCCTTCTTACCTGATACAAGGAGTAATAGAACATCCATAATATTGCAAATGATAGAAAATTTCTGAGCTTTTCCCAAATGAGCATAAAAAATGCCAGAATTGTGCCAGTCAAACACAGCAGATCCATCATGGTGTCAACTGATAAACCAAGAGCTGGAGCATACCACAGTAATGTTGGCTTCTGCAAGAAGCTGTCATAAAGAGATCTTTTCCCTGTATATTAAGAAAAAATCATTAAATGGGTTAGGTTGGTAGCAGAAGCAATAGGATGTAAAAAAAAACAACTTATTTGCCTTGCATGTTGAGAAAATATCACTAAGCAAAAGATGCATTGTCAATATTCTAAAAAACATAATGCTAACAAGCACCGGTAATATGTTGGAAATGATTCAAAATATGAATGTTGTGATAAAAGCAAAAAAGCATTGTCAAAAAATTTCTAACAGTATACTTAAAACAAAGAAAGGCAAAATTATTTCAACTTTTAAATAATCAATTGTTTTTATTAATGATGCATAAAAAAGCTATCATGAGTAGAAAATAAACAGAGGTGATTTACAAAGATTAGGGGGTTTTGCCATCATTAATGTTTTTATCTATGTAAAAGCATTTCTTATATATTTAATTTCATTATACAGTTATAACTCACACTTTGCATTTCAAAATTTTTTATTTCTCTTTTAATTTTCACTCTATAAAAAAATCAGGCTCAACAAAGTTATGATTTCAATTTTTTCCCATAATCTCAGTGCAAGGAAATCATTTAGATGTTAAATATCCTGCCCATTAAAAGTGACACTTAGTTCATACAAATGTACATCATCTATATTCAGCTAAATATAATTATACTGATATTTATTCACTTACCTTTTTGTCTTTTTACATCTAAAAACATTCTTATTAACTATATTAATATCACAAAACCATTAATGAAAATAAATTCTTCTGACACATCTACTCCATGCCTTAAGGGGTATGACTGTCATTTCACTAACAGTTATAATGTCACCCTAGGTATGCCTTATTTTGTTTTAGTCCCTTACTTTCAATTCTTTTTCCTTATTTTATTATAGTATTACTTTTATTTTCCATATTAGATCTCACCCACATTTGGCCTTTGTTGCAGATGCATTGAGAAAATATTTTTGTATTTCCAAGGTTTAACGAGACAATAAAAGACTGACATTATCCAAATTTGATTGTCACTGGGTTTTTTTAAAATTCAGGTTTTAAATATCTAACCAAGCTCTCCTTTATTTGATTGTCTCTTGGTTTTTTAAATTTCAGGTTTTAAATATCTAACCAAGCTCTCCTTTATTTGATTGTCTCTGGGTTTTCTTAAAATTCAGGTTTTAAATATCTAACCAAGCTCTCCTTTATTTGATTGTCTCTTGGTTTTTTAAATTTCAGGTTTTAAATATCTAACCAAGCTCTCCTTTATTTGATTGTCTCTGGGTTTTTTTAAAATTCAGGTTTTAAATATCTAACCAAGCTCTCCTTTATTTGATTGTCTCTTGGTTTTTTAAATTTCAGGTTTTAAATATCTAACCAAGCTCTCCTTTATTTGATTGTCTCTTGGTTTTTTAAATTTCAGGTTTTAAATATCTAACCAAGCTCTCCTTTATTCAGATTCAAATTTTTGAATTGAGAAAATTGTTATTAATTTAAAACTAATCATGCTAAGCATTGGAAGGAAATTTAATTCTGCTTTGAAAAAATTCTACTTCTATGAAAATTCTTCCTTTTGGTTAGATTTCTCTTCAGATGTGAGTTGATACATAGTTTGTTACCTTGGCAACCATTACAGCTGATCTCACAATTTTTCAACATCCACTGTGGGTTATTTTGACATTCACCAACTGAAGCCCAATAATGACATTTTTCATGATTGTCTGTGCAATCTGAACATAAAAGAGGCCTACTTCAGAAACCTATAGTGATAGAAAAACCTTTCAAGCTCAAAGGCCACTAACTTCTCTATTTTAGACCATGTGCCTCTACCATTTTCATTGAATTAAAGTACATCTTCTGAATATAGATACAGACAGAATTCAGTTAATGTTACCATTTGCCCAGATGAAATGTTATAATGTTAGGTAAATACACTGTAAAGTTACACTGGTATTCATATTTGGAATTTGAACTGTCATAATAGATTCAATAAAGTCTAAAGTCATAAATAATAGTAATAAATATGCTCTTTGGAACATATTTCCTATTAATAAGCCCCGTCTACCACTTAGTCTGTTTCTCAGGATGTAATGTCACATTAATTGCCATGAACTTTCAAAAAATATACTGTAATTATGCAAAACCCTTGAAAAATCGGCGATACTAGATTTTTACTGGGCGTCAATTTCATCATTCCATTCACCATAATGATGATGCCAAAGTTTTGTGAATGGCACTTCTTTAATTGTGCAATTTTGCATTCAATACTGACAGCAACAAATAACCTTGCAAGTAACAAGTTTTGTGGAAACTTGGTGGAAAACAAGACATCAAGATAATTACCTTGTTGGAGATGAAGTCTTGCAGGAAGAAGACCATCCTTGCCATAAAGACCTTTGGGAAGCAAAGAGTAGTTAATGTTTGTCAAAAACTAAAAAAACCATTTATATTTTAGGGAATTCTGGGCAAAAATAAGTTTTCATTTCAAATCAAAACACTTCCTCTGGCCTTGCATTCAAATCACACCAGTATGAAGTCTTGCTCACCTCCATTAGATAGGGTAAAAGATTTTTAAAGAAAACAACCAGGTATTCAGGATACAGGTGAACCCTGTTAAGTCACACCCTGGATAACTCAGATTTTCACTAAGTTTGACTGATATTCAGTTCCACTTGAATTTTCTTACCTTTTAACAGAGGTGGCGCCAGAAATTTTCCGACAGAGGGGTTAGAGCTTCCTACAGGGAGGCTAAAATGACTAAAATAAGCAGTTTTCATATACCTTATTTTGTCAAATTTGCTCCAACAATAACCTAAAATTTCCTCCAATGGGGGGGCTAGATGCTTCTGATGGAGGGGCTATAGCCCCCTCTAGCCCTCCCCTGGTGCCACCACTGCCTTTTAATGGTGAAAAGTCATACCTAGGATAAGTTGGACCAGTTTTGATTGTTTCTAAAGCAGTTGGAAGTTGAACTTGGCAAATTTAAAGGTAATTCTCTCGGTTTCCAAGGTGTTGCAGTGTTTCCACATGGGATTGAACAACATTACCTAATGTAGTGAGGTATGCTGTGATTACCATATAATCATGGAAAGTAGCCTGATAGAACAGTAGGATATCTTTTCGACGAATATCTGTGGTGATATCTGCTACCTTAGCAATGATACAGAAGTCAGTGATGTTCAAGGGCTGAGATAGCAGTGGAGCTAGAGGGCTTTAGCTCTCCCCTCTCCACAATATTCTTATGCAAGTGAGTGTTTACAGCTTGTTAATAGTTCAGGCTTTAATGGGAAAGATATAGCAGGCGTGCCAACCACCGCCCCCCTGAAAACATCCAGGAATGTGATGGCATGTGACATTTTATGAACCTCACTCGCCAGATGCATGATGGCCCATCTTTCATTAAATCAAATGTCGCTAAAATCTAGATTCAATGCATAGCGATGTTCAAAGAGGGGGCTGTAGAGGGTAGCGAAATCGACAAATCATCTGCTACTATTTATCGCATAATTGGCAAATTATGTTCCATTGGAAAGGAGCCATACACACCTCCTTGATGGTTTTAGCTTAGTAGCATGATTCAGCTGTATATATACGTATATACCATATTAAAGCATATGTTGAATAACACTTCTGATTATATCTAGGTGTCTAACCCTTTTTATTAGTCCAGGGTGAACTTTATTAGCTTTTAGCTCCAAGGTGAATTCGAAAGATAGCAGTTGGCTTCAAATTTAAAATTTGATCCTCTTTTTCGGTCTCTCATGCAAATGAGTTGACCTTTGTTCCGTTTACTAACCTCATCACAAATGCCTTTAAATCACGAAAAATAATCTCATCACAAATGATTTTATCGCTGTTCTGATTTTATTCTGTTAGTTTGTAGTTACCTATACTGCTTTGCAAAATAGAGGTCTGACGCCCCAGATAAGAAATAATACAATAACTGACCTGGTATTTGGAAGTACAAAGAAAGGAAAGCAAATAAATATATTGCAGTGATACACCAGAGGAAAGCGCTTCTCGCGATAGCTGTAGGCATTTTCTTGGCTCTTTTGTCAGCACCAGTGGGCTACACACAGAACCAGCATGTGGCGATTCATAAGTTGTTGTTGTTCAAAGCTTAGTTGTTGCAGTTGTTCACGTGCAAAATATAACACTCTCCACGCTGCAGATAAGGAAATTTTGGGAGCAAACTAGCAAGTAGGGTAATGGGGATTTTTTCCTTTGATATGCAATCCTGGTGGGTCAAAATCCGCCAGGGGACCTAAAATTGGGGGGCTGGTGGGCACGTGATCAATCAATCATTTGGTTTTCGAACAGCAATGGAATGGGATTTTCCCATCTCTATGGATTTCCAACATTTGGGGGGGGGGGGTGTTTGGTGAGCGTCACTTCCCTCACGCCCCGTTATTCACGTGCCTGAGCTTTGCTTTTCAAGCCAGGTTGAAAATATTCATGTGAGCGGGAGTCAAAATAGCACGTACCATCAAATTTCAGCCGCTCTGAGCTTCAGACCGCTAACCCTGAAGAAGCGGTGGTTTAAGGAGGGGCAGAAAGTGCGAGTTCCCATCATTATTCAATGATGTACTTTTGTAGTTGTACATATTTTCTAAATAATATCCAACTGAGAAAGCAGCTGCTCCCAGCCTCAAGCCCCCATAATTTCTGTCACTGAACTTCTGTCACTGTCCTTGTGGGTAAAAAAATGTTTTTGATTTTCGTATTCACAATGAAAATATTTTTATTGCATGACTCCTCCCTACAGGTCTATAACACAAAGAAAAGTCGAAAAACAAAGAAAAATAGAACCACAATAAGCTGTGAAATAACAACACTTTTTCTTTGTATTTTGCCCAAGGCATGCCTGAAATTTGTGCCAGCCAATCTGTGTTGCTCTTATAAAACCTAGTGTGTTACTTGGGCTATTGTAAGGAATGTTGCTATGAGCTGCCATATTATATTACAAATAAGCCATTCGTAGTGGAAATTCCCTAAGCATCCATTTCTGCAATGAATGGCACATTTAGAACAAATGCAAAGCCGAACAAATAAAAAGATTAAAAACTTTAATGAGTTCCAAGGATTCTGCCAAGATTTTTAGTAAACCGCTAAAGATTTTTCTGCTAAAGAGTAGATTTTTTTAAAAAAAACTAGAAAGTACAGATATCCTACTGGCTTGGAACAGAGAGCAATTTAAAAATTTTTAAAGTGCATGTACAGTCCTTGCTTCAACAAAACCTTAGCAGCTTTAACTTCAGCCGTTACATATTATTTTTAATAATTAATCATCAAAAACGCGTGTCTACCCACAAAGTAGTTAATTGTCTGTTTTTTTCGTGCAGATGTTCAAAGAATTTTCATTACAGTACCATTCATTCTTATTTCAGAACAACAGATGTAGGACTGAAATATGTGAACCGAAACGATGCACCTTGCAAATACCTTCTGACAATGCCTCTGCGAAACTGATTTGTGTAAATTAGTCTAGTTTTGTTCACATATGACAATATTAACTCATCTAAAGGTAATATTCGAAATAGCAGTCGAAAACCTGTCAACCACAATCTTATGATTTGCATTCAAATGTATGGATCAAATTGTTAGCAATATATTTAAGGTAAAATTACGAGCAAAAAGTAGGTATTTTAGAGGTCAAATTAGTTAAAACATGAAAAAAACTGGCCATCGAAAAACACGACGAAAGAAATGGTTTTTGAGGTCAAGTAAAAAAGTTTGATAGGATTTCAGTACTAGAATTTTAAACAGTATGCGAATTAAAGCACGTTTACACGATCAAAGATGAACATCAGGAATTCTCAAGTTAGAAATAGGAAGCAAATATGATATGAAATAGATCGTGTAAATGTACTTTAAAAGAATTCATATATCATCATAAAAACAATACGTATGATACAGACATAATACGTTCAAATACCTTGTTAATCAGCCTAAAAGTCGCTAATGAGCCTCAATCTCTAATTGAAGAGACTCAAATGCTAATTATACAGCGAAATCATTTAGTCGAAGATTCTAATGAACTAAGAATAATCAATTATTGGCAGAAAGAAAGTAGCACTGCAGGGACCAAGCGTCTGCCCACATGGATACAGTTGCGCCACAAATAACTTTCGAGTGTTGTTTTTCCTCAATGGAAGGCTTAGCTAAACGACAAAAATCTAAAACTTCCTTTTCCTTTTCAATGGCTCATTGACAAAATTATGACTCCGTAGTTGATATATAATAACATAGAACAGAATACACGATCTAAGACACAAGGCTCAATATGGGTACCTTCTTTTACAACTAAGCTTGCGAGGAAAAATCGTCAATAAATGAACGAGTTTCGAATGAATAAAAAATGTAGATCAGTTAGGAATGAGAAAGTAAGAATGACATAAGGGTTGATGGAGCTGCCGAAGGCTGACAAAGGCTGTTCTCACATCGCAGCACGTGAAGTGTGCACGTAAAGTGTACACGTGAAGTGTCCACGTAAAGTGTACACGTGAAGTGTCCACGTAAAGTGTACACGTGAAGTGTCTACGTAAAGTGTACACGTGAAGTGTCCACGTAAAGTCAATAAATTGCACAAATAATATACCTCAGTTGATTGAACAATAGCTTGATGATTCATCTGCAATCAAGTTCTCGTTCTTTAGCACAATTTTTATAATTTGTATCTAACAGCAGCATTTTAACATATAAATAAAAGTAATAATAGTATGGTCTTCCTAGAATTAACAGCATTTTCATCTTCAAATTCATTGAAGACCAGGTTACGAGTCTAAACTAGTTGATCACTGCTCTACTTGAATCTAGTTTGCTGTTATCATTGAGCTGTATATTAATTTACTTCCTAAACGTTGTTATATTTATCACTCCGCTATTTGGAGATATATTCATTTAAATTTCTTGTTCAGGACATTCTTCAAAATTCAAAAGAGAGTCCGTGATGATTGGTATTTTAAGGTTTTTCAGAAAGAAATCCTTTTCAAGTGGGTTGTTTACTGTCCAAGCCATTAGTTCTACATTTTTCGCTCTCCATTTGTTGATATATCTCCTAGAAAAAAGTTTAAGTGTTTAGCGGTGTTTACGTTTCTGAAAGGAACCAGAAAATATTGAAAGAACAAATCATACAAAAATGAACAAATAAATTTGGATAGAAATGTTAAGCTAAAAATGCTTTCGATAACAATACGTTTGCTCTGAGAATATAATAAAAGTACAAAATTGATTTAATAAAAGTGAAAAATGATGGATGGAACATCCTACCATTTAAGAAGCAAAGGTAATTAAAGGCAGCACCACTTTATTTATTTTTGTGTCATTAAAAACCAACAAAGTTACGCTCAAACAAACACACTATTTGACTGAGCAACCTTCAGAATTGCTGTGTGATGATCAGGGTTGCTGAGCAAAGGCTTGTCAAACAAACTCAAAAAGACACTCAGAACATTTTACATTGAAACAATTTCTTTTAGGACTATTTCAGTGAAAGCAATACATTACTTGCTTTCTTGCACTCACATTAAGATCCAAACTTAAAGATTCATGTTTTCAGAAAAATGAAGTGTTATCAGATAAGACAAAAATGGATTTGGTGTTGTTTATTTCAGCGATGAGTAAGATTGAAAAACGGAGGAAAGACTTGAAATTTGATGACAAGACCTTAAAAGCAGAAATATTGATAGCAGCCTGAATTTCCTTACTGAAGATGCGTGTCTAGGCAACTGAGCATGCACTAGAAGCACCAGTCAAATAAATTCCTATCAACTTTTTCGACATTTTCATTGAGACGAAATATTATTGACCTGCTGACTAATGCTTACCAGAGCAAAACACAAAAAATGGTCAAGTGAAATCAACATTGCTGTAAGCAGCCACATTGAGCGTTGCCAGGGGAAAAATGAGGGTGAATTTGAGGGGCTAAAAAGAAAATTTCTCTAATTTATCCAACAAAATTGCAAAAGCTTTGTAATTTTTTAACAAGTGATTTTCTTACGACGAATTCCACACTCCTCCAAGCCCCATTCCACTGATAGTTGCACAGAGAAATGTTGAGTTATTCTAATGCTGTGCTGAGGACCATTACAAATGAAAAGATTGAACATCCAAGCAATGTTTTTCATCTTAGATTGTTGAGGATTGTTTCTGATTAAAAACTAGCAATGATAAATAATTTCATTAATTCACTGGAAAAATGGTTTTTTAAAAACTCACCTTGATAAATGATCTTTGTTCATGGAGACTGCATCAAGACCAAGGAAATCTGGCAGCCATGAGTGAACTAGAAATTCTCCAAGAATATCAACAACATGCATGAGGTAGTGTTGGATACCAGAGAAACGGGGTTCTCCATTTATCTTCAAATTGCAGTAATCATATCGCCAAATGAGTCCAGTAAGAAATGAAGGGCACTTCCATTTAACCTAAAAAGAATAAGTTAATGAACGACAATCGAAACATGAAGTTAGCCTTGGATAAGAAACATTTTATCATCCATAACATCACAATGTATGAAATTACGGCTCTTCACTGGACCAAATTATGATTGATTTTGGCCACAAAATATATGATAGATTTATGATATTGTGTTTTTTGATCAAAATTCAAACAGTGATATTTAGAATGTTTTTAATAAAAAGAATCTATAAAGAAGAATTTTGAATATGAAGAAAAACTAATATGTTCATCTGAACTCTTGAGTATCATAAGTATTGCAAAAAACTGGCTGACCAGAACAAATCTAGCAGGTCATGCCATCTCTACTCTCAGTTTTATTGATCAGCAAAAAGTTTTACAATGAATGAGCAATAAAAATGAAGGGGACTTACTGAGTATAAAACTTGTGGATAAAATGAAGTAACAATCATGAATTTATCAAGGTCTTGAATTTCTTGAGAGAGCTTCAAAATGGCATTTGCAGTCTAAAAAATATCACATATAATTCATATGATACACTAGATCTGTGTAGTCAATTGGAAAATGTAACAAAAGTCTACTACATAGTCTAACCAAGAGTATGTTATCAAAATTCTCTTGTATATTATCATTGGTTATCAAAATTCTTGGGACATAGTGCTGTAACATATATTGGTTTTAATAACTTTCTAACATTGCACAGCAATTTAGTGGAAACAGCAGTTTGCTATAGTATTTAATAGTCAATATGTCACTGCTGCACCAAAACTCACATAAAAAGTATAACCTTTTTATGACACATAATTTCATATTAATACTTACAGCCATTGCATCTGATTTAACATCCAGGATTATCTTCATTTCAATATCTTTACAAAGCTCGACAACTTCCTTTAGTGTTGGAATTTGCTCAAAGCCTGCTACTTCTATCTTGCCTTCAGCATACCTTAGTGTTCTTAGTTTGCTTGCAGCATTCAGTTTTCTTATTTCATGAAACCTAAAGTTGCTTACTTCCCCAGTCCCATTTGTGGTTCTGTCCACTGTCTCATCATGTATAATAATACCATACCCATCATCTGTAAAGGCCAAATCAAGCTCTACAGCTGTGGATCCATTTCTTTTGGCAGTTTTAATTGCAATTAGAGTATTCTCGGGTGCTTCATATTGTCCACCCCTGTGACCAATCACAATTGGAGCCTCATTTCCTTGGCTGTCTTTGTTGTAAAGAAAGCTTTTAACTTTTTCAAGACTGTGCTTTTTCAACTTTAAAAATCTGTAGCCAAAGGCTATGGCCAATGAAATAACAAGAATCAGGGAACTGAGTGACAAAAGCATTTTCATAACTTTATGATGACCTAGAAGGAAAATTAGAAAATCATAAAAACAACAAGCTTAGGTAACCAAATGATAAGCCAAAAAGTTACTTGCACCTGTCCTGGTCCTTCCTCTCTATGTGACCACACCTCAAGGTCTTTCCCAGAGACGCAGCCTAGCCTGTGCAAGCCTCATGCAAAAAGAATTTGCGAGCACTTTTCTGCCCAAATGGTTTTTCATAACAACATTCTTTTTCAATCCACTCAGACTCACTCCCCAATGTTTGAACTATTTACTGTTATAATTCAGGGTATATCTATGTGATTATCAAAGATATTTCATAAATGTCATTATGAAAAAGAACCGTTTTGCCATGTCACTAAGCAGAGCCTAAAAATGTCGAGCGGCGTCTTTAAAAAATTTTGAAAGCGTTTGACCAGGGATTAAGCAACCATTAGAAATCCATCTTTTGAAGAAACATAAAAAACAATTAAGCCTTGGTTGTGGCAAGTAAGCAATTAAAAATAAAGATATTTCGTAATCATTGATTGAAAATTGTTCCTAGAGGTGATGTGTGGAACTTGAAAATTCAAGATTTCAACGAATACAACAAAGGTTCATTTATATATTTTAGTGTTCAGACAAACAAGTGATGGCTGAACACTAAAATATATAAATCTAAGTTAAAATAGTGGATGGACTCAAAGAAGCAATTTTGAGATTCTTTTTGTTGAATGTAAGCAGTTCATTCGGAAAATCCTTTTGTTTGTTTGTAACCTTATTTTAATTCGATATTTTTTCTAGCTTTACATATATATATATACATACAACTAATCTAAATCTAACAACAAAGGCTTTCTTCTTATCGTTCTCTAGATTTTGGCCTTAAAATTTTATGCAAGCGTTGCCCTGGAATACATAAGGTATTAGTTTAGTGCATGGTATAATGTTCTCCCAACCAGGCCCAGACAAAATAAATGCAATTACCTTGATCTCAAAACTTGAATGTTAGTTCCTCTCTTCCAGTTGTAGGCCAAAACACGAAATCGAGGCTCTGATGCTTCCCTCGAAATCGTCATTGGGGTGTTTAAAGTAGAAAAATAAATACAGAAAAATACAATTCATCCATTGTATTGGATAGTGACCTCCATAAAATTCTCGGTATTGGTTTGTGTAGTTGTAGGTTGATACAAATTCTAAAACCTGGCAGTCGTCGTATGTAGTGTTCTTGGGCCCTTATACTTAACTAAATTTGAGTCAGGTTTTAGAGCCTAAGTACTCACTCTATGGGGTTTCCCTGTAAATTCTGCTGCCTGAGATATTTTCTTTGATCTTCATTTTATAACCTTTTCTTGGATTGCCATGCAGCGTATACAGATGCGACTTGAACATGCATCATGCATTTGAAAAGATGTTCAGAAAGGTTAATATTTTCAAATTGCTTCTTGGAGGAAGTCAATTATATTTGCAATATCTGTTATCTTTACGTAAATCAAATACAACATTTTACAACGATAAAGATGTGCATTAGAGGCAAACCTAATTGACATATCTTTCATCTAAAAAAAAGAAAATTTTTTTGAAAAAATTTGAAAAAATTTTGTCACGACGCAATTTCTTGTAATTAATGAATGCTCATTTTGAATTGAGTAGTCTCATTGTAAACTAGGAGACAACATTAGATAAGATCTTGTTAAAAATCTTTCTTGCTTAGAATTTACCAAAATGTTGCTTGTAGCTATCGTTGTGCTGTATAAAATCGTTTGTAACCTTTTCAATATCTTATCAGCTCTTTGTTGATGAGCAAAAAGCTGTTGTTGAATCTTCATTTTGTCATGCCACTTCACAAGAAACGTTTTATCTCGTTTTATTCTCCGCTGAGCTGGGGCAAAGATAATGGAGCCAAAAGGTTAATTATAAGAACTTTAACAACTTCTTAGATACATCGTTGTTGATTTTTGTTTTACGCACAACTTACGCACAAATTTACATGTTTTGTCTCAGGAGCAAGGCATTTTACTATTCTAGAAGAAGTTTCCATTGTGGTGTCGACTAGAAAATCCACGACTGTTTTGTGTCCATTCCTCATTTGCCTCACTAATTCCAAACTCTCGACCATTTTCAGCACCCATAAAGGCTTTTTCCATATTTCTAAAAATATATGTATGTGATAGAATCTTCTACTTATAACATCAAATCTTCTACTTATTGCTAAGAGGCATACATCAACAGCATCAAAAAGTGCAATCGATAGAATGATTCAACATCCAAGAATAAAAGATGCAAAAAAATGATTTTATTGTTTAGCAAGTCAGCTTCAGGATTATATAGAGAGCCAATTAAATGAAATTGAAGCAATGACCTGATATTTATTTGTCATATCTGCAACGCTATTGGAACGATGGGCGACACCACTCCAATCACTTTTGTAGCTTATTATTGTAATATTTGTGTCTCTATATTAAGTGTAAGTCTTAGGGTTGTTATGCATTTCCATGCTCTCTAGGCTTTCGATTGTAATTGATTGTCGTTGTAAATTTTTAAGAAAATATAAAAAAATGACCTAACACGTGTTTAATCTCAAGAAGGACACTTCTTATCTATATTAAAGGCATGCTTTAACTAAGCAGAAAAGTGGGGGCACGTACCCTCTTTGCCTCCAGTTCATATGCACACTGGTTAATGCATCAAAAGGTTAACAAAGGAATTAGCTTTATCTAGTGTACACTGGTTAGAAAGAGCATGCCCCATCTCCACCAAACCTTGAAATTGTTTGTGAATCGGGGCATCAGACGGCCTCCCTTCATGGCTCCTCAGCCTTTTGCCTAACCATAGTAAACGCGATTGTAGCAATGAATTGTAAACTAATTTCTTGTTTAGAGCTTTTGTCATTTTTCTGTGATTGATAATCGAAATCTCTACTGTGAAGGAATGGGACTGTTTCCTTAGAAACACGAGCTAGGCCCTGTGCGGTTACAAGTTCTATTCTTACTTCGGGCGATCAACAGAGCAGGTTCAAGTTTACGGCATTCTATTCGAGATGGTTAATCAAAATCTTAACTTACAAAGAGAGGAAACCGTATGGTAATTTAAAATGCTGCTAAAACTTCTGCATAATTTATGTTCTTTGGAAATCACATGGAGACAGAGTACATCGAGTCAGAAGCGACAAGCCCACTCATGGCTTGCCCGTGTGCACTGAAGCTATTCGAAGTAATTCGGGCGACAATTTGAGCAGGGATAACAGCATTTTATATAAGCATAATGGATATTGAGAACGAAATGTTATTGGAACGGCTTGCGGGTAAGACTTTCAAAAAATGAGTAAATTGTATGCTCTTAAGATTACTCTGTTTTCACTTCTTTACAAAGTATTAAATTACTGTATCGAAGCCTACTATAGATATTCCTCAAGTTTCAACACTATAGCTGAGATGTTGTTTCTTTTAAATGCAGAAATTTTGTTCAGAATCCAAGCTTGTTGTTGTTCTCCTAGAAACCTCCTAAAACTAAATTGATCCTGGTATCTCTTTTCACTAAGAAAAACTAAATAACTGCGTTAGTCTCCAAAAATTATAGTATGTTTTGTTTTTAAAAAGATTATTGAAAAAATCGCAGCTTTTCAAAGACTTGGGGGATTCCATATAACCTTGAAACTTCTTTAAAATAGTTAAAAAACTTGTTGTACATTTATAAAATACACGTTGTTTATGAGGTCGGAGGGGACATTTAATAAACATTAACGCATTAAATCAAGTTAAGAGTAAACTGAAATGATGAACAGCGTGTAAATGAATTGGCCGGCGAGACGTTTTCACTGTGCGTGTTCAATGAACACCGGTGATTGCTTACTAAAGTCAAACGGAGTCAAACCACCGGAACTAAAGCCTTGTTTTGTTTAAGATTTTTCAGTCGATTTTTCAGTCACTCGAACGTTTCAGATAAGATTAGAGGAAGATTTTAACTTGTTTTTGTAACAGTCTATTGTAAGATTCTGATTGTAAGAGTCTGTTTACCAAAGAAATACTGCATTCGGTCATTTGTATCGTGTCAGCTTGGTATCTTGAAATGAGTAGATTCAACGATAACGGGTTTATCAAATATTGCATTTCACAAAATCCCAGGTTTTCACTTTTTCTAACAACCGAGCTAGTCTGTGTTAAATTTTTTAGACGATCATCTGTAGGATATGAAGCATAAAATGTCGAACAGATCCAATTGGGAAAGAATAGATCGTGGCTTTATCTTCAAACCTGTCCGATTAACAAATATAAAAACTCAAAAGTTCTAGGAAGCATGGGTGTAGAGCAAGGCACGTCAATCGTAGTTAACACTAGTTGTCCCTATGTAAACAGAATAAAGATTCATTTATGTAATATTCTCTGTAACATTTGCCAGACGCTTTACTTTGCCGCTGCTGCATGGAATGTGTGACGATATATGCTGTCAAAGCTCCTTAACAATAACTTCTGTATAAGACACTTCTCAAATAAACTGCTATTTCAAGTTTTGAGTATGGCAGAAACATAAAATGGCAGTGAAGGGAAGCGTTAAACTATCTTAATCTAAAATTGCAAATTTGTGTTTAAAATTTGTTGTCATGCACCTAGCTGATTTCATTGACCAACGATAGTTTTGATTTTTGATACCCTAAAAGAAAAATCTGCCGCCGAAAAAACGCTTATCACCCTGAAAAAAGTAACCTTTCTGAAATCAGAAGATCAAGATAATTGCAGAAAACGCTTATCTTAAGAGAGCCCTCTTATTCAATTTTGTTAAAATTAATCGAATGGTCTACCTAGAATATTTAAATAAATTAATTGCATTTTAAGCTAATTATAATACAATTCACACAAGACGATTTGCAGAGACAGTTAAGATTTTCTATACTAAATTTAACACAATTGATAAACTACAATTTGAAGGGTCTGATCCGTAACTATTGAGGCTCATGACCCCTCTACAAATAATTTGGTATAATGACTATCTCCTTAACAGCAGCTACACCCACTTGTCTGTGTTCTCATTAACGTCCCTCTCCGTAATCATGAACATCTAGTTACATAGGTGGCTTAGCGCAGTTTAGGGCACCTTAGTTCGATAGCTAAGAGCCTCCGAAGAAAAGTTGTCCCAAATTATTTCTATATTTTTTCCATGTTTTTAAGACTTCGCTCAAGTTCACCTCATTTTCAAACGTCAACTGAAGCCTCTATAACTAATCTCTCTCTTGTTTAATAGAAAGATAACTTAAAAGATTGTAAATTCTACATCTTCTTCTACAAAGCTCTTGCTCTCTTACAGTTTCCTTAGAAGGCGTTTAAAATAACTCATTTGCTACTTAATCTCTGTACCTGCTTCGGTTCTTGCTCATACATATTACTTCAACGCATTGCAATAAACTAAGATTGATTATCAAAACATATAATGCTGCGAAGAAGTACGAAGGCAGCTTCAACTTCCATACAATAACATCTGCTGTCCCTTAAAGATAAACATATCCTTTCCTAAGTTGAACCTTTCAAGAATAGACTTCACCGACACAGAGATTAATCAGTTAGTACTGAACAGGTGCCAATATATAGGCGTACACAAAGGAAGGATTAATTTGCAAAATTAATAAACGCCTCCATGGTTTATGTTACAAAGGCTGTTATTACTTAGCAAACTGCTTTGTATTTTCTTGAAGCTTCAAGCACTAGCTCTAGATTGAGAGGGATTCAGATCATATGACAAAATGATATACTATGCATAATTGACTCTCGAAAAATGTTACAAAGTAATATAATTAAGAAAAGAGTCTTTCATGACAATCAACTTGATTTCCTATCTAAAGACACCTAAAGATTGCTTAAATCTTCGCTTTCTGGTCTTCTATTTAATCAAAACCTGTAACAGAAAGTCGAACACTCTGACCAGAACATAATGATCTACGATGATAAACAAAATAACAAAGAAACTCTTACAGCATTGGATCCTCGTGAAACAAATGCAATGCCTTCGTTACATTAATGAACCGCTTCCTAAAAAGTTTTCCTATTAGTTTTCCTAAAATTCCTAAAAAGTTTTCTCAGTCTACAACTATTAAGTGAATTCAAAGTCAGCTCTTACCCATGAAACTCTGAGATTTGAAAGCATATATACTTTGTTCAAAAATCTTTTGAAGCTAGAGATAAGTTACGACACGCATGATCTAAATAGCCAAGAAGATTTCTCTTCTTTTATGAAAGCTTCTTGTTGCATGCCATTGAAGTTGCACCTCGTTCATGTACTACATATGGCAAAGGAAGATATTACCACCCACTGAACACTGCTCAATTCTAGTTGTTATTCTTTTACAGTTGCTGCAAGTTGTATAAAGAAAGATGGGCGTAACCCGATGCCAGACGAAAATTCACTGATAGCCCCATTCTGTGAGATTACCGAAATGATTCTTCGAAGGGGCCTTAAACGTAAGTGATAGTCTAAGTACTATCGACTTCATATAGAACAAAGAGACTTGTTTCTTTATTTCTTATGTAAACATTTCTGTCAGACATTTATCAGCATCATCTATCTATGCCATATCATGAGACCCCTTGAATTTGAAGGCAACGAGACCAAAATTTCCAGACTGAATTTGTTTGATCAATCAAGCAAAGGAATTTTACATAGCATAAAATGTAGTTTGGTTTAACCTGCAAATCAACTCAATTGATGCATTGTTTAGCCAAAGTAATTTCAAACATCGAATTTCCAAAGACAGCTACCTACCTTGCTCAATAAAAAGTCCTTGAATAAATCATGAGGCAGAATTACTAAAGACTTATTCCTCTTGATAAACCAGATTTCACCAGATGATCAAAACACGGCTTTTATTAAATCCTACTCAGCAGCAGTGGATTTTCATCAACATTGACAGTTCTCCACAGATATTTTCTCGTTTATTTATTATTTAGTGTTCTCAACAGGGGATAACCGTAGGCCATTATGTAGAAAGTTTTTTTTTCGAAAATACATCAACATTCTACAGGGATCTTACATAATATTTTGCATATCAACAATAATAGAACGAAATTCCCCGATGTTTTGACAAAATTTGAATTCCTTTTGGTTTAATGACACCAAAACGACTCTTCTATCAAAAATATTTTCCAAGAAACTGAACGAATTTCTAGAGACGATCATTTAAGGGCTAATTTTGCTTTATTTTTTTGGATTTGTTCCTTTAAAAGTAAAATACTTCACTAGAAAAAATTTTATAAATTTAATTAAGAAGGTAGCTAAGGTAATTCTCTTCTTTTCAAAATAATTTGGAGAAGAAACATCACTCGCTTGCATGGGCTTAATGACAACCTAGTTTGAAACTAATCTAGATATCAAAGCCTAATAAGTAGTCGATTCGAAAAGTGGAAGAGCAGAGTGGCACAGTGTAGGGCCATAAAAGAAGAAGAGGAAGAGTCTTTGTCCTCCCCGCACCTCTTACGGTACAGCTCTTCACTGTTCGATTCGATTTATGTTGTTAAAATAGATTGGAGAAGTTTTGTAACTTTTCACAAACGACTTCTTTTCCGTTTTACAAATGCAGGCATCCATATCCCAGGAGGAGCAAAAAAACGCTTCGCGGTTTTTCCATTACAGGCATAAAGAAGAAGACAATAAAAAGTTTATCGTATAATAAGATAAATTATTAATACTTTTACAGAGTGTCAACTGCCTGAATCTCCACAAAGACAAAGTGATAACCGAGTGAGAGAATCCTTGATTGGGAAAAGAGAAATTTCATAGCATCTTAGATTTGATGATACATAAATATTGATTTTTTGAACACCAAAGTCTATTTTCAGTCAACCCTGGACAGTCTAAAGTATAGCTTTTGCCTAAGATTGCAAGACTGGAAAGTGGACTTACTCTTCAACACCGGATGCTATATGAAATATAACGCAATCAAATATATTTGTGATAAGACTGATGAATTAAGTCATATTTGAATTATTCATGAGTAGGTACAAAAAGATAAAATACAAGCGAGGAAACATGCAAAATTAAGCAATAATAAAACTTAGACTCAGATTCGAAAATGTTGCTGTACTGAGAGTAGATTTTTGACTTACTGAGAGTAGATGTAACGAAAGCAAACATTCACTGTTTTAAAAACAAGACTGGGTCATGAAGCAGTGATTTTAATCATGTATTTTAAAAAACAGGTGGGTTGGCAATCATCGGCTTAAAAGATTGCGACTATTGGAACTTCTTGGAAGGATTTTTGACGTCAACAAAGATAGAAAAAGGGTATGGCATCATATAACTTTTCATGCTCTTGGCGTTGATTTTAATTGGCTAAGGTAAGTTCAAGTATATGAGAAAGTTTCCTTCATCTAAGTTAAAAAAAGATTGAGCCTTCTATCAATTCATGAGCCATATGATTTCATTTGTAAGAATTTGCTTAGGAACTATCTTTACCAACAAGCTTTATCACAGAAAATGTATTTTTTTGCAGACTGCCATCACCGATACGAAATATCATTTCCATTATCCAGCAATCTGACAAGGTGAGGAAATGTTCACATGCGCTGTTTAGCTGTATTGTTTACAAGAAGCTTGAAAATGAAGGAATACATTGTCGCTTAAGGCTTCAACAGAGAAAAAGCATGGGGGGTGGGGTGGATGGGTGGATAGAAGAGAGGATCAGAGAGGCAAAGGGGCACCTAGAGTAACAAAACCCCCACTATTGCTTTTTGCCAGTTGGCATAAGTCTTTAGTTTAACAAAGTTAATTCAGTATACAACTATGATGATTGTTATTTAAGATATTGTGACAATGAATTGAAACTTCTAATATTGCAACATTCATACTTTAACGACGTCTGAATTTTGGCTAAAAAATAGAAAAATGTTTTAACGACGTCTGAATTTTGGCTAAACATTTGTGAAATTTTCAATGAAACTTAAAAGTTTTTTCTTATTTTCTAATTTTGCATTTAAGACTATAATAGAATGATCTGCTTGTTATACAGGAAGGAATGCAACGATGAATTGGTGAAATTCGTTCAATTCAGATTATTGTAAATTATCTTCAGAAGTCCTCCTCTATACCCCTTCCCTGCCTATCTCCTTCCCTCCCCCTCTCTTCTTCCCTCCCCCTCTCCCTCCCTCTCTCCTTCCCTTTCTCTCTTCGATTCATGGATGCTCTATTTTATCTTTCAGGTCCACACTAGCACTGGCCGTGGGCGTTTATTCATCCGAATCGCCCTTGTAAAAGATTGTCTTGCAGCAACGATAGAATATTTGCTTCAAAATCCCAAGTATATACGGGTAAATTTATCAAGACTTCTTTAGAAACTTTTCAGAATAAAAAAAGTTCTTGACCAAGGAGAAAATTTTACAGTTAAGTTTTCTTTTGGAAGAGAAAAAGATACTTTGATGGTGATAGGAGAATGTCCAGCATTTAGTTGAAGCCAGTTGAATGATAAGAATATTTTTATGGTGCGACAACATGTCTATATATCGATAATATTTGAAAAGCTACGTCCTTAAGAAAAAGTCTGTAGCCTTCTGGAACATCATTTTAAAAGATACGTCATCTGTCAGTATTCCGAAGTTGGCAGAACACATCTAAATCCACAGCTTTGTGAGAATACATTACGAGTTTAAGAAAGTTCACTTTTGAAATCATCCAATTAAAATCATGTGTTTTTCAAATCATTTTTATGAATTTGATTTTCACACAAGAATTGATACAGAAATTTCAATGAATTGGTGATAACTTTATTTTGCAAATATTTTTGATGAATTTTGACCCTATTGCTTTCTTTTTAGTACTGGTACAACGATGAAGCAGCATTTTTGGACAAAAATCACACAGGTTTGAATATATTAGCTTTTGGCTCAAAAGAGAAGGTTCTTAGGTATATAACCAGTATTTAGTTCTAAGATTTTGCGTTGAGAAGGATTTTAAAAGTTAAATGAAAGTGAATGATTCATTTACTGTTCGATTTTATTTACATTATTAAAGGGGGAAGGTATTGACCATATCAGTCGTATTGGTTAGATGTTTTTGAATAACAATAGGACGTCTTAATTAATTTCAGAATATCTTCCATGAAATCTCTTTCTCGAGACTCTTAAATCTCATTAACTTTTGCTATTTTTGTAGCCTTACTGTATGCTCTGGTTACATTTTTGCTATTGATTATATTTTCAGAATGCATAATTGGAATTATCAAGACACTGAGTCACATAAAATTTTCTCTGCGAGTAACCGTAAGCTTTACATTTCTACTACAACTACATTTTAAAACATTAGTTAGTATTAAAAAATTAACGTGTATCTAAAAAACTCCATTCAACACCCGAGAACTTAGACATGCGTATTCAATTATTTTCAGTATTGCATTGAAAAGAAATAATCTACAACGTAGAGATAGCAGGCCATTTCATTCAAAGAGATGCACATTGCAGACTTCTTAGTCTTAAAAATATTTTACCGCATACCCTCTGCAAAAAGGTCAGATTGGACCAGATTGGAAATTTGCACCAGATTGGAAATATTTATTGTTTTCTCTACAATTTCAATGAACTAAATACGCTAACTGTTCTAATTCTAAAATATTCATCTCGTAAAATCTCAGCGACACCAATATTCTAACATTAAGTATTTTCTCTTTGCATGTAATATAAGTAGTATTTATAACTATTTTTCTCAAATTCAGGTTTGCAGTTTTCTCCACGAAGATTGGATTATACCTGTAAGTTAGCATGCCAATATATAGATAAAAAAAGAAATATATTTTCATTGCTTAAAGAATTTGAAATATGCAAATTTTCTTAATTTTAAACCGTACTTAATAAAGTACAGTTGTACTTTTAACTTGCTTTACAAAACAACTTTACACTAGTTTAATTTTTTTATGTCTTTCCTTTTTTAGAAAACAATGAAGCTCGATTTGGTTCCCAGTGAGAAACTGGGTGTAACTGTCTTGTATGTCCTGAAAAATTCATTTAATATTTTTTGGAAAATACAGCAATATTGTTTGATTACTAAATTCCGATCTTATTAAAAACGGTCTACTAACTTGACTTTTCATTGCAATTGACTTTTCAGTGCAAATATAATTAACTGATTGAATTTGAATGCCAATAGCAATTACGAACTGTACCAGGGATGTTTTGACTTCTGTATTTGAAATCCAATAAACGCACCATACCATTAACAGAAAAAGCATATACTATTGTTAAATTCATTATTAATGCAGAAGACATATCTAATGTACTACTGATGCAATGTGCTTATAATGTACTACTGACGCAATGTTAGAATAATTGATGTTTGCATCCTATAGCTCTATTCAGTCGAAGTGTGTTGTTGCTGCTGTTCAGCCTGGAAGTGTAGCGAATGAGGTAATTGTTTTTGTGCTGTTTGAAATCAGGGGTGTTACATGGGTGAGGCGTAGGAAACATTCGGTTATGTAAAAGAAGCCTACCTGAAAGAGTTTCTTTAATAACCATGGATGCTTGTGTAATAACAGGATCCTATTACGTGCAATACATTAAAACCAGAAAGAAAGAACCTGTAGTTTTCTGTAACAGGCTAAAATGGCTCCTATTTTCTTATATAAGGTTCTAATAGTCCATCAAACGGAAGAATTTGGAGAAACGTTTAATTTTTAGCCTAAAAACTCTTTATCCTTATTGTCTTAATAAACATTTTAATTTCCTTCAATAATTTCTTTTTATATCTATTTCTTACTCTTTTCTTACTTTCCTCCTCCCATGCCCCTATTCTGTTTTTATTTTGGGTTGCGTCGCATCTCGAATTCTTTTCTATTTATTGAACCTCGCCTTCTCTTTGCTCGGCTCGTTTCTTTTCTAGCCACTTGATAACGAGTACATGCTCGAAACGTCGTGTTTTTAACAATCAAATTATTATATCTTCATTCTGGTACTAAATTTATTTGCTGACTATATTATCGTTATTCTAATATTGACGGGGGTAAACTGGCAAATAATGCCAGGAGATTCTTAATCTTGAGTTTCTTTATGCAGGCTTTTAATGTAGCAAAAGTCTTGTTTTATTTCCACTTTAGATAATAAATGAATCATAAGCTTTTCTCTATTGTATCTTTCAACAGAGTGGCCTAGCTCCAGGTGATTGTTTTGACGAGTTTTGCGGGATATTTATCACCGAAAGATTGGCTTGCCAGATGTCTGCGATTCTGAAAGCCAACAAAGGCCAACCTATTTGTGCAGTAATAATCAAGGTACGCCTCTTGGTGAAAAAATCACCGATAATATTGTGAAATCCGACTCTCAGTAGGTAGCTGAGGGGTGCCAGTAAATGAGTTCCGTAATCCGTACCCTCACATCCCACGATTCTTCAATACTCTCGAGGCAGTTCTGAAAAACCTGGATAACATTGGTGAAATCCCAATAACTCCATCAGATATTTGGGTATGTTTTAAAAGGGGGCTGAATATTTGCATCAGAATTTCAAAACTTATCAAATATTTTGGCTAGTTGTCTTTAAAAAAATGATGCCCTTACGTACGTGCTTATGGTACTTATGCTATGAAAGAAATTATTACTAAGCTTAATCTTTGTATTTTTCCTTAATCAATTAGAAATTGATCCTACTGTGCAAAATATAACTTCATGACCATGGTTACAAATCTTTACCACTTTAAGACAAAAAGTATATTTGAGAAAACCGTCCACCATTTCAATTGGATAATCTAAGTGTTTAAACATATAACAATAATTGAACTCTAGATTAAGCACTTTCAACAATCCTAAAACAAAATGTTTAATCAAGCTTTTCTTATCCGAAGGAAAATGAAGCGGTCAAATTCATTATGATTTTTTATGCTTTATCCGAAGTGAATTTATTCTTGTGCAGGAGATTAATGATCTCGTTTATCTATCAATGCTTAATTTTGTTCGTGCTAATTTTTTTATCAATGCTTTTAATTGAATACTTCAGCTTTCAATTTGTAATGTTGTAAGAAATTTCAGAATTTGAATCTCGTATTGTTATCTATGGCCAAAGCCAAGCAGAGGTGTATCACGTGAGGTCATTGTTCCCTGTGCTACTTCGTCGTCTGCTTTTAATAGCTGTTCACAATATAGACACCTGCTTCACTTTCATACTTTTCTTTGAACTGCTCGACGAAAATACAGCAAACACGAGTTCTTTACAGAAAGCGAATGCTCTTTATTTCAATAGGGGGTGAAGATGAATCTTCCTTTAATTTAGCCATCTATAAATTTGCCATTTAGGTTACTATCCGCAATCACATCTTTGAAGAACAAACGCGCAACAGTTACCATCACCATGACGCAGTGTTTTATTGTCCTATAGATCAATTGATGCTTCCACAAAAATTGCAAAATCAGTAAAATCTTCTCCCACTTATTCTTTTTTAATTTGATATAAAACGGGTGTTAACACGTGGCAGGTCATTGAAAAGGAACATGTTATTTGCTACGAGACCCCTGACTGTACAGAAAATATGCAAGGCCTGTCACCCCCTGTCCAAAGCACCTGTTGATAACAGTTATTTGAGCAAATGGACGAAGGATTTGCTTTGCTTGAATTTTGTTGACTCAGATTCATGAACAAGTTCTTAGAACGTCTTACTGAAACCTCTAAAGCCCTTACGGGTGAACGGTTCAGCGTCGCTATGTCAGACTCTTTGCATCTTCTGTAAGTAAAACTTTGTTATGAATTCAATTGCTATCTACTTGCAGTTTTGTATCTAAATGAGCATCAAATTGCCTAATTTCCTGAGAAATGTGATTCATAAATTGGGCTCTAGCCTGCTGAATAAAGGTTACGTTTATACGAAGATGATAATGCTAATACTATATGATAGTTTGCCCTCAAGTTGAAACTGAAGATTTGATCAAAGATTGATCAGTCTCGTTCATGTTTTGGTGTTGGGAAATGCAGCTCAGTCAAAACGTTCGATTCCAAATCCTAAGTTTGAAATCATAAGCTACAAGAAATTGGCAGCCGAAGAATGTCAAATTTTATACAGTTGGGTTGTAATTAAAATCTGATGGATTTTAGTTTCTGATTCTTGAAATGAGTGTCTCACAATCGAATGCTCAATCGAGTTTGATGCTCATTTACATACAAAATTCCTTTTTGATGATAAACTTACACGGGTAAAGATGAGACGATAACGGGTAAACTCAAGCATAGTAAATTTTGATATACAGGGTACATTTTCTGATGGTCGATGGTTCTCTCCGCTGCAAAGACGGTTTAAACTCACAGACCTTAGCAAAATTGATCTACCAATTGCAAAAAGCGAAACAGAGAAAGATATATTGGAATCGAGGTTGGTTTTTACCGTGGATGAAAAAGGAAAATTAAATAAATTTTTTTATCTGAATTTTACAATCGCCTGGTTTTTTTAAATATTTGTGTAATATTTTGTCCACTGAACAATGTTTGTCCATAGAAAACAAGGGTTCTTTAATATAATATTAAAAATTTTTCAAACATTTTCTGGAAAGTTGCATTCATAACTGGAAAATTTCTTTTGGGTTATTTCTTATCAAAAATTTATTTGAATCATTTTTCAGGTCTCGATCGAAGTTTGACGTTGTTTATATCTCATCTGTGGATGTTGGAAAGGTATGTACATGTCTCTTAAAAATTCTATTACGAAATACTCTCGCTATTTTTCGGATAATTAACATTCCAAGAAATTATACATCTAAACTCATCTTTCAGAATGGGAGTTCAAAGATCGTACAAAATGGCATTAAAAAAGCTTTGGAAGAAATAAATGGCGTAGAAAGCACATCGCAGGTAAACCAAAATTTGATACATTGAAGAAAGCCTACTTCATCATTCAACAGAGTACTCGCTTTTACTGTCACTTTAATGACTGGCTTTTAAAGGCAAATGGCTTTGTCAAAGGCTACAAAAGATTCGCTGGACACAAAATATATAGCCACATGGCCGCTGAAAGATAGAGTCTTGATTTTGTAGAAAAATGACAAAGTTTTAAATAAATATAAATGCTATTCCAATTTTTCTCACAGGAAGCTACAATAACTTTATTGGAAAGAGATATATTAATGGCAAAAAGGAAAAGCGGGGAAGTAAGAAATTTTGCATGCTTACATGTCTACATGCCTACATGTCACTGAAGGTAGTAGGCCATGTGTCAGCATTCCTCTTTCTTCTTTTGGTTACGTTTAAAATTGCTAAGAACACTTCTTTAATCTTAGGAATGTTTATTGAATGGTTTTCTTCATTTGCAGATTGCTTTGAGTTACAAATGCAATTCACAACCTCCTGTGTTACTGTCCTAAACTCCCGAACTGTTTTAAACTCTTACTGTTTGATACAACTCTTTATATCGAAGCTTTTGACAAGTCAGAGTGTGACAAGTCTTTATATCGAAGCTGATCACAGAACTATGATCTGACCTCTAGTCATTTTTCTTTAACAGAGCATCGGCAAATATTCGTATACAGAAACATCATCTTGCGGTTTAGGAGAAGATAAAAGTTACTTTGGGTTTATAACTGGGTGAGTGCTGAATCATACGCAACTCATCTCTTAGATAAATTATTTTATAAAATATTCGTAACGCAAAAATATAAATTCTTTATAGTCCATGAAAAAGTACATATTAAACATTGAGAGAAAGAGTGAAAACCGATGAAAACGAGTTACTTGTTTAGCGATTGCAAAATCTTGAAATCTTCGTTTAACACAGCTGGAATTAGTACCCATTAAAAATTTTTTTTACGAACAAGCAACCTGAGGGTTTATTTGAGGATTATCGGTACTTATATCTACGATGTCTAGTGCTTAGAGTCGTCTTTGACATAATCATTATTGCTAAAAAGATCAGTCATCTTTTATATGATCAATATTCTTATTATATTAAGTCTTCCTAAAGATGGTCAATATTCTTAGTGTTAGGTCGACTTAAAATATGCTTTTTTCTGACAACTTCTGACAGCGGATTGTTCTAAATTTCTAGGGACACAACCTGCTCCTTTGCAAGCAAATTTGTCTGTCACGTGTTCAGGGCAACGGACCCAGAAATGGTAATCATATATTGCTATTTTTTATTTCAAAATCACATATTATTCTTAAATGCCATAACATACAGCTTTTCTTGTTAAGAATGATATTAATACTAAAATATTATTTCACATGCTCCCTGAAACTTCTATCGAAAAAGTACTTGCTTGTTTGATATTTGTTTGATTGGTCAATCCTTTCGAAAATAATACAAGCGGAACTGCCGTGGCCAATATTTCACAACTATTTTGAGGAGAAATGCCATCCTATACCTACAATGCCTGCCAAAAGTACTTGGAACACCCGGCTATTTACGCTGCATTTCAGGAGCGGATCCAGCAAAAAACCTGACTGAGTTCCAGGCCAAGGCTAGGGACTTTCAGATAATCAAAATATGGTGTTCCGTCTGAGCATAGGTTTTCCGTGCCGGTGCCAAAGACTGCAATTTAAAGCAAAGGTAGTTAACACTCCTGGAAAATTAACGATATCTCCTGGTTTTATCTCAAACGCTTAAAAATCTGCTAGAATGCTGTGATGGTCGTGAGTATAAGACATCTGCAGTCGCCATTTCGAATTCATGTTTTGCAGTTCCACAATAGAACAGAACAATAGATAGCCAATCAACTACGGGCCATTGTACAGCTCTCTTACAAATATGGTATCATTTCCGAGTTCCAGATGCTGTTCTGACTGAGTTCCATCCGTGTTCCAAACAAAAAGTTTATTGTTTCTATTGTTTCTATTCTATTGTTTCGATAATTTAGAGAAATATCATAAAAGAAGCGCAAAAGAAAGTGCTTCCTAAAATCCTAACCCGTTTGATAGTAAACCAACATTGTTCTGTAGGGGAGAGGGAGGTGATTGATTTTGACCTTGGAGAGTGTTCCAAGTGTCAGTGTTCCAAGACTTTTGGCAGGCATTGTATGTGTGCATAGGGATGATAACATAACATGGCTTATTAATTGACCAGCTTGCATATTTCTGTCATTTTGCATTTGATTCGTTACCTATAACAAAAGAGGCCTAATCCATTCATTTGACTATCAGATCCACAAATAAGATGTAAACATATTAAAAGGTGAAAAGGGAACTTAATGCATCTTTTCTCATATTTAGCCTCCCGAAAAGGCGAAAATGATATCAATGGAAAGACTTAATTTCTCATTTTTCTAGAATGACTTAAATTTTCTTTCAATAAACTGACGTATTTGTTTTCTCTCAATTAAAGGCCCAAGACATAATAACTGGAATAGGTAAGTTTTATTGCTACAAAATCCTCATTTAATCAAGTCTGCTTTGAATATCCAAAAAATTCCAATAATCAAATTTGTAACATTTTATTTATTTATTGTATCATTACTGTGAAGTAAAAATAAACTATTCAGAAAAAAGATGGAAGTCACATTCTTCTCACAAGATAGAAATATTTACATTTATCATCACGTAAGTCGCCAATCCCTAATAACGAAGCAAGATTTGGTCCTTGGTTTTGTCACATACGCAAGATCGACAAAAAGTATATTTCAAGTAGCGGATCAGTGAAAGACATGCTACTGTTTTCGACTCACTTGACTAATAAGAAATTTTAGATTCGAGATTTCTAAATGATCATTCACAGAAACTATTTTTGTTTGTAGGAAGGGGGTTCAACCGAACATTATACTGCGTGTGAGTGTAATTTCACATCGAAGAGACCAAGCCATTAAAACACGATAGCTTCACAGAACACAATTTGATGCAAGTTGCAAAATGAATCGTTTCTGGAATGGAATGGTCGTTTTTGGGCAAAACAGTGCCCAAAAGCAATACAATTGAGTTTAACTCAAAACTATTCTATAATATACTATCAAATGTTGGACAATTGTAAGTTCTTTGGTTCCACGAGGAAGTAAATATTCGTTGAAAAGAAAAATATTAAAGATTAAGTTATTGATTAACCTTAATTCGACATTTTTGCACTTGAAATAAGGGACATTGCAGATTTGCTATACTGGATTGTAAAATCAGTTATTGTATCTGATCAAATCATATGAACAAATGCGTTTTGAAGCCAGAAAACGTAGCTGAATTGAAATCTTACCGTCTATATTTATATTTGTAAATAGTAAAACACAAAAATTCCTCAAAGACAACCCTACCTAGGCATCTCTTGATGAATCGTGATGACTTTATTGTACAATCTACTGTATAGAGTATTAATAAATTGTTTTAGAGTAAATTTGCTTGATTTTATGAAATGAGTGGATTAAACAGAAGCTTTATCAAATACCTCTTTTTCAAACCTTTTGCCATCTAAGGGTGCTCTTCTGCGAATGTTCAAACTTGTTGGCAAATAAAGCATGTCTCATTCATTTTGTTGGTAAACGAGGCCTAAACACCTCCCTATAGCGAAAAGGCTAGCAATCGCACTTCTTACATCCTTATAATTTAAGAAAATATTAAGAACAATCCAGTCTCAAATTTTCGAAAAATAAAGAACAGCAAGCCTGGACTTCAATTGACTAGTTCGCATAAAATGGTTCTTAAGAGTGTAAAAACTTAAAAATTTGAATCTTATTGGATGATCTAGAGTAAAAATAGGAGTGTGATTGCAAGTCCAGTTCAGCAAAGACTTCTTGTAAATTTAAGATGCGAAACTATGAGATGCCTTTTTCATTAAAACAATGTTGTAGGCTGGAGAAAATTAGCAAAGGGATATCTCCTAATCTAATTGATATCGAATTGCAGTCAAAAATCAGCAAAGGATTAATTATTCTAACCAAAAATTCATACATTAAATGATACTGATAATGAATTAAACGATCTACGATCAGTTATTGCCTAGGTTCTTCATTTGAAATGTCCATGCCCATGTGCTTGGTAGATCTGCGATACTAATGTCACTTAAATCAATAGAAATGCCACGGTCTTCGGTTAAGGTGCTCCATTTTAGTCTTTTTCTTAGTCCAAGCATTGTTACTCTCGTCTCCTTTGTAGGTAGCGGATAAATTAACTGTAGCTTCGACGTGCGAGGCCATTCACTTACAATGGCATACACGGACTTGCTCTTGCTTGTGTACCTAGGGTAAAGCACAAACTTTCAAACTAAGAAATTCATGCATTTGAATGTCTGTTCATTAACGACTGCAGCTTTAGCTATGACAGCATCTAATTTTTAGCTTTTCATAAACAATAAATAGACACTCGAGCTAGATCAAGGAAAGTAACTCGAGTTGGCTTTGTCAACCCGTTGCTTGGCCAATAATATTTTTTCTACGGTTTCAATGATAAGATATTGTTGGTCAGAAATATTCATTAACCTTGCCTATAGAAAACCCATAAATTTAAATACTACTTCTTAAACTATTTTAATCTTTGAACGTTATGTATCAAAAGGGATATTTTTTTCATTTCATCTGAATACGGTTCATAAATTACCATGGGTTGCTGAAAGATTAGTAGTAATGTTGTCTGGCGAAAGAATCGTGAGTACACAGATGCGTTTTATTTTCACGCTCAAGGATTCTTACCAAAGGTTGCTTGTACGTGGGTCTGTCTGGTGCTTCCAGGGCTTCGTTCCGAAAATCCCGTCTCCGTTCGTCTCTAGCCAATCTCCAATTTGCTCCAGCCTCTCTTGATAAATCGGGGGTATGACTCCATCCATCGTTGGGGCAATGTTCATCAGAAGATTACCTCCATAGCTTTGTAGCATAAATACATTATTTTTTTACGATTAATTTACGAAATAATTGTGACATAAAGCACGTTTGAATCTTAAATATCAAGCTCATTTATGTGATTTATAAGATAACTTTTAAAAAGAAAAAGAACAAGTGAGATACAGTATTCCCTCCAATTAACGGACACTCTAAAAGGCGGACAATTCTGATTAGCGGACAAATTTTTTTTCCCGATCGATCGTTTTCTGGTCAAAGTCTCATAAAAACTTTCCAAAAGGCGGACACTTCCAATTAGCGGACACCTTGCTCTTGCCCCAACGGTGTCCGCTAATTGGAGAAAATACTGTTTCCTAGGCATAAAGGATCGAGGTTACAGTACACGAGATAAAATTAGAAATTAGGTTGCTCGAAAATATTGGAGTCTTGCGCATACCTTACAGTTTCAGCAAGCGTCTCAATTAAATCGATGATTGAAAGGTAATCACTGAGGGGGGCGTTTGCCCTGAATCCCCAAGATTTCGCGTCAATCGTCATCGCATTCTCCCATTTAAAAGGCAGCAATTTCTCTGTAAAGATTTTGAGTGAGAAGTTAGAAACTGGAAAATGTTAGAACTCGCTTTAATAACAAGAAAAATGTAAGAAATGGAAAGAGCAGCTAGAAAATGAAAAAATATGACATTCATACTCGGGCTGTATCGGTCTTTGCAGAGTTTGACGTCACCGTGCTTGCAATTGGCATCGGTCCCCCATCGATCATTAACGACAACGGTGTCTTTAACAGGGCTGGTACACGAAAAGTAGTAGGCAGCATTATTTTAAGTGAAATATTAAATTCGAAAACATAGATCGTATAAACGTATTACATTGAAAAATAACAGCAGAGAGCAAAGAATGATTTTTCTTTTGGTGACTAATTGTGATAAAGAATACTATCTTTCTCTGAACTAAAATGATTTAAACTAAAATGATTTATATACACGTAGCCATCTTCAAAATCTTAACTTCCTTTACAGCGTTTCATGTAAAAACATTTGATCATAATTAAAGATCTAACATAGATTTCCCCAATTATCAATAAAAATTGGTGATATACATTTTCACTTGATGGTAAAATCAGCCCTCAATAAATCTACTGTATATGCTGCTACAAGAGGCATATTAATTGTCAATTCTTTGATTCTTTAAACTTATAGAAAATTTAGAAAGGGCAGCACCGTGCATAAATTCTGGGAAACTGCCTCGCTCTCTGGAATCCTAGATGTTTTTATTTTATTTTATATTCCACTAAAAATTTACAAGACAAGTTACCTATTATGCTACCTACTAATTACTTCACAAACACTACAGGGACGTTGATAAAATCCCTGATGTCATCTGTCTCGTAGAGCTCTGGTACGGAATATTTTTTAATGATTCACTTCGTTTGCGTTTTAAAATCTAAATAACTAAAGATTCTCAACGAAGCAAGGCTGCTGGAAGTGGGGGAGGGGGCTGTTGGGGGGCTAAAGCCTCCAATGATAACGCCTTTATAATGATGTACTGAATGGGTAGCAATACATTGCGCAGCCCCCTCCCCAATACGAATTTTGTTCCCATGACACTGTGAAGTAGATCATCAAAGGTATAGTGTCCTGACGTTTCAAGGTATTCGAGCTTGAATCATAACATCAAAGAAACCCAACAAACCTTGAATTGTATAGCCAGGCAAGAAACTCGCGGCTCAACCAGTAAGTTGAATTTGTCTCCCAATCACCGTCAGACCAAATGTATTCAGGTTTGTATTTGGTCACAATGTCATATAGCTGGGGAATTGTCTTTGCCTATAGTCGAATCCATAGATGAGTGTCACCATTTTTTAATTGATTGGTATAAAAATGACGTTATCATAGGAAGATGATCATAAAAATAAGAAACATTTTAAAACATGTTGGATAAAAGCTTTTAATCCACAACTGGGTATATATTTTTTATCGTGTTCTTTCGGGTCCTCATTCTGACGTTTTATACTTTTAGCCAATATGTTATAAAATGTTTGTTTTTTCCAAAGCTATTTTCAAGAAAAAAAATAAGGGTTAACTGAAATATTTAATACTGCCACTAACAACACGATAAATTTGAATTGCTCGCATTGATCTTTCTGACACTCAATTCACCCAGCCTGTTATTCTTCATTTATCTTGCCTTTCAAGCCATTGGTTTTATTTCTAAAGGCATTTGAACTCAGTAGCATGTTGCCTAATTGTTACCAGCTGTTAATGGTATCCCGTAACAGTTAAAGCTTCAGGGCCCAAAATATGATTCTTTCATTGCATTAAATGTATATCTAGACAATCTGTGCTGTGAGAAACAAGTCACAGAGACTTTAAGAAATGAAAAATGAATCAAGAATTACCTTCACAAATTCCTTCGACTTGAATTTTTTCTTTTTGTCTTCAAGGTAAAGAGGGTTGAACCATTCATAAAGAGAATAGTACAAACAAAACTTCATATCAGTTTTTGATCTGATCGCATCAGCCAAAGCCCCTGAAATCATCAAATCAAAGTTTAAATCACCAAATCAAAGTGGGAATCATCAAATCAAAGTTGAAATCTTCAAATCAAAGAGGAAATCATCAAATCGAAGTTGAGATCACTAAATCATAGTACAAATCACAAAGAAATAAAACAGTAAAGCAATGACGTTCTGAATATCAAACGAGAAAAAAACTTTTGATTTTGTGAAACTGAAGAACATACGAGGTGTGTCATGACCCTGATAAGAAAACATGTTTCTATGTACTGCTCCCTGGAAGTAGAAAAACTTTCAAACAATATTCCTTTGCTTAAATATATCATGAAGAGAGCGATGTCACCTTGAAAACGGATGTCAACTTAACCTCAAAACTTATTTTAAAAGCCAGAGGACCAAACCATAAGCGTACATTGACAAAAAGCAAATCAACTTATAGGAAACCACGCATGAGAATACCAAGCTGGAAAACCAAATGCTTTAAACTTAACAAACAAAAAAGACAATACCAACTATATCCTTTTTAGGCCCAATATCCACTGAGTTCCAATTCCAGGATTCCTTTGAAGGCCAATTAGTGTAGCCATCGTGATGTTTGCTTGTGAAGACGAAGTACCTAAAGAAATCAATTGCAAACATTATTCGTATAAATCATAAGTAGAATTCAAAGGTAGTTTGGGGACGATAATTTCATCATACTGGCTCACTCGTCTTGTTTTTATGGGCGTAGAATGCTAAGGTAGGGGATCGGGATGGGGGTAGGTGTGGGGATGGTTGATTGTCTAGCAAAGTGAATCCGGGAGTATCTTGTAAAAATCAACCCAGTAAAAAAGAGGTTGAGGTGGAGAGGATATTTTGGTGCAAAAGAAATTCAACTGAGCACAGTTTGGTGCACAAAGATTTCCGGATCTCGTCTTTGTCATAAAAATGTGAAAACTCAACAGGTATGTTAGAAATATCTGGCTGGGGTTAAAAATGCCAATTGCTACAGAAATTGAAATAAGAGGTGTCTTGATTTTCAAAACATAAAGGAGGATATGAGGAATTTCATTATTTCTTTACAATTTGACAATGCTACCTCGTCAAAGGAGAAGTGAAATTATCCAAGTGCATGAAAGTGGTCTAGAAACATTTAAAGTAGAACAAACTTGAGACCCGTTTTGGGAATTTAACACTTTGAAACATATTATGTCACTGGATACCTAAATTTTTAATCCAAGATTTCCCCCAAAGTGGTTTTAGAGAACACAATGATGCTATGGGAGGATTCATCTTTGGACAAAATCATGAAAAACAATAACATTTTGAAGGGAAACATTGAATCGGGGGAGGGAGAAAAGTTTTTTGGAAGTGAAGATGAAACATAAACTTTTTCTTGAAAAGTCTAAACTATTATTGCTCTGGATTGTATGTGCAGTGTAATGGATACGTGACTTAAGATGATGATGGGATTTATATGCAGGAAAAGAGGGTTTGTAAAGGTTGAGGAAGAAGCTCCTCAGATGCTTTAAGTCATTAGGACGAGCAAGTGGGAAGCGAATCAAACTATATACGAAGATATCTGTAACCAGTAGCATATAAATAGCATTTGGCCATTAAATAGAGACCTTATACATGTAAGTGCAACAGCACAGACGAGGAGATGTAATAAGGAGCAACAAAATTCCCAATTCTAAAAATTCCCAAGTCGTTAGTACGTAGATTATTATCAAGTCATTAAGCGCAGAAGTATAGAGTAAGAATTCATTGCATACGTATATCTTATTAGAAGCCTTTCTTACTTCGCATTCGACTTGGCTATTATTTTCGCCCATTTTTCTGCATTGAAATGTCTTGCGGTGAACATAGTTGCGAAGTCTGCGTATTTGAATCCTGGTCTGTAGTTTTTCTTCATAAAGGTCTTCATTTCATTGTTGCGAGGGTTGTCTAAAATCAAAGAATAAATGAAAAACCCAAGTTTTATAAATACAGTGTTAACCATTGTTGCTTTTGTATAGTTTTTCACGTTTTTACAGTTGGTGCCATAGCTAAACGGGGGGAGCTAGCAAGAAAATATACAAATAATGTGGTCTTACTCTAGCCGGTTTTTTTATGAACAATTGTTAAACTATTTATGTTCGTCTTTTCCAAAACCTGTAGTTGGTATCCCAGTAGAAAAATAAGAATTCAATTTCAAAAGATCAAATAAAAATTACTTTCAGTAAAGTCTTGAATTAAATAGAACATGCATTAAGAATTCCCAGTAACAGCACTGCAGCAGAAAGACAAAAGCCAGCTCCTTTTCGCCGATCTAAGCTTTAGAACCAACGTTGCAGACGTTAAACAGGCACCCTCCCCTGCCATCTTCAAGAAAAGAATCATAAATACTCTATAATACTGTTTATCAGCTACAATACTTTAAAGTTTACTCTATTAACTTGATGCGTCTCAACTTGTAATTAATGTTTGCCACCGCCCTTTGAAAAGCGGATTGATGATCATATGGGGATACTGTGTCTAAATAACGAAGAATGAATAAATTAATTAAAATACAATAATTTTGGCTGCTGTAGGCGTTGTGTGTACAAAATGTCACATTCTATATTAGACAAGGTCCCAAAATGTTGTACAAAAAAACTCATGCGCGATAAAGTAAACTGCAACTACCATACCGAGCAAGAAGGTTCGGCAAAGTGTACATACCTTGTTCTTCCCAGTACTTCCACATCCATTCAGTGCCATACGCCGGCACCGAGTAGACGCCCCAGTGCATGAATATTCCGAATTTAGCCTCATCGTACCAAGATGGTGTGGGTCGGCTATCCAGTGACTCCCATGTTGGTGCATACCAAGAGCTCTCCTCTTCGACACAAAACACGTCACAGTTGGTTAATCCAAGAAATTCGTAGTAATAATTTCGAGATGGTAACAAAAATGGTAATTTTGAAGTCGCACAAATAAAATCACATTATTTTGCTACCTAGTTAAAATTTATTGAATAATTAATATAAACAAGAATATTGTAAATAGGATGGTGATACCTCATTGAAAGGATTAAACGCGTTGAAGAAAAATAATTAGTTTTATCACTGTCTTTCTACAAAATTTTTCTATAAAGCACGACTGCGTTTGGTGAAGCAAAAATTTCGCTATAAGCAAGAACTTAAATTATAATAGCAGATATAATTATCAACCGTACCCACTTATCTTTGGGCATTTACAATGAATCCCGGAAAGTCATTCGTTAGATGTTATATCCCTCCCTCCATTAGTTCTTTATCTAAATTTCGCTTTTTTCAATTAACAGATATTTTTAGATATCTTGCACTAAAATTCACAAAGTTTATTATTCTTTTATTTTGTCAAAATTATCCTAAAGGTACACTTTTGTATCTTCTTCAAATGTTTCTCGGTGAAGAGAATGATTTTTGTTGGCAAACAGCTCTGAATCAACTGAAACGATTGATTGCAAAAGAGCCATTGTCAAGAGAACCTTATTAAGAATCAAGCCTTTTTGTGCTTTGATACGGGAGTGAATACGGGGACCATGTAGATGCAAGGGTAGTGCTACGGGGTGTAAAGGGGGAGTTCCTCCTAAAAATCAAATGATACCTCGGTGTTTCGTTGAAAACTATCAGCATTTAGAGAATTTTTGAAAGAATAAGATATGAATGATGCAAAATATAAGCGAAGCCTATTTGACTGCTCTTTAACAGTAAAGGCATGAAAGAAATTCAAGGTAAAATAAAGACTTGCCACTTCTTGTAAAAGAAGACACGTTCCATGGATTAATAGAAGCAACGTACTTTACTAGGCCGAGAAGAACCTATAACGAGGAAAACCGGCCTTTATAAAAGTCAAAACTTGCAAATATGCTGAAATTTTTGGAATTCCAACTAGTGGAGTTCAATAGCTCAGATAATTGCTTGTGGGGATAAGACGATAAATAGACAAGCAGATTAAAGGTTTATAAAAAGGTTCAGGATGATAAAGTTTAGAAGGAATGAAGACATACATACCAAGAAAATAGTGCGTGATATCAAAACAATCATTTTCGTGTCCAATGCATATCATTAAACTTAAAAACTGTGTTGTTTAAAAGCCAAATACTGACCCGCAAAGTCACTCATGTGTGCAGACAAAGCAGTCGTCGAAATTATGGGTACCAGACGCTGGGTGAAAAGGCATGTTACTCAAACACAACAGAACGCGATTCGAACAATAGTTTTTTTGTTTATGATAGAAGAACACTTGAATTCCAAAAAGCTTCCTTATTCATTGGAAAAGACTTTCCCAAAATATTTTCCTTCTTTCAACACCCTCTTTTATCACCTTCGCAGTTTAGAAATAGACTTTGGGGAAGTCTATCGTGGGACCAGAGCAGAGGAGCAAAACGCCGTAAGGTGCTAAGCTAAAGCAATCCCATACAAATTTTCGTGAAAGATCCTTATTGGCTGCCTAGACTTCGGTACTATAGAGTACCGAAGTGATGACGTCATAAAAATCTATTTTTAGAATTTCTGAATTTTGATTCCGGAACTTAAAAGAGCATCATGAAATACCTCTTAGTATGCAAACTAAGTTGAAGGCATCACGAATTGGCTTAGATATGGCCACATAAGGAAAAGCTCTTGCCTCATCAAACCTCTGTAATTTGGTCTTGGTTCATAACTTTATGAACCATGCCAGAATAACAGTGATCCGTTAGCAAACTTGAAATCTTTCATTGGCCATATCTCGCCCAGTTTAGAACATATCCAACTAATTTTGCACAATACAAGATATTTTATGCCGCTCTTTCAGATTATGCGGCCAAATTTTAGAAATTCTAAAAATAGATTTTTGGTGACGTCACACTTAGGTACTCTATGGGTACCAGCAAGCACCGCGGAGCATTGAGAAAAGCGGGGGCTCTGAAAAGAGAGGCTTGACTGTTGATATAAAGGTTAACTTAATGCTTTTCTGGCAAAAAGTGGGAAAATCTCTGGTGCCTGACCAGAGATTTTCGATTCATTCTTAAGACTTCGGCAACAAGGGTAATGTCGGAAACAGTGCTATTACTTTTCAAGTGTGAAAATGCTTCGGAAGGAAGTACTTAGTTCAGCTTAAGTCGTAAATTAATCCTATTATTTCAAGAGTAACCCTAGTTTAATAAAGTAAGCTTCCGCGTTGTTATTATTATTATTATATGATTTATGTTTGTTTAGGCCCTTTCATTTAGAACATCGCATATTTCTTCTAGGAGTATTTGCAGACGCAGCATTATGCATATTACGTAAGTTATATTATTGTTCTAGTAGTTCCTCATCACGCATTACGTTCGCCAATGTGCGTGACGCAGTATGCCTACCTTTTGTCTTGGGTTTTACCCTGCATAGGATTTGCTGAGGAAATGGTATTCTTTTATAAACCGTATTACCTCATGCCCACCTTTAGGTATCATTTCTGCTAAATCATCGTTTAGCATCTTAGGAAACTGCTGACACAGCCCCCGCGCGTACTTCCTTCTTCCTTACCATCGCCTATATGTATCCCTTTCGAAAAGTAGTTAAAAAGAGAGTCCGTAGTGTAGTACGTGTCATGCTGTAGGTGTCTGTGAAAAAAGGCCTCAGTATAGATCTCGTCATAAAAAACCGTCTGAAAGATAAGAAGTTGTATTCTCTGTTGTATCCTGCCATCGCCGAGACTCGCTATACCAAGGAGACGGGCTACACTAGCAATGATTTTGATCAATTTCAAAATCTAGGTTTCATTAACATGATATGCATTAATTATTGTAACGGCGCACAAAAGGTGATTTTAGAAAAAGAGCCTTTCAAAAGGACGGAGATACTAGAATTGCATGCGAAAACTTTCGTATCTATGTTGGATATGAAGCCATTTGTCTCATAATTGAGAAAAATTTAGGCCAAACAAATATGGGCCAACCTTTTTTGTCCCAGGTTATAGTCACCCTATCAACAGAATCAGTCACTTTCAAGGCGACTGCTAGTACACCAAAGGACTCATTCATGTAAAAACCCAGACATTTTCATTGCTTGCAATATTCTACCGATTCTTCGTTTACAAAAAGAAAAACACAAAATATAGACTTATTTCCTTCTTTTATTTCAGGAAAATCCCGAATAAATAATCGAATAGACGCACAATATTTGCAACCGGACATAATGAACCATATTTACAAAAATATTTAATCGGATTGTCTCCAGTTTACACAACTTGTGACTCAATGTTCATTAGAATTGATCCTCAATGCAGAAAAAGTGCTCTGCAACCAAAACAGGTTGCCAAAAAGCAGCTACCCAGTCCTGGCTGTGACGTATTGGAAAATTTGCCCTACAGCCATCTTTTTAACCCTACAGCCATCTTTTTAGCCTCTGAGTTAAGAATCTCCACGACAAAATCATTAGCAGCTCCACGATAACAAAGCCATACCCCAGGAAAACTGAATAGAGCTTCTGTGAAAATTGCAACTGGGAGAGAGGGGGTTCAAATCGTGCTGGAGCTGTTACACAGATGTCATAACACCCAGGTTCTTGTGAAATTATCGCATCAACTTCTTACGCTGTTCGGCCAACAGCATCTCCAAATGGTCAGCTCTCTTTTCAGCAGCCTTAAAGAATAAAAAATCGTTTATGTCTTATAGCATTGCTTTGCCTAGCATTAATGCATTTTAATACCTTAAACTTACAACTTGTTATTCTGTAAACTACAAAGATTAATAACAAAATCAGTAAAACTCATTTACAATCAGACTAAAATAAACAACCAAGTATACGCTTGATGAAAGTCACAATAGAAAAAACTTCAGTAAAGCAACAATGAGCTTGGTTGAGGAGACGAAAAGAGCAGTATTATTACTGCTCAAATCCAAAATTCAAGAGTCATATAAAAGATTGACTAAGTTTTGAGTATATTCGAAATTTTCATAAAAATTTTCTATATACAATTAAAAAATGAATAAATTTTTGGACACCGAAAAATTTTAGCATATAAAAAAGTCTTTATTGATAAACTGGGTTTTTAAGTTGGTTGAGCAAACAACGCATTGCAGTTTTAATTTCAATTTTCACAAAAATTAAAAGGAACTCTGAATCGAATCCTTGATGTGTCCATCAAACAGGAATGACAACAAAGCAGAGGTGACAGAAACAAAGAGCAGGATGCAGAAACAGTAAATTGTGAATGGACATACCTGCATTTGGTGACGCAACATCTGAACTGTCTCTTCTTTCTTTGAAATCGCCATCTTCACCCTGACAACAAGAGGTAGTCAGACAATCATTTTCAAAACAAGAAGATTCTGAGCAAGAGATCGTCAAAAAGGACATAGCAGGTCACGTGTCAAGCTTGGGAACCCTTTATTTATAACACTTGGTTCCGTTATTGATATATAAAAGCGATTAATAGGTTGTCATATATAAAGGGCCCTGGACTGCATCCATTTATAAAATGAATGTTTCAAAATATCTCTTTATACCTTGATAGGCTTTGTTGTGGTTAAAAGTCCGAATAGGCAAGGAAATAATGTTAAAAAACCAAGCTGTGACAATACTGTGGCAAAATATGGTATTTTGACGGTTCATAGACAATGTGTCTTGCTATCCTCATGCTGGATGCAATTAATCTTATCAACATTGAAAAGCGCACATTGACGGTACTAGGTGTCTGCCGTAATTTCAATAAAGGGCTTACTACAAAAAAATTATCAATCCGAAATTGTCCATAAGACGAACCCTTGAGATGCAAATTTTGCTATAACTGATGACATTTCAAGGAAATCTATGTAAATATATCGAAAATGATACATGATATATACAGAATATAGAGAAATTATAAGCTACAAATAGATATAAATTACAATACACATTCAAGTCATAATTGCAGAGAACTTCACAGAACTGAAATCTGTAAAGTCGCTAATGTTGTACAACTCGTAAAAGGTTGATTATGAGAAGGGTAACACGAACCATTTTAAGTATTAGAAAGATACAGATATGAATACCTTTTATGAACTTCCTCCATCTCATCCTCCTTTTCCTTAACCACCCTATCTATTTCTAATCTTTGCCTCGCTTTCAACTCACTGATATCGTTTCTCAGCCTCTTGTTATCTTCGTCTGTAGTGACAAGCCTTTTGGAGTAACAAACAACGTAAATAGGCTGTTCAGATATGATAAAAAGTATACGCATTTCCTTTGGTATTGTTTCCAGAAAAGAATTGATACACGAATACCAGCTATTGAAGTGACGAGTCTCAAGACACAGTAAAAATAACAATATTTGTGCTGGTACACAAAGCAAGGCTACGGCCATTCTACTTTTAACGCTTAACGGTAGGGTGTAAATCTGATGAAGTTTTGGCGCTTGTACCTTCTAAGCTGAAGTGCCCATAGATGAAAAGGTGTTAAATGAATAAAAAGTTCCTATCTATTCACTTGAAGAGCAATTGAAAGCATGTACGGAGAACAAGCACGGCTTAAAAAGCTTTAGAATGCTGTTACAAGCTTTTAGTCGTAATATTGTTACAGTTACAAGCTTGTAAAGATCAAGATTAGAAATATAGATGGGAAATACCTGTCAGCAAACTCTTGTCTTATTATATCAGTAGCCTTCCCCCTTTCACTTTGAAGTTGTTCTGTTAACTTTTTGATGTCAATAACCTCTTGATCTTTTTGCTTTAACTGACTGCGAAGTCTTATTGTCTCATTCTCAAGATCATTAGATCGCTCCTGAAAGATGGTCAGAAAATAAGAGTTAAAAAGAATTTGCAGAAAAGTTAAGTATTATAATTGCTACTATTCTCACTCCAATTCTCTGCAAATGATATGATATGGGTTCACGCTAATCAAATGGTTAATCAAGCTGCAGACAAGAATTAAACAGCATGTGGACATAAACTTTTGGTGTATGTTTTACAAAAAGGAGGGCAATCTCGTGTGACAGTAGTTATCAATTTAGAAAACACCATAATCCTCGAATTAGGGTGGGATTGATTCAAGCCCCCCTTGAATCAATCCCACCCAAAAATGCTAAACTTCACAATACCTCTGTTGATATGGCGTCCTTCAGATAATTTTTACCAATCCCCACCCTCGTTCAAGTCACCCCCATCTAGTTAGCCTCTTGTCAAAAAACGTCCCAAGGGTCTATCTTGAGGTTTTATGGTACATTCATCACAGTTTAGCCCTAACAGATTACCTGCCTGAAAAAGCAGCTGGGCTGTAATTGTAAAACGATGAGATACTTCGAATAATCAGTTGAGTAAAGTCATCCTCTTTTATCCATTTGCATGTGAAGTAAGAACTTACGTTTTCTTTTAAACGTCCTATCTAGGTCAGCTGATAAGGAAGGCAATTAGGTGTTCCAGTTGCGAATGGTTTACAAAGATTCATAAATGGATTATTTTATCATCGTTTGGTCCCTTATTCAGGATTTCAGAATAAGTTTGTTAATAAGAAGCGCAATGCCACTGCAAAACATCTTTTAACTTTCTCCCTCTTTGATCTAAATCTTTAACCTATTTGGTTATGATTGAGAACAATGACTGATTAAAACGTAAGAGAAGGAAATTAGTCAAATAAATGGAGCATACTTTTGCGGCACCATATCTCTCTTGATAAGACCTCTCCGAGTTTTCCAATTCTTTCATTTCATTCTCATACTTGTCTCTAATTCTCCTGTAGAAAAAAATTGAAACAAAACGTTCTCCAATTTGCAAAGTTGTCATTTGTGACGAAAAATCAAATGGAACAATTTGAAATATTCTTAGTATTCCTTAGTATTAACTGAGAGAAGAAAAGATAATTAAGCCATTCTCTAATTGGAATATTTTAACAAAATACCACCCCGTATTATTTAAAACTTCAAAATCATTTACAAGAAATTAATTTAGCTATTATATTAGCAAGATATATTGTCGATAATATCAGTAAAAAAATAAAAGGAAAAAATTGCGTGTTTTAGAAAATAGAATGTTGTGGAATAGAAACACTAAAAAGGACGAGCAACCTCTCAAATAATTAAGTGAAATCTATCACGTATATATCTTTAGAATGAAAATGTTTAGTTGGCAATTAAACTCATTCGTAGAATAGAGATTTTCAAAATAAGTTTTTACAAACTTTATTCGGTTGTCTGCTGCTCTTTCGCATTCTTCTTTTGCCTCCGCAGTTTCTTTTTCTAGTCTCGAAATTACCATCTCAATTTCCTAAAACAAAGGACAAGTCGTCGCTAAGTTCAAGGCTCATGCTTTCTGAAGTAAAATCTAAACTAGTTCAGAAATGATTTTTATCTCATTTACACTTATGAAACTCTGTAGGCCAGGGCAAAAATTATTTAACTTCATCGTTCAAAATCTGGTTTTCAAATTTTACTTAGTTAGGTTGGATTATTCTTCGGCACTTGACAGCTTGCCTATCTCTCATTTATCATTCAATTTTTCATTGTGAAATATATAAAATCTAGTGGACGAACTTTTCCCAGCGTCTCTCCCATTTTACCAATGAATTTTATAGTTCGCTTACTGAAAATGTTTAATGAAACAAAATCGAGTTTAACATCCAACAAGTGACAATTTGAAAAATGACTAGAAATCGAATAAACGGAATCAACAAATAATCTAAAATATTTACGCGGATGCAGCTTTGCGAAAAAGCCTTGGTTTGAGTTTCACAAAAACTAAGTTTCGGATATACAGCATTTATTACCACTTCGAGTACATACCTTGTCTCTTGCTTCTCTGACACCCTCTTTTAATTCTCTTTCTTTTGCCAATAAGTATGTATCCTAAAGCAAAACTTTATCTTGTACAGTTATACGAAAAAATGATAAAAAAGTAGTTGAGGTTTAGAAAGTACAGGCATACGAAGTTTTAAGATGGGCAAAACATAGTTAAATAGTTTTAGAATAATCCGCAAAAAGCAATTTGTGGAATATAAAAACGATTCGCAATGAAATTTTGTTTTGGAGGTTAAATTAAGAAAAAATGAGTGAAAGACATTTCGATAAGGATTGCTGGCTTGAGAATTGTCTGGAAGGTGACAAGGAAGGGAATCTTTTGAAACTGCATACGATCGGTACCTTACAAAAAGTAAAGACTGCAGAACCTCAAATGGTATGTTTTGAATGCAACATGTTTGAAATCAAAACAGAAAAAAGATCATCAAAATCTAAGAAGCAGTTGAGCATTTAACGCAAGGAAATAGTTATGTTTAATCTGCCTGCGAGGGAGACTTTCAACAAACCTGTTTTTTCATGTAGTTTTCTATCCACTGCTGTTTTTCGATTTCAAGTTGCTCTTTCAGATTGCTCATTTCTGACTAAAAAGAAAGGAAAAACGTATATTTACAGTAATGATTTGCAAATTATTTGGCTAGAACAGGGTGAACAACCTACTGCCCGCGGGGAAATCCGGCCCGGAAAGGAATTTTTGTGGCCCGCGAGACGATAAATTCATATTAAGATTTTTCAAAAATTATTTCATATTATGATTTCAAAAAGGTTGCCCACCCCTTTTCAAAAGTAAATGGTCTGAGTTCAAAGAGGGGATCCTCAAGCGTTCCCTGTTTGCCAAAAACAGATGTGATAATCATTCTATCAAGATGTATGAACTAACGTTTACGCAAGAGTCTCTTTCATCGATTATCACCACAGCTCGCACAGTTATGCCTGAATTGCAGTGAACTGAAGAACATTTCTCGAACAAGCCTTTTGGCTCAGATCATTCACTTTAAAATTTACTCTCTTGTGAAAAAGAGAATAGACACGCTTCGCATAGCTCAAGAGCGAGCGAAAAAAGAGAGAAAGGATTAAAGACCTGAAAAGTAAATTCGTAACATGGCAACTATATGGATTGGGGCTGGCATCTTATGAAGACATCTTGGGTGAAAGACAAGATTTTTATGACAGGTATTATGATAACAATTATGATAAGAAAAAATTGGAAAATTTACAGTATGCCGCCTTTCGATTTCTTCAAGCTTTTTGTGATGGTCCTCTTGCATGGCAAGGAGTGTATGACGATATGATTCCTATATAAAAATAATAGAAAATAAATGAAGTAACAGAAAAACACAGAAAAAGGCAGACGAAAGGAAAAAAGCATGTAGTCTATATATAAATAAGAACAAAGAAGATCCCCACTTCACTGGCGTTCTTCTCTTGGGTCGTTTCTTGTTTTGTTTTTTGCAGCTGTTCTGTGAGCCTTTCTTTCTCCTCCTGAACTTCAGAGTACAGGCGCCTCCGCTGTTGCTGGTAAGCTTGTTCTTCTTGTTCCAATTGCTTTTCGTACCTACAAAAACAGAAACATTTCAGAACTTATGACTCGACACGACTGACAAGCCCTAGATACACAGGCACCAGTACAAAGCTAGTTTGTATGTATACAACGCCTTGTCTTGCAACCGTAGGCATCACAGATAAGTTTTAAATTCGAATCAGTCACCAAGTATTTGTCTATCGACATACAACATTTGATCATTTAAGCCAACCTTTGTCTTGCAATATCTCTTTCTCTCTGCACTGCTTGGTCCTTTTCGATCTCTAGCTGTTCTCTCAATTCTTCAATTTGTCTGATGTATTTCCTACCAGCTCTCTCATCTGCTTCCAGCAATTCACCCTTAAAATAAGAATTGGTGGCATTTAGAGGAAATTTCTTAATCCCTATACATCATAATGGAAAACATCTCAAAGAGTCGCAAAGGAAAAGCATCTCAAATAATCACGATCTTCCAGCTATATGACAATCTTTCATAGCTGAATGCAACCATAATAACTCAAATGGAACTCTAGATGGCAGCTGCAAAATTGTTCTATTATAATACTTGACATTGCCCGAGTTTTACGTTTTTACATAGAATCATGACGCAGCAGCTAAGTACACCTCAACCTGATTTCATACAAAGGGTTTTTTGGCCTTGAATCTTACTCACAATTTTAGCCCTACATAGACATGGTTTCGCATTTGGATAAAAGTAAATAAATTTACTCATAGCTAGACATAGCCCTAACCTGGTGCATAGCTTTGAGTTTCTTTATTTCTGCTTTGTGTTTGGCGATCAGCTTCTGAATATCAGGCTCCAGACCTTTCACAGTCATTTCCTAGATTGAAAAATTTATAAAAATTGTCTCTGATTTTGAAACACTTGATAATATCAACAGCAAGCAGAAACAGAGATTTTCAAAAACAGTTTCGGATTTTAGAAGAGTGTGGTGAATTTTGGCAATGAATTTAGTTTTATCAGCCAGTTTCATTAAAAACACGTGTTAAAGACACACTGTCACACTGTTTATTGGTCTATCAAAACAAAACAATACGTAACGCTTACTGAATTTCGTTATACATCGAAATCCACCTTGTAAAGAGCAATGCGACATTGTGTCTTTTAGGCAAAGCCATTAATTTCCTACATTCTCATGACTTATCATAAAATAACTCGGAAACAAAGGAGTAGGAGATGAATTTTATCCTAAGCACATAAGAAAGTATACCATCAATAAAAGATAAATTTCAAACATGTTCGACTTTTCTTTATAAAAAGACCTGCTGAATCTCAAATAATATAGCAATTAGGGAAAAGATGGAAGATACAAACTAACTGCTAACTGATAAAAGACGGTCGATGTTATGCTACGACAAAATTTTATAACTGGATGAAATCAGGAAATACCTTTATTTGAATCGTTTTTTCTTGTATCCATTTTTCTCTGCGCAGTTTTTCAGCAGCCTCCATCACCTCTTTTTGCTTTTTAAGCTCGACTGCATGACTGAAAGGAAAGACGAACATTGACAGTGTAGAACCAAAACATCAGTGATAATTCCACTTTGAAACTAGCCTTGTTTAGCAACTGTTAGCTATTTTTCGTCAACCGCCAACCTTATCACATCTGTTCCAGCCCCTCCCCTTCGAATAAGCCCCTTCGAATAAGCCCTCTCGGATAAGCCCCTCGAATAAATCTCCTTGAAAACAGGGTTTAGGTCGGTACTTTTATCACGTCTTATCCCGAATGGGTTACTTATTAGAGAAAGCAGCTTGACCTATGTGTTCATACAAAACACATAAAATATTCTTTACAACTGAACACTTCAGACGAGATTTTCTGCAATACCACTGCATGTGACAATACAAAGCCCCTCTTATATTATACAGGCGCCAAAATAGAGAGGACCCCATACTTCTCCTCAACTGTCTTCAGCTTCGTTGAATACTTTTGATCTGTCTCCTTCAGCTTTTTCACAAGATCCTCGCAGCGTTGGCTCAGAACCTTCTTGTCATCAATCAGTTGGTCAATAAAGGACAAATGCCTTTGGATAGTGCTCTCGTATTCTTGCCTCTGGAGACTCAACTGCTGCTTGTGTTCTTTGCTCACCTCCTGTATGTGTGTCGAAGAGAATTCGCGTTGCTGTTGCTGCAAACAGATCGTTTTCAGAATAAAATGGTTAGAAGTGAAATCTAATAAAATATTGCAATTTAAAAATTTAATGACAGTTAGGATTAATCTTAGATCTACATGTAATTCAATCTTTGATACCCCTCCTCCTACAACAGAAAATCGATTAACATCGTTTAAAGATTATAAGTGTACGATTTTCGTTCTATCAGCAGGTGATTACCATATGCTTCCCAGAAAACATAATTCTTGGGCCGGCCGGTACAATGCAAAAATCGTTTACAGGGCACTTTTAGCTTTTCACACTGTTCTGTGGACTTGTGACATTTCTCTCTGACTAGACTAGTTACCAATCTTGTTTTTTTTAAATCATAGCTTACAGAAACGGAAACTACGACAGTATAATTATATAACGGAATAATTCGAAAGGATTAAGCCATAAAGGTGAGTAACAATAGCAGAAAAATGGACATCATAAAACGTGCAACATAATAGCTTACCAACGCTTTTTGCAATAAATTTACAGATCGATTTTTGTCATTTAGCTGTTCCTTCTGTTCAGAAATTGCTTTGCTTATTTCGCTTGCTATTTGCGAGGCAGAATCCATATCCTTCCTGATGACAACAAAAAGTATGGGTGGTTACTAGACAAATCTAATACTGTCCGAAGTGACACAACAGCAAACTTTCCCAGGACAGAAAAACGTCATCCACGCTAGTGATGCTAAGCCATATAATGGGGAACCGTCAATGCAAAAAATCATGTTTTTGGGCGTGAAGGTAACACAGAAAGAAAGACACGATTCAAAGTAAGCGACTCTGCCGCAATTTTTCCATGGTTGAAAAAGATAGTTATGCAAAAAAAGTTATACAGCTTGACTTGAACTTTGTATTGAGTCAAAATCTATAAAGTGGTTTACACTCAAAACATGAAAGGAAAACGATTTAATAAGAAGAGTCATAAAGAAAACGAACGGTTCCCCGGCGTCAAACAAAATTACATTTTCAAGGCCATTATTTAGTCTGGTCTGGTAAAGGTATTGCATTAATAGAGAAAAAACTTTGACTTTATTATCATATGTAAGCATGACTTACTCAGGTGAAAGGACTCCCTCAAAGACATCAGAAATTTTCTCTGAAACTACAGAGTCAACCACCCTGGACTGAAGAAAGCACAAGTATGAAAGAATACGCAAAAACAAGAAACTGTAACCACAAAACATACACAAAGGTCTCAATAGCAGTGGTCTCCCCTTCTAGTGCTAACAATTTTCGAAATTAAAAAGTCTCTCTGGTCCAAATCAATTTTTCTAACTAAATTTTTTCGTTTATCCTCAGCTTGAGGCATTTTTCATAAGTTTTACTGATGTAAATGATTAGAAACAGAAGAGTTCATTTTTCTCGTTTCAGCCCTTGGCATACATATTGAACATTGACCATGACATGGTAAAAAACCCTGACAATATACAGTCAAGTACATATTCACGGTGTTCTCTGCTAACTTCTTAACTTCAAGAAAATTGTCTTTGTAGATGTGATCCGAATATTGTTTATCAAATGAAAATAGCAAAACTGAAGAGACTAAAAAATGAACGTGATATTATCACCCTGCTAAGTTCACTTCGGATATCCTGCTCGGCTTGCTCGACTTCGTCTAGAAAGTCTATAATTGACCTGTTGAAAAATCAATTGTCCTGTATTTTCATGACCAAGGTAAAAAGTATATTTCAATCGGCTCGTACATGATAATAAAAAAGCCAATTTTATACAAAAACATAGCTTAGTTATTAAATCAAAATAGGGCTATCAATAAGGACCCTGTCTCGAATTAGTTTTTAGAATAAACACAATATCAGACGACTGATTTAAATAGTTAATCAAATATCAAAATCCAAAGACTTTTTCAAAAATTGTTATCAACGAACATTCTTGCCAGCCTATCAGAGATGTTTGCTTCTAAGATAAAAACTATTTCCATATTTCATATGTTCGTTAACAAAATTAAGTGAAAAACAAGAAGTAAACAATAATGCATGTGAAATAATGAAATAAACAAACCTTAGTTTATCCGCAGTTAAAAGTGGATTGTTCGTCATTCTAAAGGAAATAAAGGAAACATTTTGAAAATGGCTTTTAAAAAAACAAACATAAATTCTTTGATTAGCACTGGCTAAATATTGCAAACATTAAATTCTATACTTTCCATGAAAAACAAACAATGCTCGAAAAAGACTTTTAGACCAAGGCAACTCCGGAAATCGTTATTTCGGAAAGTAAGAAAAAACTGGAAGACACAAAAAACATGCAAAGAAAGCGAATAGAAAAGGAAAATTTTGCAATTGTAAATGACGAAAAAGGCAAAAGAAAAGTAGAACCTAATTTGAATCTAATATGGGAATCCACTTTGAAGAACCAAATCTTCTAAAAATTTCATGGCAAAAGGATTTTAAAGTTTGACGAAATGCACTGGACACACAGTTTGGTGAATTTTTTACCAGTGCAATGTAGGGCACACGTGACTTTATTGCGTGCCAGGGCACATATATGGCGTTAAGATTTGTAGAGCACGGGAGAGTTAAATAAAAGTGAGTATCGATCACAACCCTGAGACTGCTTCTATACTTTATATGTATTAGAAACAGTATAACCAGGATACATAAACTTCATATGAACAAAATGAAAGATGTCATATCACAAATGTAGCCAAAATTGAAGGATTACATATTGAGGGGAAGTTGAAAACGAACAAGCAATTTAAAAATATAAAAATGAGAAATTAAGACAGAATTGATAAATTTTAAGTATGAACATCAAACACAAGAGTAAAGTTACCGTACCTGTCATCTTTTGAGGACGATAAAGTGCGAAGATTTTGCGTTGTCAACGAATGCTGGATAGACAAAATTTAAATACTATATAGATTGGAATTGTTCTTTTGTGAAATAAACGTTATAGTAACAAAGCAAGAGCGATAACATCAAAATTACACTAAAATCTAAAGCTTTACCCTTTCGTTCTTGCCATCAGTGTCATTAACTGCAAAGAAAGAAGAGCCTTTTCAGAAGCAATAGAGAAAAAAGCATAAAATTCAATAACTTGTAAACGGTCAGAAGGTTATTCGTTGTCATCGTGTACGCGCAGTTGACCAATGTCCACATCACAAGAAAGGTATTTCAGTGACACAAAGAAATTCTTGTTGTTGTTAATAATGCTTGGTAATAACTTCAACCGAGCATCAATTAATGATTTACACTGTATTTATGCAATGATCACAATTTCGTTGTAGAAAAATCTTACTTGCTATTTTAGTTCTAAATCATCCTTGCTTAAATTCATCAATATTTTCTGGCAAGTAAACAGCAGATCCCTATCTTAAAGACACTGATTGTATGTAAAGGATTACATAAAGCATATTTACTCCAGGCATCTTTGTACGACTTTCTTTGTTTACTAAGTTCAGGCGGTTCAGACTCCAGCTCCTTCAGAGTGTCTAGCAAATCTTCGAACGTCGTCTTACTTCCTTTCACCTCCTCTTCAGCCTTGCTGCTGGAAACAAAACAATTACAATTCAATTAGAACTTGGCATTGGTTTAATCAACTCGGTCAGCAATGTGTCTTCGTTTATATTTACTTCGGGCTTTTTGGCTTAGTTCGACATTAGCAGGGTTATCTTGAAAGTAAATTGATGCAAATCCTCACTTACTAAAATCTATAATAGAGGAAATTGCTGGCTAACAGATCGATGTAATTGATTCTTTTATTTTGTCTGATAACTAACCTTCAAATAGATGTGATGAGCTTCAAGAAACTGAATTTTTTTAAGTTCAAATCTCAAGGGCAAGCTTTTGTTGTAAAGCTCGCAGATACCAGAAGCCACGTGCTTAAGAGGTCTGAATAAAATACAAAGGCATACAACAAAACCAATCTGTCTTGCTCTTTTTGCGGCTCAGAATTCAATATCTATCAACACAACGATCACCTACCTGACGGTTGTTTCGTCATTTCCTGCTGTTCGATCTGTAAGCATGATATCAGTGTCTTCATCTTTATGACTGCGTGCATGACTCGAGCCCTTTAAAATAGTTGATAAAAAATACCTCGCTCAGAATGCTAACAAATGTAATATATTGATGATTTCATTGGCAATAAAATGACAGATAATACTGACTCAGTATTTAACTCTGACTCAGAGTTAAAACAGGAAAGCAGACATATTAACTCCTCTCTTCAGATTTTTACTTCATTCGTCTTTATAAAAATCAACAACTTTTATTGAAACTCGTTAAATATATAGAAAAGAATGTAGCTAAACGAAAATTTGCCATGTTAACGTTTCGAACAAGGGAAAATAATTTCTTTCTGAAAGTGAATGGCACATAGAGCAATTTGAACAAAGCCTAATCTTGACGCCGGTTTTGTAGCATTACGCAAAACAACTTTTCAATTACAAAAATTAAGTTGTCTTGATCAAGTTATTATCAGTTCATATCAGCGACTTCTAATTTTGTTACAGGTTTGGATTTTTGGTTTCCAAAATGAACAATTGATTAACAGTGAAGAAAAGGGTTACATCTTATGTCTTTTTGCATCAGAATAGATTTTTGATAAATGAAGTAAATTACTTTTACAAAACAAATTCAGAGTACTGACCTCAAATATTTCGTCAACCTTTCTTCCCACGCTGCTTGCAGTTGGGGGTCTTAGATCCCTTTCCCCGTCTGCTTTTTTGCCATTCGAAATTGACTGAGCAGAGCTTGCACTATCGGGCCTCTTCTGTCTTGGCCTGGATTTTGGTTGAGATTTTTGCTTTGATATCTTCCCACTTTCTTGAAGGTAAGCCTACAAATAAAAGTTCAACAGTTGAGAAAACGACGAAACATTCGGTAGAGCAAAAACAGTCGGTATTTTTATCAAAACAGTCGGTATTCACGCGTCAAGCCGATATACACAAAGAAAATAATTATAATGATTTATCATAATTGCAGTTGATGTTTACTGGTTTGCTTCGCAATGCGCAGTGTCACAAGACAGAGCCGACGAGACATGAGATTACATCATTTAACACAAGTAAATGCCCGATCTCACACATTCTGTTTGCGTCGTTTCTTTTAATAGACAATTTACGGTGCTCATGTAGTTACAACTCATAGAGTACAAATGTTTTTAGTGAGGTTGAATCTTTTTCTACAAAAAAAACACTACATCAAGAAAGAAATACTATTTAGAAATATACAACTTAAATAAAGAAATAGATATAAAAAATTAATTAAACAAAAAGGTTCTCTAGGTCTGTCCCATCCCATCAAGACAATTGTTTTGATATATTTCTATAATTGTTGAAAGAAATAAGTATCATTGTCCTTTCACAATACAAAATACAAGTTTGCCGTCTTTCAGGAAAGCAGAGTACGGCAATTTCAAACAAGATTTCGCGTGTGCAAGAGCAAAGTCTGCCCTTAAGTATAAGTGTGCACGTACATTGTGCACATTAGCGTGCACAACTATGCTAGAGCCCAAGAATATTTATCAATCAAGAAGCCAAAATTAACGAAGATAAGAAAATTTAAATGATTGATAGTTACTTTGTTATCAAACAAATGCAAGATTGTGTAAATCTTGAGGAAACTTGTTTTGCTCTAAACAAAAGGGCACGCCATTGCTACGACCAGATATAGAAATGTCACTCCATTTATTAGATGCGCAGAGACATTCAAGAAAATATTTCGGGTATGAATTTCTGCAGTCTCGTTTTCATTTAGCATCAAGAAAAGCTCTAGCAAACTTACTATTTCTTGTTGTGCTATGGCCTGATTTCTTGTTTTCTTCTCCTCGCGTTTCTTCTGAAGATCTTCAATGGCAGCCTGTCTTGCTAACCTTGCCTTTTCTTCCCTTCTTTTTATTTTATCCACTTCAGCGTTATGCTGCACTTGGAACTAAGAGAACAAGACAGGCAAATTTAAAGTTTACAGAGAAAATTAATGTAATAGATTATGTTGGAATTATTATAACTCTTTCATCGCTAAATTCATATAAAGAAGCTAGTGGGCATTAAAGGATCTCTTTTCTCTGACAGCACATTTAAAATGCTTCTGTATCTCGGGAAGCCCTGACATCCATCTTTGTCTTCAGACACAAAACAGCCCCTGGGTTCCCCCTGTCACGTCAAAGCTGATAGTTTGATCTTGCATGCAGTAAATGATACATGATATATTTCAACACAACATAATATCTTACATCAAAAGGGAAATTTCATCGAATGAAAGATATTGCTTTTGAAACTGTAAGAAACTGGAAATTTAGTTCTTTGCTACAATAACGACGGTTTATGGTCATCAATTATCTAGACTGACCTGATGCACTTCAGGTCGGTACGAAAAAGTAAAAGTATTTTGCTTGAAAAGAAAGAAAAAATTTTCCTCAAACACCCATCAGAGAAAGAACTGTAGAATAACAGCTAAATTCCATAAGAATGATTCAAGCTAACTCCAGCGTCGGTTGGATAGCATTTTTGTTTACATGGCGATTTCCCAACATTCAGAAAGTCATGCAAAAAACAGACAATGAAAATACTTCTGACTCAAGTGGCTAGTTTCTTCTTATCTCGGAGAGCACGTTTTATAATCAAGCATCCCAAAAACACATCCAGACCTATAATGGCTCATTGTACTATTACATCCGAAGAACACTTTCAATTACTTCCATGAGAGAAACTTTAAAACCTTGCTAGGCCTCCAACCTTAGAAGGTTCGATCTGAAATGATTTCTGGCGAACTCCCCCTTTGCTCTTTATAGCATTGCAATTATCTCCCAATTTGTATCAATTGTGCATACATGTAAACCTACACAGATTTCAATACTGAAATTAGCACGGAAGACCGAAAACATTGTCTGCTTTCCTTTGGACATTATCCGACGTTTATACTCTGACGAATGTCTGATGAAAATTACTTTATTAGAATATATGCTACGCTTCCGCTCTTCCGTGCTATTTGCAAATTTGGCAATACCATAGTCTTATTCTATACTGAAACTATGCACCAATAAGGCAATTGCATACCAGCTATTGTATCGTAATCAAAGGTATGGTATTGCAAAGATAATGATTATTTGTAATCTATGCAGGTCAAGCAAAGACAGAGTCTTTAATACAATCGAACACCACTATTATCTAATACCCATAGAATTGAGCTGATTACCTCTTCTTTTTCATAACTCATCCTCGCTTCTACTTCCTTCCTTTTTGCATCCATCATTCGTTTCATTGCAGCTGCCCCAGCAGTCTTTCTTATCTTAACTCGACGGTACCATCTTTGAATAACGATTGCTGCTTTCTCTCTTCTTGCGATTAAATAATCATCTGTTTTTGTCTCAATTCCTTCAACACTTCCCCAGCTTCTATGAACTGTAGACTTTCCGCCCCCAACCTTACTATTAACATGTGTTTTAGAGTCTCGCGTCTTAGTGGCTCTTTTATTGGCTTGTGAAAACAGCAAATCCTCCGGATCCCCACCATCTTCTTTATAATTAGGCCAATGATTACTATCTGTTGTTGCACTTGTTTTATTTCCAAATGACTTGCTTGGTTTGTCAAACTCAGGTTCTTTCCTGACGTCACTTAGCTTGCTGTCGTTGCTGATGTTTTCCAAAAGATGGCCAATTTTTGAAAGAGCTGCCTGATCAAGGAAACCAACCGAAGCACTTTGATCTTCATACCTAGCAGGATTTGAAAAACTTCTTGCTAACTCATTCCTGCGCGGGCTTTCTTTCTTGGTTTCCCTGACTTCAGAGTCTAAGAACTCGTCAACAGAAGGGCGTGGTGGAATGACACTGAAAGTGGCTTTTGAGGTATCACTGCGTGGCTGCAAAACAAAATCAGGAGGAATAGGCCTTACCAAATGTGTCGATTGTTCCCTATTTACGAATATGCATCGACCTTTCAACAAAACAGAGAAACGTGAATGCAATATGAATATGAAAATGGCTTTGAAAAAAGCAAACATTTTACGACATACTAAAAGCTTTTTCGTTTGACACTCCTCAGAGCATAAAACGTCAGAATAAGGGTCCGAAAGTGTTTCTAGACCTAAAAGATCTAGGTGGCTGTTCTCTTTGAGGGGCAGTTTTGTTTCTTAGAAACACTGCTAAAACAAGTGATTCTGCCATCGGTCAACATCTTTTAGACAACCCAGATTGTGCAAAACTCTATAATGACGACATGTTTCGGATAATTGGCAGAGCCCGGTCGTCCTTCCATCTAGCAGTTTTGGAGTCGATCAACATACAAACGAAAAAGCCGCCATTGTGTAGACAGAAGGAGTTCGTTTTCTCTCTTGGACTCCATTGGTAACTTTTCTTTAGGCTCGCGGCACTGATTGGTCAACTATACCGGTCTTGTGCTTGCGTTTTTCTGATTGGCCGATTTCGATCCACAACTGGGTATATATTTTTCATTGTGTTCTTTCGGACCCTTATTCTGACGTTTTATGCACTGAGGAGTGTCAGACGAAAAAGCTTTTAGTATGTTGTAAAATGTTTGCTTTTTTGAAAGCCATTTTCAAATTCTGTACCGCAAAAAAATTGTTTGCAATATAAATAGATAGAACATTTTGCATAAATATCAAGACATACCGTTTCATTTGAAATTCCATCGGTAGAAACAAACCAAGCTGGTTTGGTCAAGAGATTTTTAGCACTGCCACCCCTTTGGGACGTTGCACTTCTGTACAGAAAAGTGTGATTAAATCAAAGCAGCTTAATCATTTGTCAGCCAAATGTTTAAGACGTAATTATACACATATTTCAACTTCAATTTATTTGTTCTCTCGTGCATGCTCTGTGCAGTTTCTGGATCTGACTGGACCTTTGCAGCTTGTTTGCTCTTTTACTTTAGAAGTAGGGAATTCTGTGGTCAGATCACAGCCTATTCAATTGACAAGCGGAATTTGCTCTCCACAAAGAAATTCATCAGAAAATTTAAATGCACAAACTCAGAAGACACACGTACACAGCACATAGGTGAACAAAAACATTGAAGCGGATAAATTGGGCACACATTTCCACAAAAGTTACATAGTCGATAAGTAAGCACATGACAATTTTATCAAGCAAATCTTGAAAGAACAGATCATAAAAGATTCATGTGAGAAAAAAATAGAAATTTTTACAAAGAAAAAAGCTGCATTACGAAAATTTTTGCTTTGTTTAAATAATGAAAAAGCCCTTGCTCTCATTGAAAAGTTAAAAATCCAACCAGCACACTCAAAGACTATGTGCACAAAAGTGTTATCAAAGAGGTTGCCATTAAAAAATACTTGACTAATATAAAAACATGAATTCTTACCCTCCTTTTGTGCCAGAATGGGTTTTAGAATCTTTTTGCATAATTTTTGGAGCAGGTTTCTGGACTTCATTTGGTCTCAGTGATGAGCCCAACGATCCCCTCAAGTTCTCACCTGAAAAATATTCAAGTTGAGATTTTTGTTTTGCATACAAATTACACCTTAAGACAAAAGTGCATTTTAATACAATCTTTCAAAAATCAAGAAGTTGTTTCCACTTTCTAAACCCTTTTCATAAAATCTATTACTACAAAATGTTCTCAGTTGTAGGCATTTAAGATTGTCATGCGAAGCATGTGTCTAGCATTGTAGAATATTGATCTGATATATCAAGCAAATACCTCTTTTGTTCTTTGTTCTAGCTGAACCAACACCAGAACCAGTGATAGACAATCCATCAGCAGGATCATTTGAAGTCTGAATAAAAAGTTTTTAAAAAGATAATGATCTATAGTAAAGCTTAACTGCAAAACAATAACCAAACAAAATTTGCAATTGGAAAGAAAAGCAAAGGTGTCAAATGAAAAGAATATTTGCTTATAGCAAGGATGTTTTGAAGGATTTTAATATGGCAGAGAAAACAGAAAAAATGACCTACAATGTTTGGCAAGTTTATGTAACTTTTGAAAATATCCAAATAAAAAAAATAACACAGAAGAGCACAAAAGGCCTCACAGTTTTAGGTGTGTGATTGCTCACTTGTGCCTGGGCACATGCTTTAGCGAGACAAGGAGCGCATTGTGTCGCACACCTGTTTTTCAAAAAGTAACAATATCATGTGCCTTGGGCATTTGAATTATGTAAAGGTTACTTTTTTATCAGAATCTTTGTCTTGTTGCCCCAGAATTTTCTTTAAATTACATCATTCATCATTTAGCTCATTTGGGGAATCACAAAATTAAAGTCACCTTGTCACAGTGTTCAATTTGTCTTTATAATTCTAATGCAAACATAATATCAGTCCTGGAGAGGTTTTACATTACCTCAACCACATATAATTACTGATAAAGTATTCATTTGGTGTTTATTGCAGTATTCACATTACCTCAACATGCAATAAAATACAAAAATACACTTTCAAGACTTCAGTGAAACACAATTATTGAATATTATATATACATAAAATATTCTGTGCCATAGTTTAGTTTTATAAAAGCAACTGTGATTTACTTCTTTATGAGCAAGTCAAGAGAAAGGTATGAAGACACATCAAACATGCAACTGCACAATCACAGGGAAATTTTGAGGCATTATGTTCTGCAGGAAATTTTTTGAAATATACAATTTCGCAAGAAGAACCTTTGTTTCTTCATCAATAGAAAAAACCTGAAGAAAAAAGAAATTAATCATATTTTTGTGCCTTGTACAAGTTAAAATAGTTTTTTCTACCTAAGAAAGCTTGAGAATCTATTTTAAATTCTTGTTTGAGAAAATTTTACAATTTTTGTATGACTTCTGAATCTCTGACTTATAATTTGTACCCAGAATTCTTGAAAATGTGCCCAAGGCCCCTTACTGTATATTGAATACCACTGTGACATTTATTGATTAAAATAAAATTCCTCCTTTATTTGCTTTTGCAGTTGGTTTCTTTTTGTCTTATTACATACATCTTCATCAAATAGTTTGTTAAAAACTTCCATGGGTATAAGAACTTCCCATGATTGATCTCTTTTGGCTCCTTTTTTGAATGTTATTTTCTTAATGCCTTTACCCATCTCCTAAAGATAAAAGTGACCCCCAATTTGATCTGAATTTGTATTTTTTCACCTGTGTTCAAGTAAACTTTAATATTCTGATTGCAAATATTCACACCAGCTAGGAGGTTAATATTATAGCTAAGTCTGCCTATTCTAAATCAATTTTGATAATTATGAATTTTGTAGACTCCCCTCACAAAAGTATTGCACCACCTTCTTCAAAATGGCAGCACTTTTTGTCAATTTTTTTACAATACAAAACATTTGAATGCATGAATTGGGCGAAATAGGCATATTTTATAGCAAATTTCGGGTAGGAAAAGTTTGCAAATTTTGCTGACGCCATAGAATACCTAGTTAGAAATGTAAATTTTATGCAAAAACATTGTTGTTTGTAAAAATGTAGACTACGCGTAAGGAAGAAAATTTGGCAAATGAGATGCGAGTCCCTATAGAATTTTTACAGGGAAGTGGTCTTTAGTTTTTGAAAAATTGTTGACCATATTAGATGCAGCCACACAACAGCTTCAATAAATCAAAAAATGTTTCTCGTGAGTGCTTCAGCAGTAATAAACCCAGAAGTGGGTGAACAAAAAGAAATTTGACGTTAGAGGGGTAGCAATTTTGTCTGTTTTATTTCACCATGTTTACACCAAGGGACAGTAAAAGACATGAAATTGACACTGAGGAACGTTTTGCAGCTCAAAATTCTTCCAAACAAAAAATAATGAGTGCCTTACACAAATATAAAATAAAAATTTACCTGCGTAAAAGGAAACCATTTTTACAACGGTTAATTTCCGAACAAGAAGATTTCAAGTTTTTCAGTGGCATTGTTCAAGTACAGATTTGTACATCATTGAAAATGTTTGGCTTCGTATGAATAACATTGCGAACCATGATTTAAAAGGTTCTTCAAGAACCAAAGAATCGTTAATTAAAATAATTATTCAGGTTTGGAATGAAATTCCACTTATACATTGCACAATTATATGCAACCAATTCAAGAAGGCATAAAGCGGTTTCAAAAGTTCATAGCTCCTGTCAAAATATTGAAATTTGAAACTGTTAAAAGACATTTGAAACTGCTATTTAAAAAAAAAAGTGCTCTAAAAAGATTGAAGTTTTGATTGGTGGTTGTTTCACTTCCGACACACTCCCATTTGCCATTTAAAAACAATCAATTCGCGCAACAATAGCTTTTGATAATTCTTGCGCCATTTTCCCTCCTTTGAGGTAGTGCAATACTTTTGTGAGGGGAGTGTAGAGTTTTCAGTTGACAAAACAGAAAATGATGTTGAATGAAGTGGTAGTAGTAAAATTGCTCAAACCTTTACAAATGTAGCTTTTACTTTCATTTACATAAAACTGATGACATATCATTGAGATTTTTGGAACCTGGCACTCTCTTTTTTTATTGTTCCATTCTTGCAAGAACTTTAGGCATGATTTTCATATAGCACAGGTTTATAATTCACTGGCGTGAGGTACACAGATTCAACTTGCTCACCAAGTTTCTCAGCCTTACGGTCCAAATAATTTGGTTGAAGAACCTCCAAATTATAATAAATCGCATTTGCCAATATGGGCACAATCTATCTATACTAATTCAATCTATTGCATTAATGCCTAACACAAAAGTTTAACACAATTAAGCATTTTGATGTGAATTTAAATGAGATCGAACAAAATAACTCACTTGGCTAATATTTGACCTCGATGTTGTCAGTGGTGTCTTCACTTTGTTTGGTGGTGTCCTGATGCCAGAACGCGGAGGGGTACCCTTGTTTTCTCGTAAACTACCGACAGAAACAAAATTGGCGCTCAGGGGCCGTTGTCTTCTGGACGCCATTTTGTTTACAATTGTTTGATTGTTGTCAATTGAATTGGATTTAAGCGGTCGAAGCGCCTGTGCAGCAGATTCGGTTCACAGTGGAAAATGAAAAGGGTAAGACCTTGTGACTTTAATGAACCTAAATTCGACAGGAACCAACAGATTGTTAGTACAAGATAGTACAAGCAAAGAAATTCCATCGCCTCCAGTGCAAGGTGGAAGGTTAGGGGAACAGGGACAAATTGAAGGATTACGAGAAAAGAAACGGGTTAGCCCCCTAAGCCACACCCAGTTCCGCAGTTCTTGAAACCCCAGGTTATCGGGAGCCCTGAATTCTCCAGTTGAGTCTTTCATACTATTTTAAACAAAGTTTGCTGCTAGTTGTAGCCTGTCCTCTAGGTAGGCGCCAGGAAAACAGGGCTCCTTTTACAGTGGCTTATGTTAAAGCTTCCTGCACTATATCAGCTACTGCAACTGCATTTCTTTGCATTGTCGTTGCATCAACACCTTTTTTATACCATTAATTTACGATTTTTGCAGAAAATATGCAAATTGATCAGCTCTGATAATATATCATTTCTCGCATCGTCAACCTTGACATAACGTATATTCCTGGCAGTCAAAACAAATACTTTTTGAAAATTATTTATGATTTTTGTAAACTGAAATTATAATAAACAATAAAATATATTGAAGTTCCGTTGGGCATTCCTGTCTCTCTGCATCTAGGCGCCATTTACCTTTGAACGTGAAGTCAGTCCAAGAGTAGGAAATCAAGATAAACATTCAAAAGCATTCGACATTCATACATATCAACCATTTATTCATTATATAAATCAGCAATATATCTACTATTATATAATTATAAGCTAGATTAACTAACTTGTCCACATCCGAAGTACACTGACATAATGTTAGGACATAAAAAATATTTTTCGTTGCGGAAACCATCAGAAACATCACAAAACATAATCCCCAGATATGATTCAAAAGAAGCATATTAAATTTGTTTGAAATACTGTCAGGTTGCTAAAGCTTGGGAATTTTACGTTACGTTTATCTTTCCTAGCTTAACCCTTGAGAAATAATTGACAATTTAAACCGAGTGGTACTATACTTACTTGCTATATGGAAAACAAATTGCCATAGAGAAGCCCAAACGCACACAGGGCCTCCAAAAATAAACCCTAATGAAATATACCATGTTAATTTCCCTACATACAATCAATTACAAAAAGATCAGAGCTGGCACTTTTCCTAAGAGGTTTTCTATCTCTACACATCCAACATCTGAATGCATGTACTAAAACTTGGCGATATAAGTAAATTCGAACGAAAGGTTGCTTACACAGACAGTAACTGAATTCTAAAAGGGACATGTTTAAAATAAAGGAAGAAGATACTTTGGAAGTGGACAAATTTTAAGTTTGGAAGCGCTCATCAGCTAATGCAACAAACTGCTACAAAATATAAATCGATTCCCTTATATATAAAAGTTGTAACGTAATTATTTATTACTGTTTCTAAAATATCTATTCTTCTACTGGAAACATTTTTCTAAGCTGTTCTAGAAATAACCAAGTCAAGATTGTCTGCGGGCCAAGCCTCACCCATGCAGGAATAAACCCCTAAAAAACAAAAGAATTTTGAACAAACAAGAAAGTTAGCAGATAATTCTAGCTAGAAGAAAAATAATTTAATCAAGAAACAATATTGCATCTGTTAGTATTCAGACAACCCTTACATAAAAGTCTTTTGATTGCCAATACTCGAAAAAACTTTAAGGAATAATTTGCAATCTATATTGTGCAAAAGTAGTATGAAAGTGACATTGACAACTAGACTGGGGACCAGCCAATGATTAGTCAGCGAAACCTCAATCAAGCATATAACCAACATTTCTTGCTAGAATGTGAATCCCTAACAAAAAATCAAACTGTACTGTACCTTGTAAAATCCTATTGGTCCTACTTTGGCAGTTTCGGTCACACAAGCAAGAACGCTCTGAAACAGGATGAGATCAAAACCTCAACATCACCGACATTCCCAAATATTGTAAGAAAACATAGTAATAGGCAACCCAGAAAGAAACTAGTACGATTCCTTTCTTCGACACAATTAATACAAAATCAAGCAGAGCTTTAAACGAACGGAAAGCAGAGCTCTAAGACTAGTACGATTCCTTTCTTTGAAACAATTGACCCAAAATCAAGCAGAGCTATAAACGAAATCTAAGAGCTTGTTTTCATTCATAGATCTTACCTTGTATTGACCAGGAGCTGCGTTCATCAACCTCGTTTTCAGAACATCAAAAGGTTGTGTGACCATCGTTGCGATGGTTCCCTGAAAAGAGAACCACGAAATTCGCTGATAAAAAGGAAAGCTGGGAACCATTCTTTATAACGGTGAAATAAATTTTAAGGAAGCCGAGTAATTTAGTTATGAATACCTGCCCGCCTTTGCAAAATAACTGTCATTTCTTGGCAAATAAGAAAGGGCATTGCCTTTCTTTTGCTACATTTCATATTCTAAAGCAAGTCTACTTATCTTTTGCTATTGAGAAGTTGAAATTTCTAAAAAATAAGCTAGGCACATCAAAGTTAAAGTCTAGCAACTACTTGTAAAAAAGAGCCAGTTGGGGTGAGAAACTTTTCTGTCTAAAAAGATATAATGAAGGAAGATAAAACTTGATTTTTATTTACTCGCTTTAAAGAATCAAGGGTCGAAGCTGAGTACAACAGTTTCTTAAAGGTTCGTTTCAATACTCATCTTTTGAAATATACCTTCAAATCATCCTTTGAAATATACCCTTAACCCTCCCATTTTGTTTTTGCCAAAATTCGTATACTATGAAGCATACTAAAGGTTCATATAGCAAATTTCTTATAAAAGTAAGTGTATTGAAGAACAGAACAAAGTTCAATTGCGGCGAGCAAGGCCAAGGAATAGGAAATTTAAATTTCATATCATATACTATTGAACGAAAAACGCAAAATCTCGCTAATATACGATTCAACTGGGATTATCAACGGCCATTGAAAAATAGCTTTGGGATCAGACAGTATGACATGGCATAACTACTTTAAGTCAGATCTATGTCAAAATTGTCTGCTATAACAAAAAAAGTAAATTCATGGGATTAAATTTGTACAAGAATGAACGATATAACTTTAGTAAATGTTATGGATTATGGATTAATTACTGTTTTAATAAATTTTGTCGTTTACGTATAACATCTAAAATAGTTCGCATTTTAATGGCGTGTCACTATTTTTGAAAACATTCTACACAAGCTGCGATAACTGTGGTTTAGAATCTTAATGAATTCATTTTAAACTCATTTTTCACAGCAAGCATTGGCGCGAATTGAGATTCTTTGAGAAGACCAGTCCGAGTACCGATGCACCTTATTATTGGCATATAAACAAGCAGGATTTAAACATCTCCTGCTGAAGACAAAAAGAAGATTTGCTAGCTATATTAGTTTGGTATGCCTACTAAGACCTCGTGTGAAAAGTGACATTAATCCCACCTAGATAGAAAATTGTAATCAAAGATGTCGACTAATACGAAAGCAGCTTAGTAGAAAACAAAAAAGCGGTATTTCAATAAAAGCAGCTGGAAAACTGGGACTATGTAGCAAATTGAAACACAACAAATGCCAATGGAAGAAAAGAATTGCAAGCAGTATGCTAAATTAAACTTTGCCGAGAGATTTTCTGTTGATTTGAACATAAAAATCATTAGGTCAATTGTTAGAGGTACGGAATCAATTTCTACCAAAATGGGCCTAAATAATTTAGGGAGCACAGTTTGCATTAACATTCTTTGCAAAGATTCGCTAGTAAAAGCAACATCTGAGATGAAATGGTTCATGCTTACCGCAATTACACTGCTGGCTAGATGGGTGGGCACAGTATCACCAAAATAGCTGCGGAGAAGTAAAGTCAGTAAAGGAATGAGCATTGCATATACCGAAAGAGGCCTAATCACCGACGAAGAGGGATCACTTGGTGTTGGTCCATTAAGAACAAAGCAGTGTTGATCTAAATTAAGTTAAATATAAATAAAAGCAAGCATAACACAGAATTAATTAACAGTGAAGCGTGAAATCAGAAATACAGCGCGTAGCCTACAAGAAAAAGAGCCCCAAAAAGCGAGTTTTGAGAGATTGCAGTTCCAGGCATATTTTCGCTAACAAAGAGCATAGCAAATAAATTGATCTTAGTAACGTGATTGGTAGATTTTTTCTAGAGAATTCTCAAGAAGGAGATCTCGCTAACAGCCAATCAAGATTTGTCTTCATTCCTTTAGTTAATAGATTTACGTATTGCGCTGACAGGCACACTTACCCAGTTGACATCAGCATTTGCTTGGCTTGGTCATAAACAGCGACCTTAAGGAAAAGGAGGTTACCTGATCACTTACTGAGAGAAGGATACTGTGTTACTGCTCAGAAGCAACTTAAATCTTTAATAATGAAACTGCTGTTACTTCAAAAAATATAAAGTGCAAAAACTCAGATAAACAGCATTGTGATAACAGCCGACAGAAATAATTTTTGATTTCAGATACCCTTTAACTTGAATGTACCAATTCAAATGTACCTTATATCATAAAAAACAGGGGAGAAAAAAAGAGGCCTTTTCGTGTTGTCGTATCGCAACAAGGTATCAGAATAATGGCGCACAAACAACAAAATATTAATCCTACAGTTTCAAAGTGATTTAAAATGCTGCCCCGTGCTGTAAAAATTTACTATGCTTCCCTTAGCGGAAATGGTACGAAATTTAATCTGACTTATCAGTCTAATTATTTCGAGCATCTATCCCTTTTTGATAATATATACAGTGTTTTAGGCGAAGCGCAGTGGGAACAACGAATGGATTGCCTACACACCTGGCCCATAGTCATAAGTAGTCCTCTTGTTGCTGTCATGGTCACACCTGCCATCCACGCTGATACTCCCTCTAAAACAAATATTTCCGAAAATTACCAAAACATTTACAAAGCATTAACTGAATCTGTATCTAGCATCTTTGCCTATATTTTACGAATCAGTCGTTGACAATACGAAACTCAACTGTCAGAATATCTTTCACGTCAACGAATTGATCAGTTGCTGCCAATATGAAGCTCAGTTGTAAGGATATTTTTCAGATGCTCACGAATTAAAAAGAACTTCAATTAGACAAAAATAAACAGCAAGGAGGTAAATTGAACGGATTTGAAAACTGATTTACACCCTTAACAAGTCAACAATCGTTAGGCATTTGACAAAAGATGATTTTATTAAAAATGTAAATTACCCTCAGCTGCAACTCTGTAGAGCCCGTCAACTGCATGCTTATAGCTACGAGATTAATAGAATATAAGTCAGTCAAACTAACTACAGGGAGTTTGCAGGATATGTTTTAAACTTATGCCTTGCAGGATGTGCTTGAAACAGCTTATCGACAGTTCCGTTAGTTCTTTGATCAAGGATATCAATAGAATCAATAAAAGTCAGAAAGCCAAAGGCCATTTGAGCAAAAAGTTTATACACAACTAAACCCTGATGTGAAAAACAGACCTCAATGAAAAAACAAATCCACATCTATAAGACTCGAATTTGATTTCAGAGCATCGTCTTCGTGGCGATTTCATGTTAGGCTGCTAAGAAGTGTCATAATCCAGCTGCCATGTGCTACGAGATAGGTCCTCGTCAGGAAAGCACAGGATGGGATGGCCTAAAATTGTGTCAAGATCAATTCAAACCGAGACGAAGATGCGCTTTGTGAATAAAGAAATCTGTTTTCTTCATTCTAAAAGCAAGTACATTTCTGTAGCTAGGAAATAATAATAAGCTTTCATGCAACTCGACAATCTTGTTTGCTAAACTAATGAAACTCTTGATCGAGAAATGCCAGCAACTGTGCTGAAAACTATTAAATCGCTATGAGTCAAAACTAAAAACGGCAACATTACGCATTGAAATGTCCTGGGTTCTTTCAGCAAGAACTTGGCTACTTCAGGATTCTTTCATACATAGTACGGAATTGAAGCTTGACCAGCACCAAGCTATATCATTAACAAGCTAAAAGCAGGCAATTTCTTGACCTTTCATGCATCCAACAATGTCTCGTAACAATTTCGCTAATTTTCCGGATTGTATTTGCAATCATCCCACGAGCATCGCTCTATTGTTTCATATAAGAACACTTTGGAACGTCTTTAAAACACAACATCCTCCTTCAATTCACAGCTTCGGTGAAATTCTTCTGTCTCTTTTTAGGTCAATCAGCAATGATGCCTGCCATTCTCATTCGAAAATGAAAATCGAATGAGAAACGCAAACAACATTGCCGATACACTGTATGCTTGTCTTCTTTCTGTGATTGGTCTTTTTGAAGATAAAATGTCTTAGTAAAACGTGAGCAACAGATACTTTACCGAATACTAAAAGGTCATCCAGTAGTCTTGATCGGCTGTGACTCTCCTAAAACCATAATGAGCTCAACATCTCCGAAAAGCCTTAAAATGGCACGTTTTTGGCAACTCATTACTTATTAATATCACATGCTTTACCCTGAAACACTTTGATACACACTGCTTAATAGGAACATTTGACCGAAAAACCTTTAAATGAATCCCATGACAACAGACCAGGTATGCAGCCACATGCATTTACGGGCTCCAAAGGGCGTTTCCTGTCACACAAAAACCTTCTCGCAGCTTCTAGATACTCCTTCTTTTTGTGTGACTTTATATTCTGATCGACGAGGATGACAACCTTCTACTGACAGTTAGAAAAGGATATTTAACGAAGCATACAGTTCTTAGAAATAAAAAAACTATTCGAAATTTTTGACAAAACCCTTTAGGACTAGTACAAACTAATTCAAATTGCTACACTTGAAAATTAAAGGTACTTACTTTCTGCGAAGCTCAGGTGCGATTTTCATATCATTTTGCATTCTACAATAAAGAGATAAAAGATTTTTAGTGACTTTGCTAACTCAAAAATATAACGCAATAAATTGAACGTTTCCAACAAACGAAAGCATTGCAGGTACTGAACATTCTGTTATTCTTTTGAAGTAAGTAGATGAGACTTCTCTGATACATCACCCAGTTCTTATGCACAGTAATGATTACCTTTATATAATAACTGTAGGGTAAACACAGCCTATAGCTACAGTAGTTATCGTAAAACAGTTTTAAGTAACATTATAAGCAATTTGAATTGTAATTTTTATCTTCAATTGAGTATACATAGAAATCAAAATCGTCAAAGTTTTTGTCAAACTTGGAAAGTTGCAACAGCATCATTGTGTTAAGCTACCAATACCAATGAGCAAGTATTGAACTTCTTTCAACATTGACACAATAAAAATAAATAAATGAATATATATATCACGTAATAATTGGTAAATGGGTTGCATCTAAGAAAGAGCGAAAAAATGATGTAAGGTCAAAAATGGCGAACATACCGCACATTGACCATATCAGCAGGATTTCCAAAAATTCCACCGATAAAACCTATGATTGCCAATATGTGTTAATCAGTGTCAGTTTAATGGAAAGCATTAAACAGTGACCAATTTTATGATTTCCAGACAAACAATACGACAGGGATAACTCAAGAAGAGGAATGTAGAGGGGGAATGCATGGGCCTCCACACTTTTCAGCAGGACGCACTGTTTTCCTAATCTACATACTTTCCGAACTTTATCAGTTAACATCAGGATAGTCCCTTCAGACCCAAATCTGCTAGAAACTTGATAGCACGATTTTGCATCTAAAACAAACCATACTACATATCTAAAAAAGGTTATTTGAGAAATATTATCCATCTCCTCTTTGATGTCTAGTTGAAAAAAATCTAATGAACATAATACACGATTATATGGGTGAAACTCAACAAGGTGAATACAACTTGAGTCAAAGTCCTGCTATCTCAAACTTTTTCACTTTTTCTGGTTTCCAATGTATTATTGACAGAACAGCCCCCCCCCCAAAAAAAGTTGAACTTTTTGATAATTCAATTAAATTTCTAACTCCTTTCATCAAATAACTCTGATTAAGTCAAACAATAAAAAGACCCAACGAAAATGCGAAAAAGGTGTTTCTTCAAAAATAATAAACACAGGAAATCAAATACAGTTATTTTTTAAAAACGATGATCCTCAAGCTTCAAACAGGGGAAAAAGAGGTGGTAAGGGTTTGAAGGGGGGGGGGGGGCTGCAGCCTCAAATAATTGCTAACCTACGTTCCAATCAACTTCCTTTTTAACAATACTGAAAAAGTGAAAGGACAGCTTTAAATACGAATTTTTCACTTGGTATAGAGCTTTGATTCTATCTTTGTCACCCACACAGAGGATGTCGAAGGGGTTTTGACTAGCTAACTAATAGACTGTTCTTCCACCTTTTGCTGACTAATGGCCAATTTTGGATAAAAACCCAAGACTAATGACTAAATGACTTATGACTATTACAAATTATATTGGGTACCAAATATCAAATAACTGAGGGTGTTCACAATTTGGAGCAGATGAAGCAGAAAAAGAAATTTTCTGAAGCAAAGAGACTTTAAACTGTGTGCACTCGGGCTGAGAGAGGAATAAATATATTAGACAAAGAGGAATTACATTTAGTTGATGAAAAGAGCGAAGATGAACTTTTTTTTCTCAAAAACAATTGGAGCAAGATAAATGTCAAACTTCCAATTGCTTCCCATTCAGAATGGTTGTCACTGGGCCAAACTATCTATCTATTGTGTATGAAATGTTCACATATTACGTAAGCAAAGATGGGGGATGGGAATTAACAAAACGTTTATGGTCTTGGCTATGCCTGATTGTTACTGCTTATTAACTAATAATTTAGGGGAAGAGTTTGCTTGACTAATTACTTGTGTTATCCCCGTCTACACCCTCCAAGCATATTACTTGCCCTTTCACTGCCAACAGGGGCTGACTCTTGCTCAAATAATTGGGGAGCAAGCCTATTGCTTTGATGAGATGATGTCACATTTCCAATTGTTTTAAAACAAAAGACCATTGTATTCAAAACATTGAGGGGTGACTGCCCCCCCCTTGCCCCCTAGGTGTCTGCCACTGGCTGCCAAGCTTTAAGTGTAGTTTAACAAAATATAAGAAAATTCAGAAATTTGTAAAATATTGAAAAAAGCAAAACATACCTGATACACAGCCAATAGCGAACTTCTGATAAAATGGGAGAGGGTCTACAGGCAAATGAACATTAAAAATGGTTATATTACCTTTCAAACCTATAAAAATTACAAATGCTAAAAGAATCAAGAAAGAACAAGAAATTTGAAGTCATCGCTGCAGATTCATGTGATATCATGCTATCGATGGAAACTGTTTTGTTAATCGTACTAGGTGCGTTCATGTGACAAGTTTCAGGTCAACCAATAGCACTGCAGCCCTTAAAACCATGACTCAGCAGACTTGGGTATACACTCTCCTTTTATCATGACTCAATGCCTTTAACTGGTCTTAATTGTCTAATGTTAAAGAGTAAACTCTGGTGGCATAGACATAGGAAAAATTTCAAAAGTAGGGAGGGGCATATGTAGCAAAAAAGGGGCAATTCTGTGAGCTGCAAATAGGTACCTTACCCATGTTTCTCAAAACTAAAAGCATGTGCCCCCATGCCCCCTATTTCATACAAGTTTGCTTGATGGAATAGCCAATAGGAATAAAAGACCAGAAAATGTAAGAAAGCAGTTATGAATGAAGGAGTAAAAGAAAGATATTACAAGGAAGCTGCTATGATCAAAGGATACTACAAATAACAACAATGGCTTGTATCTTTAAGGTGGACCATTTGAGAATTATAGTTGTCAAAAAAGATTGAATATTGTGATATTTACAACAGTGACGATAATGATGAAAATAATATGATGGCCAATTAATATGAAGATGGTAGATTCAAATTAGCTACAAAGTTTTTCAAATAAAAATTCATTCAATGCAAAAATCATGATCATGATTAGCCAATCCAAAGACCAAAATTGTAGTTTAAATTTTATAAACATGATATGAAAAGAATAATCATAAAAGGTTACCATCTCTTCCCTCAAGCAATTTAGAGGATGCGATTTCATAAAAACCAAATCTCACTGTTGTGTATGTCATCTATGAAAGAAAAAGGCCTGTGTTTGTGAATAAGAAAATGTTTCTGACAAACTGTTACAATGCCTAGTACACTTTCACACTTGAGCATATTTTGGATGATGATTTGCGGAAAGAAAAGCATCAGGAACTAACTTTCCATGATTTGGCACTGAAAAAAAAACATTTTCATTTGACATTTTTTTTGTTTCTTGATTGCAAATTATTTATTCTAAATCAAAGTTACCAGGTTAAGATCAAAAGGCAATTTTTATGGTTCCCAAAGCATAATTAGAAATAAGTTTTTAACTGGTTCATTCTCTTGCAGACAAATAAAAAAATATCATGAATGGAGGCGTGCTTGTGGTTGTATAAATTAATCTAAAGAATATATATACTCAACATGGTGGACCATTTATTTTTATCCCAGCATAGGGGATAAAGGGGTTTTGTTTCTGTCTCATCCATTTCTCACAGAAAACTGTTGCTTGAAACACTGTTCATCTAAAGAATTTCTAAGGTATGGTACTAGGTCCAACATAACTTCTTTTTTTGTAATTTTGTAATTTCAGACTTTGCTGCATGTTGCTAAGAATATGAAAAAAATCTTAAGCTTTCATGCATAGAATACAGCACTCCTGTGATGAGCTTTCATGCATAGAATGGCTCCCATTCCACAGTCTATAGAGTATGACAGATGCAGGTGTGATGCCAAGATAGTGCTGCATGCCAAAATTGCCCACCAAAATGAATAGTAAAAGAGGTTTGTACATGGAAAACATGGCATTAATGAGTATTGCATGTACGAGATCTCATCAAGCACTGCCATAATCTGCAGGCTGGCCCATTCCTGTGTAATGCTTCAAACTTCTTTACACAATTCCATCATCAGGAAACTTTGATCAACATGTGCATCTCTTGATAAATAAATATACCAAATACTAGGGAAAGCTAACCTGTCTCAAGATCGATGCACTGACACCATTATAAAGCCCAAGAAAACCTTCATTCTTGTACACTTTTACACCCATAGCTACCAAACCTTCTGTTGCCTTTTGCTGTGTTTGCAAATGAACCTTTACAAAAAAACATTACAGAGAAATTAATTCACCATTACAAGTTAATCAAAAGCTGCGATGTAAAGTGGACAGAAAGGTAAGGGCGTAGGCAGGCTCGTCTATTGGGGCACCTAGCCCTCTAAACCCTCCATAAGTTAAACCATTGTAGAGGAAGCCTGGCTTGGAGCCATAAGCATTTGTAATAAATTTTTCAATTGCATGTAGCCCCCTTACTTCGAAATTTCAGTCAGAC